CCATCCATCCATCCCATCCATCCATCCATCCAATCCATCCAATCCATCCAATCCATCCAATCCATCCATCCTTCCATCCATCCATCCAATCCATCCATCCAATCCATCCATCCATCCCATCCATCCAATCCATCCATCCATCCAATCCATCCATCCATCCAATCCATCCAATCCATCCAATCCATCCAATCCATCCAATCCATCCATCCATCCATCCATCCAATCCATCCAATCCATCCATCCAATCCATCCAATCCATCCATCCATCCATCCAATCCATCCAATCCATCCATCCAATCCATCCAATCCATCTTAGCAACCACACCCACACATGTTTATTGCAATCAGTTTAACACACAGTGTAGGATATGTGACAGTTTAGGAAGCTTAAAGCAAAAATGACAAGGGAGTCATAGTTAAGGACATTCAAGTCGAGGGGATGCTAATGCTTGCTTTATTTTAAAAAGGCACAATAATATCTTTTCATATTTGAGGATGACAGTCACAAAATTATTAGTCATCCATTGAACAAAAACAGTTCGGAATGGTTTGGTGCGCATCCAATACGCTATGAGCGAGATCTTTTATTATTATGTAAACCTGGCTATTTCTTTTGCAGATGGGCCGGTTGGAGCAGATTCCTTCAGTGGTCTGGCCATGTATGCCAGCAATCAAGACGATCCCTACATCACTCTTCAGGAAGATGAGGTAATGAGGTGTGCCATGGCACATAAAGCCGTCTCTGAGTTTCTGGCTTTGGCTGGTAGTACCAAAACATGTCTATGTGAAGGGGCTTCATCTCCTTCCATAGATGTGCATATAAATGCAAGCCTTAGTCATTGAGGCCATGTCCAAATTACTTGGCTACGGCTAGAAATTACACACATGCCTATGGCAGTGGCTGCAGCCACGTCCCATGGACCAGTGTGTAATTTTCAGCCGCAGCCAAGTAATTTGGACACGGCCTGAGTTTCTTGGCTTTGCCCAGCAGCAGCACATGTGTCTGTGTGAGGGGCTTCCATTTACTTCCATCTATGTGCGTATAAGTCATTTGGACAGGGCTATCTACCCTGTGTTCCTCCTACAAGAACAATGCAAAAGGGCAATTCCACGGTTACTCACGTTACATTTTTGATGTACTTTTGAGTTTCCTTGGGCTGTAATTACCTTACTGAAAAGGTTTGATAACTGTTATCCCCATGGTAGATAGAGTAGACCTAGACCTACCTAAGCACCAAAGATGACATCCAGAAAAATGTGTTATTTATGATAAATAAGACGCACAAAATCGGTTACTCACGTTACATTTTCGTAACGTGAGTAACCGATTTTGTGCGTCTCGTTTATCATACAGAACACATTTTTCTGGATGTCATCTTTGGTGCTTAGGTAAGTCTAGGTCTACTCTATCTACCATGGGGATAACAGTTATTTAACCTTTTTAGTAAGGTAATTACAGCCCAAGGCTACAAGGAAATGTACAAGGAAAAAAAGTACATCAAAAATGTAATGTGAGTAACCGTGGAATTGTCCAAAAGGTTAACCAATGATCAGCAATGACATTCCAGCGGCCGATTTCACTAAACTTTACGCAGTGGCGCAACTCCGCTTACACCACAATTTATTGGGTAAGCTGCGGAACATTTCACGCTACGCAACATTTCACTTATGACACATTTCACGAAAGTCTTGATTAGTGCGTAAGTCCACGACTTGCGCCATAAACTATGGCGTAACTTGCGCAATCATTTTAGGTGGCGTAAGTTGTGGCGTAGTGACTGAAAATGACCTATTTTACCAAATCGTGATCATCATGGAGTCTGTGATTGCACAACTTATCAAGGTTGATACAAGACACTCACAGCTGCTTGTTTGAAGTAAATATATTTCTATTTTACTCAAGACAGAATTTTTAGTGTTGCCACACGATTCCGAAGAAAGTCGGACAAAATAATTTTCAAAATGGTGGGCTGAGGTGATCCAATGACTGTTTCGTGAACGAACAAATTCATACACAAACAGCCGTCTTAAATGCTGTTATTATTCCCGTCCAAGATGTTTAAATTATTTAAGTTTCGTGAAATCGATCGTAAGTTTATTGCGCGGCTGCGCAACAAATTTGTTGCGTAAGTCTTACGCATGACGCAAACTATGCACTTTTTTGTGAAATCGGCTGCAGAGGTGACAAACAAAAGTGGATGTGCTGAGGTACAGATTCCCTACACAGTGGTAAACTTTGGGGATTGAGAAAGTTTCCTAGCAGCAAAGATTCACAGGGGTTGTGGCTTGATGTCAAATTTATTTTTCACAGGATGACAAAGAGGATATGGCAGATCTGACCATCAAACCCAGGGACAATCTGATCATTGCTGGGAGGGCTCAGGAAGACACAAGCTGTCTGGAGGTATACGGTATGTATGTTCTCTGATATCAAGGAATTCTTTGAGTTTTCGTTGGCTCAAATCTTACAGTGCTGCAAAGCACATAAATGAAGTGCGAATAGAACTCTGTTCCATTTCATGGAGATCATGTACAGTAAGCAAGGCGAAGAACATATTAATGTAATGATGCAGTAATGGAAATCCCCTTTCGTGCATGGGCGTAAAGACTCATCTAGCACATTTTTTTTTTCTGCCAGCATTAACACATTTTCTGCTAATGATACAGCTCAACAAATTTAGTCTCCTTGCTAAATGTAATGATTCTGAATGCAATATATCTGATCATGTTCTGACACAAAAGGTCCAGAAATATGTTAAATGCATCTTAATTTTGTCTTTAATTGTACATTAATATGTGTTCGTCGGTGTGTCAGATGGCATTTGCTGGTTATTTTTTGTTGGTGGTGGTTCACGACATGTAAATCTACTTGCAACAATATGTAGTACTTTACATATTTAAATCTTGGTTTTACTAGTGGGTTGATCATAATAATAACCTTCTGTTTTATGTTTACCTATTTGTCGTTGAAGTGTTCCTTTGAATTTGTTTTTTTTACAAAAATGAGAATCGGAATAATGTCCTTTTTTTTTTCCTTTGTACAGTTTACAATGAAGATGATGGCACCCTCTATGTTCACCATGACATTCTCCTCCCATCATTTCCTCTGGTCGCCGAGTGTATGACCTTTAACCCTAACGGCTCCACCCCAGGTGATTATCATTGTTATGCCCCGCGGCGAAGCCGAAGGGGCATACTGTTTCCGCCTTGTCCTTCCGTGGGTGGGTGTGTGTGTGGGTGGGTGGGTGGGTGTGTGTGTCCGGATAAATCGTGTCAGCGCGATAACTTGAGAAATACTTAACATATGAACTTCAAATTTGGTTTGTGGATTGTTCTTGGTAATCCTAAGAAGCCTTTTGCATTTGGGGCCAAAAGGCCAAAGGTCAAGTTCACAGTGGCTAAAACAATAGAAATGTTGTCAGCGCGATAACTTGAGAAATACTTAACATATGAACTTCAAATTTGGTTTGTGGATTGTTCTTGGTAATCCTAAGAAGCCTATTGAATTTGGGGCCAAAAGGTCAAGGGTCAAGTTCACAGTGGCTAAAACAATAGAAATCTTGTATTTGTTCTGAGATTATAGGGATTAGGGATTAATTCATATAAAACCTACAGAAGACACTAATGCTGTCAATGAATGTTCCATGTGACCAAGGTACATGTAAGTTGATGTTAAAAGAGTGGTGTTATGTCATGGGAACAGTCACGGTTGCGGGGCATTTGTGTTTGTAAACACACCTGACTTGTTTTCTATGTTACCACTAAACAATGACATGTAATTGTAATATCACAAATTTCTCAAGTTAGGGTTTGTCTGTATGCATCAGCAGCCCTGGCTTGACAGTGCTACTTCGTCTTCTCATTGATGTCATGCACAGCAGAGTGAATTGTGCACAATTTTAGTTCCTTCAAAATCGGACAATAAACCAGTTTAGTAGCTCGATGAATTAGTCCAGGTCAAAGTTCATTCATGAATAAAATGGAAGCGTTTTTTAATCGTAGTGTTACGCTAATGCCCATTCTGCTTTTGCGAGCGTCGTGCGACCGTCTCCTTTCGCGTTCATGCGCCTTCGCTGAGCGTACAATTATCACGAATGACCGGTGATCATTGTGCACATGCGCTGTTGAAATACCGAACTGGCTTATTGAAACTGCTGTCTAAGAGTTAAAGGGAGTATACAACATTTGTAAACATCGAAAAATAAAACTACCAAGTTTTTACGAAATACCTTACTAGGATGTTGGTAAATGACAGTCTCAAGCATCTTGTAAAATTATGGCACCTGGTGTGAAGTCATTTTCAAGAAAATGGTATTTTTGTAAACATTTCCAACGGTGGTCGGCCGACCAGCGTTGGAAAAACCTAACTATTTTTCAACTACTCCAAATTTACCATTTTTTCAGTCCAAATTTTGTTTGCTATTGGTTACGTGTTCATGAACAGGTGCAGGCCAGCTAGACTGGTTCCCTTGCCTTACAATTTTCCATCATCTATAAATTGATCCATTTTATCTTTTGTGGAGTCAGGGAACCAGACTACTTGAACATTTTTGTTTTTCTTGGTTTTTCCAACCTTCTCGAACACCAAACTTCGAAAATGTCAGTGTAACAATATTTGATCTATTATACTAACCTCTCAAATAGTTCATTTCTGAAAATTACAGCAAAAGCCAATGATGTACATTCCCTTTAAGTGACACAGCCAACAAAACAGCACTGTTCCATACAAGCATTTTAGAATTGATGTAACCACCATTTTGAAGTAGAAAATTTGACAGGTTTTTTTAAACCATTGCCTTTTGTGCAATCTTTCCATGGATGTAGGCAACTTTGTGGCCATGGGTTACATGACGCCAGTCATTGACGTGTGGAACCTGGATGTGGTAGATTGCCTAGAACCAGCATTTACTCTGGGGAAGACCAAGAAAAAGTCCAAAAAGGTAAAATGAAACTCAAAAAATTACATTAATGAAAATGTAAATGGCTGTGACAGAGCCAATTAACCATGATATCTAATTGACCTCCTACTGATAGAACTATCACAAACCGTCAAAAAATCTGTCCACTTCTTCTTCCATAGGTTTTGTACAGGCTGGTCACCATTTGCCAGAACCCCCATGGATTAAACCACATAACTGTCAAAACCTGTTGAAGGGATTATATAGAAAGGGTGACCTTCAATGCTGCTGCAACTTGTGTAGAAGCCATCTTAGAGGGCAATGCCTTTGTTTTGCTATGATATGCATGAGTGAACCTTTTGTGCCTTCATTGTTACTGAACTGAATCCATCATTGACAGGCACTCACCAGTGCTGACCCACCATATCTATCAATGTCAGTCAAGGCATGGTACCCTCAGTTAGCAAAACTACCACAGCTTGTACCAATATGAGCCCAAGTTACAGAACTGTTAAGACCTGTCATCTGATAGATTTTGACAATATAGTATATCTCTCTCCATGTTGTGACTGACAAGAGGGAGGGTTACTGATTCAGAGAAATGATCCAAAACTCCTCGTCTGTAATCTCCTTAACCACTACTAGAAGTCGCCTGTATAAGATGTAAAAAATACATTTTCAGGTTTATTCACTGAGCTCATAAAGTAAAAAAAAATGTCTGATTTGTAATGTCTGTGACACTGAATTGGCCTCTTCAAAACAAATCTTGCCATTTACTTTTCGTGTAGAAATCTGCAAAATCCAGCGACGGCCACACTGATGCGGTGTTGGACATTGCGTGGAATAAGCACGTCCCCCACGGCCTGGCGAGCGCTTCAGCAGACAGCACCATTGCATTGTGGGATATGACCCAACAGAAGGCCCTGTCTTTGCTCACTCACCATTCCGACAAGGTAAGAATGTGCAGTGTAGCAATAAAAACAATTATGATCCATGGTGTTATGTGCTCAAAATCAAAAAAACTTTATCAATGAATATTTTCTGTATGTTTTATTTTTGGAAATATATATCCCCCTAAAAATAAGAGTAACCAAACCCTCCAGGCCCTTTTTTGCTAGGAACCATCCTCAATCCTCCAAATCCTCTAAAATGTTACACTTGTGTTCAAATGAAGGATACCCACTGCCTCAATCCTTCAAAATCCTCCAACAGCCCTGCCTCTCAAAATTCATTTAGCCGCAATCCTCAAAAATCCTCATCTTCAAACACCATTCATCCTCAATCCTTCAAAATCAACCAATACTGAATGTCCATCAAACACCATTTAGCCTCAATCCTCCAAAATCTTCCAAAACCGCCCGGAGGACTTTGGAGGATTGAGAGGGGTAAGGGGTAAGGAGTAATTTCAAATGTTCAATAACTGTCAGCAATTTCAATAAGCAATGTTATTTTTATTTTCCACTCATCTAAATGAAAAAGGAAACGAAAAAGGAAACAAGGCCACAGCCTTTGCCAAATGTTTTTGGAGGGACCACACCCTTTTTTAGCTCATTCCAAAACCTGATCTAACTTTTTTTTTATGCTGTGTAGGTGCAATCTGTGGCGTGGCATCCATTTGAGGCACAGTCTTTAGCCAGCGGCAGCTTTGATATGTAAGTGGGTCCTTCTTTAAAGTTAGGGTCCAAAGTCTGATATTTCCCTGTCCCTGTTACCTATGAACTTTGTAACTTGCCATTCAAGTGTCATTTCAAATAACTGATTTTTATTTGTTCGGTAGGATGTTTGCTTCACATAATCATTCTCAAAGGACGATACATTAACCCTAACCCCTAGACGGCTTTAGTTAGGACCATCCTCATTCCTGCAAAATCCTCCAATTGCCACCATGTAAGCGTTTGATTCAGCCTCAAATCCTCCACAATCATTCGTTGTTACGTGAATTCGTTCAGTGGAGGGGTGACCATTGCCTCAATCCTTCAAAATCCTCCAACAATCACTGTTAATGGGTTGAGGCAGTGCCGATGACATTCAGAAGTAGTGCGGATGATATTGAGCATAATGTAGGGCTCAATTATGCACGGCTGAACATAAACAATGCAGGGTACAACTTACGAACTTGACTTCAGTGCCATTGCCATTGTGTTACGCCCACACTCCTCTGCAAAGGTGCTCAGGTTTGTACACATTAACCCTAACCTTACCCATATTATGTGAAGCAGAGTCAGTGATGGATTTTGTTGGACTTGGTTCTGTTCTTAGTAAAACTCAGTTGGGAGCGAGGGTTAAAGATGAAAAGTTGGTTGTGCATTCTCTGTGCCATATACGTGTGAGCAAACCATTGCACGCGAAGGTGTTTCCCACATAAGGTTCTTGTGAGCTCGCCACACAGGAGCAACCACTTCCCTGCACAAGTTCAACTTTGTTTTTAGCATTGATAAATGAATGTATTTGTGTGACAGGTCGGTGAAAGTGTACGATTGTCGCAGTCCTCACGACAGCTTCAAAACCTGGTCCCTGGATGGTGAGATTGAGCGAGTCATTTGGGACCACTTTCAACCGTTCCACTTCCTGGTCAGTACAGTCTTCCTTTATTTCTTCTGGAGATGATTTTTCATTTTACTGGACAAGGATTTGTCTTTATCATTGAAATGATACAAACGAGTACTGTGTACCAGTGTCCTCCCATAGGGTTTGGGCAGACGTGGCCATTAGGTTATAAACTTTTTTCTAACAAGTTATTTTGAATCGGTCACTTCAAATTTTACCTTGCAACAAGAAGAGTGCGAGATTTCACAGATTTTGATTGTTAGAAAACTCTTTAACAACATGAGGATTTAAGGACCATAGTATCATGGTTATATCTATCAGTGCTGTAGTTATCACAACGAGCTGCTAATACTCGGCCAAAAGGCATTAACGTACATGTTTACGTCTGAATAGAACACCCTCTGTGTTCAGGAAAGAACACTTTCTCTGAAGTTGTGCCTTCAGCATGTGCAATAAAGGCTTTTGCTCGCTACACTGACCTGCTAAATGTTACCCCATAGAAAAAACAAAGAAACTATTGTGTTATCTAAGAGTTTTAGCAACAAACTTCATAGCTTGTTCAGGTGTTAACATACAATGAGTTCCTAAGGGTTGTCTTGGTCGAAATTTGTTTGGGGAAAAAAATTAAAGCACAATTTGGATACAGCAGTAATGACTGAATTTCATAGCCAAAATCATCTTCAATATTACTAAAAGCTTTTGCTTATAGACCATTATCATGTTGCAGCCATCATGATTTTTTCCCATTCAAGTTAACGTAACCAAAGTGAGGCTGGAAGGAAGAAAAGTCTGGTTCCTTTTTGCACCAAAAAACAGTATCATTCAGTACTGTTATTAGATACAGGGAACATGACTGAAATGGTGGCAGCATGCTAAAGGTCAATTAACTTTGATTTTTGACTCCCAGGCGAGTACAGACAAAGGCAACATATATTGTATGGACGTCCGGACAGACAAGTCTATCTTCACACTGAAAGCTCACGACGACGCAGTGACTGCATTGAGTCTGAGCACCGAGGTGCCCTCATGTCTGGTCACGGCCTCAGCGGATCATCAGTACAAAGTGTGGGACATAAAGGTAAGGGGGGGGGGGGGGAATACTAACAGTGGCGTCACCAGACTTTTCAGTCTGGGGGGGCACAGGGGGGGGGGGGGCACCAGCATTTGATGGGGGGGGGGGGCACTTAGGTGGATACGGAGGATGGGCTAGATGCAAAATGGTGCCACATTTGATGCTAAATTTCGATCTGAAGATATCTCCAGAAATTGCTATTTTTGAGGTAATGATTTTAACAACGCGCAGAATTTTGCAGAGGATAGGGGGGGGGCACCAGCATTTGATGGGGGGGCACTCGGGGGGGGGGGGGGGGGCACTAGGTTTTCCAGGGGGGGCACGTGCCCCCCCTGGCCCCCCCTTGGCGACGCCACTGAATACTAAAGCAAACCTTTGGCTAACATTGTGATTAAGCAGGGAATTAACCCTAACAGAACGCAATCCATCAAACCCCAACGGCATGTTTTGTTGGAATCTGTCAGGATAGGTACAGTACCCCTAAACTGACAGTCTTTTACATTGGGTTGGCACGCCTCCAGAATCAAAGTCAGAAATATGTGTGTGCAGTTTCCCATATGGTGTTGGAGTTTGCCAGGATGGGTATGGTTCCTAGTAAATCATGCTAGGGAGTTGGGGTTAATCAATTTTTTTTGCATCTGTCATATTTTAGCCTTTTTCTACTGGAAACAAATATTTTCATTTATTGCACTACTTTAAAGGATTGTAGACTTTTGAGAAATGTTGAATAAAAAAACGAGAATTACAGATTCTGAAATCATAAAAAGCCCCCCAAATAAGGGGGGGGGGGGAAATTTACATAGAAATGGCCACGAAAACCCCTGGACAAAGTATAGTGTTTATAAAATACGTTGGTGATGGGCTCAACCCAATATGAAATTAACATCGCCCCAACACAATTCAATTGAAGTAAATAAGAGGAAATCCTTTCATCAAAAACGTCTTATAAAGCACTCAAGTTTTGTGTTCTGTTTCACTTTTCCATTTCATTTTTTAACTTGGGTCAACTGAATTGTAGGATCTCTCTTTTAAGATTTGTTTTCAAATTAGGTTTTGCCCTTCACCGACGTATAAACACTGTATACTCAGTGTGTTACCTCCCGAGTGAAAGTTGGAAAAAAATCACTTGGGTGGGACTCGAACCCACGACCTCCTGCTCTCTAGTGCAGACCTCCTGCTCTCTAGTGCAGACATCTTACCACTCGACCACCGAGCTAACGGGATCGGTTGGCTGGTTGGAATCTGATGTACAAAGTGGGGTTTTTTTGGTCTTTTTTTTTCTTCAGGACAACAAGCCTTCTCTGATTGTGTCCAAGGACCCCAAGATGGGAACCATTAACTGCGTCCACTGCAGTCCCAACTCACCGTTCATCTTTGCCTTAGGTGGGGAGAGAGACGGCATGAGATTGATTGACATCACGTCACACGCACCAGGTAAGATTGGGAAATGTTTTTTTGCACTATGCTTGTTGAATCACACAGCTGGCCTGTCTCCCTTTCTGTTATGTTTGAAGAATTCCTTTGTCAGTCGAATAGTTGACAAGAAGGACCCTTACTCCAGCAACTATTTTGTTACATGTGTGGAAGAAAGTCGAAAGTGCTCAGAGTGTGGACTTTTAAAGATGCGTATGCTTTTTACTAAAGAGTCTCAAGAAAATACTTCATGTGGATTCAGGCCCCTTCTTTCATACACAAGCCCTTTTTGCAAGCAATAATGTACTGGGTGAAACTGTTTTTGTCCAAATGGTGCAGTTGGACCCCTCCTTTTTGCGTTTTTTTGTCAGGAAATAAATAAATAAATGGGGGCTAAATGCCCTTACTTGTAGCTGAGAAGCTACATTGCAAAGAACGCTGCTACAACGTGCTCGGGCAGATGGTATGTAAAGGTGCCTTAGTCTGATGCCATATGACCCATGTCAGAGATCGAAAGTGTTGATTTTTGCGGAGGGAGGAATATCGGAGAGCCGGAAGAAAAACCCAGGAATCGAACCCGGGCCACAGTGGTGGGAGGCAAGCACCTTACGTACTAGCCACCCATGCCACCACAAATGCATAATATGGCATGAAGTTTTTATCAACACATTGTCTTTGAGCTGCACATGCCGATTATTAACAGTCAAAAAAATAACTTGGTAAGGCCAAAAAAAAAAAGTCTCCTGTTTCTGGTATGTAGCTTGCCCCAAAAGTGGTGCGGCGACGCGTTTTTATTTATTTTTTTTTACCTGTTTTTTTTTTTTTTTTGGCTTCAAATGTCGGCTGATGACTGCAAATGGTGCCCGACTAAACTTAGTGCAAATATATGGGAGTCCAGAGAGGCCACATAAAGCTTATTTTCGACCATAACCCCATCTAAAAACACGTTAAAATCGTGCAGCAGCAGGATTCCAGTCAAACCAGTGAGTTTGGCGGTTTTGAGACATCATCTTGTATTGAAAAAAAACCTTTTTCATTTTGCCGACGCGCATGGCTACGGCGACGCGCGCGCATACCAGAAACCGGAGACTTTTTTTTTTTGGCCTAACTGGAGCATTTTTTTATATCACAGTGCACAGGCAGTTTGGCAAACGACGACGCCATCCTGCTCAACAGACCCACGCCTCTGATGAAAGCGACCAATCAACGAGCACGCACCAACCTAGCACATCACATGATTCAGATATCTCCATGGAAACGGGGAGAACGGCTTCCACGGAAACCGGCGCCAGGGGCGACAGCGAAAAGAAGGCAAAAAAGAAGAAAAAGAAAAAGCCATCAACAACTTGAATTCACTGGATTTTTTGTGTTGTCTCATGATGCTTTTTAAATTGTAAAATTTATATTCATCAAAATGTGTCATAAATTATTATGCTGCAGTTAACTGGGCTTTAATATTCAACTTCAATATGCATTGTCAAAGATCAAATTGGTCTGGTTCCCTGACTCGACAATTCTCCGACGTCTATGAATTGCCCTGTTTCGTCTGAGGTTTCGTCTGAAGTTGGTCTGGTTCCCTGACCCAACAATTCTCCGACGTCTCCGACGTCTATAAATTGCCCTGTTTCGTCTGAGGTAGGGTCAGGTAACAGACTACAAGAACAGCACTTTTTTTCTTGGTTTTCCAGCATCCATGAACGGAAGTTTATAAATAAAAAAAAAAACCCACACATCTATTTGCATTCCATAGATACACGACAATCGACTGTACTGAACTGTGTTGAAAGATGCATACACATCAAATAAAACAACTTTTCAACAAGCTTGCGAAGTATCTGTTATCATATTTATTATAATGCCAAGAAAGTCTGAGAGCAAATTATGTGCAAGACGGGCAGACCTAATTTCTAATTGTGTTGAGTTGCTTATACTATTTGACACAAAAGGCATTAAAGGGTCAATCATGTTAGCTGTAACTGAAATGAAAATAAAGATTTGGTGTCTTTTTTTCAGTTAAACAGTACACATTGGATGACGTGTATACACGCAAAGGTGTTGCGGTATTCGGAACGGATGACGGATAAACACGCAACAAGCGAGACCGGTCGATGTCAAAATAGTCCCGGTGCGAAATGGTTAAAGAAAAGCATTTTATATAATTCGTACTACAATTGGAAATTGTTCCTTGTCGTATGCATAAATTTTTTTTTTTCATGATTGTGGTTCGTAACGGCTGGTTTGGCAGATAGTTGACAATGTTTATACTTAGAAAACCTTGCTTCAATGTCGCTTAATATCCTAGGATAAAACAGTATAAGTTATGTTATGGTTTAAGTTATTCACATCCTTTTTCGGTTGACCGCTTGACTGACTTCCGTGCAGGGACTGAAGAAAGTACTGGGTGGACATCTCACAAAATGTGCACACACTGGTCCGCTGGACCTCCGACGGTACAGACGACAAATTTCCAACTGTGATGTGCCCAAACCAGTGGTGGCTTTCATTGAAACAGAACTGCATTCGAGATCTTGTACCAGTCACGCTGTCCGACTACAAACTGTCCAGATAAATTTCTACAAATGTCCTATTGCAAAAAGTCTGTGACTTCCTCTAGCTCTCGTTGCCTAGCTTGATGATGGGCCCACCTGTCCTCGGCAAGTTTGGGCGTCACGTTCCATTTGTTGTGGTACAGTCTCTTGCCGCACTGCGGACACTTCTTGCCCCCTGGAAAATGTCGGACCAAAAAAAAACCACTTTATAAGTTTTGAAGGTTTGCATGGTGAAGAAAGCACCATGTGACAAATCTCTCTCGTGACTTTGTGAGGTTCTGAAAAGATCCGGGTGAAACTCGACTTTTAGGATAGTATGCTCTGCCTGTCATCAGGGCCCAATTTCACGGCGCTGCTAAGCACATGATTTTATGCTAACAGAGCCTCCGTCTATTTCATGGAGACCTTAAGCATAAGCCCAGCAAAAGGCACGCCTACCTCAGAGGAAAAATTTGCTGAACTTAGTGACGTAACAATAGAAATCTCCATGCACGCGCGACCGTTAGCACGTCCACGACGTGAAATAGTGCTTACGGTTAGCAAATTTTTCTGCTATGCTGAGCACAACTTTTCTGCTAACTGTTCAGCAGCGCCGTGAAATTGGGCCCAGGAGACTGAATGGATTCCAACAGTAACTAACATTCACTTTCAGATTGGTACTTCCAGAGTCGCGCTGAACCAAATTGTTCGGAAATTTCGAATAAAGAACAAGAAAAGATTTGACTTTCAAAATCAATTACGCGTGATTGAAACTTATTTATTGACCACTGCAATTGTTTAGAATGATTCCACAGTCAATCTGCTTTAGTCTTTTTGAAAATGAATGCGTACAATTCACTGAAACCAACATTTATTTCGGTTGACCGGAGTCGGTCCAAAATTATTTGGTTTCGGGCGACTCAAGAATGAAAGTATGAAACAAGTATTAACCTTGCAGTGAGTTTACCAATGTCTTTGATACGTAGGTTTTCGTTGGGAAAAGGAAATTTTACCTGTGAAAGGCGGTGTTTTCATATATTCATCTACGCAGCCATGATGAAACAAATGTCCACAGTACATCCATTCTATATGTCTGCCGTGCATCGGGTTATTCACTACATGCTGAAACCATAACAAAAAGAACTATCAAAGTAGAATCCACGAGACCTGTCTTCCTGAAAGGATTCAGTTGTATGTAACTGTATTTTACAACACAAAACCTTTAGATCAAGGGTTTGTACAAGATTTTTTTAGCGCAAGTTTTTTTAATGCAAAATTATGTAAGCTAAAACTTACATACATTTGTATGAAACACTCTTGAGGATCCTGAAAACAGTATCACAGATTAGTTATTTAGTTTCGTTTGCCAGCAAAATATTGAAATATTAAGTCAATTTGGGGATGTTCTCCATAACTGTCAACAGTTTGAAGTGTGCTTCAAGGTTTTATAATAATGGAACTCTCTCTCCTCTCTAAATGCTTATCTCTTAAGATTTGATTATTCTACATCCTGTTCTTTACGATTACTAAATTTCAAGTAAATAATATTTCAGATAATAATTTTGTTTCGGGATTCTAACCAAACAGTGTATATTTCCTGTGAGACCCTTAATAGCTTTGCTAACTTTCAAATATTTCTATTTAACCAAAACCCTCCAGATCTTTACAAATCCAACAAAAGATTTCAGACAATTTGCACAAAAATGCCTAGGTTGTTGGGATCAAGATCCAGTTATTACCTCTGGTTTCTTTGGGTATGCCTTTTCGTGACATAAATGGCAGACCTCTGTCGGGTATCTGCGTACGCACTCGCGGACTAAGAACTCGCAGACTGGTTGGAGGGATGGTTTAGCTTCAAAGGGTGGATCCCTGTCAATGTAATGGAACGAACATGAGCATTCTGATTTGGGGTTGAAATTTAACATGTTGCTAATAGAAAACAGGATTCATAAAATGCCCAAGGCATTGTAGCTCGCAAGCCTGACGAAAACTACACGGAGAGAATTGAAGAGATACATGTACAGATGGGCAGTTCCACAGTGTCGGACGTACGTTTTGGAAAATTAAACTGTGGATAATTATAGTTATAATTACAGAGTGGATTTTAATTCTGATAAAACATAATCAGTTAATTGCTACAATGATTTAAAACAAAATTTATTCATCGAACTTTTTTTGCTGTAGTCAAAATTGGCTCAAAACACCATGGTGTTAAACGTACGCATACAAATTGATCATATGTGAACCAATTAATAAAAAAAAAATTTCAGTTGCACGTAACAGCTGAACTGTCGAACATTGTTAGAAATAAACTATATTTCAGTAAAATACAGATAGTAAGCTATGATACTATACATGTTCCATTTTTCGCAGGTTTTGAACATTTTGAGATGTTGGCATTGAGGTTTATAATTCTGTGAAATTGCCCAGGTGAGAGGAAAGCCCCAGGTAACTATTCTTTATAGGGAAAACCCACAAAGTCAAGTAGGATGTAAAATCACCCCATCCACACGTGGGCCTGTGTGGGATTACAAACCCAGGCCACAGGTGAAAGGCGAGGAAAGTCCCACTGAGCCAACAAGACTGAACAGGAGAACTATGTACGGCTTCACACATTAAATGCTGAATATCTTTTCTGATTATTCAAACAACAAAGGAATGTACAAGATTTCAAACAACTCACTTGGGCTTCTTTTTGAGTGGTGGTGTGACACACTGCCTGGCAATCTCCACGGCTTGCGAGGCGAACATTTTGGAAAATATTTCCGGGAAATTGTGATCCACCTCTCCGATTCTGCAGGGGACCAGAACAAAAAAGTGAGCTCACTGTTAAGACAGAAAAGGGTGCTTTTGTGTGTTCCTCTCCTAAAAAGACTGACAAATGGCACACTTTTGGCAGCAACATAGTGAACCTTTAATCACTAAGTAGCCATGCTCACTGCACTGGGTTGATTTTGAAGAAATGCAAAAAAGTTGCCTCCACTATCTGTGTCTATGAAATGCCATCACAAAATTACCAGAGGATGATTTTTTAAAAACTTTTAAACATAAAGCGTGAAACATTACTTCAGTTTACATCCAGCAAAATTTTTCTCCTCCTACTTACTGGACTTGTTCCTCAGGATAATTGTCCGGTACAGTCAACTTGATTTTCCAGAAGTAGTCAAACTTTCGTATCGTGTGGATAATGACGCCGGCTTTTTGTTTCGTCTTGAATGTGTCTTGATCCTCCACCAGTTCTTTCTTGATGTACGCAAGCTCCTCGCTGCATGGCGTGAAGGGGTTGTCGTCTATAAACTGGCGGATGAATTTCAACATGGGCATCACCTACAAAATGAAACAGTTTGAATCTGATACGTGGGAAATGGGAATCAAAGAGTTGCTATTTCAAGAAATGTAGTTCGGGTAAAATAAAACCATCACTTAAAGGGAATGTACATCCTTGGCTTTTGCTGTAATTTTCAGAAATGAACTATTTGAGGGGTTAGTATAATAGATCAAATATTGTTACACTGACATGTTTGAAGTTTTGTGTTCGAAAATGCTGGAAAAACCAAGAAAAACAAAAATGTTCAAGTAGTCTGGTTCCCTGACTCCACTAAAGATAAAATGGATCCATTTATAGATGCCGGAAAATTGTAAGGTAAAGGTTTAGCTGACCTGCACCGGTTCATGAACATGTAACCAATAAGCAAACAAAATTTGGACTGAAGAAATGGTAAATTTTGAGCAGTAGTTGCTAAATAGTTAGGTTTTTCCAACGGTGGTCGGCCGACCACTGTTGGAAATGTATACAAAAATACCATTTTCTTGAAAATGACTTCACACCAGGTGCCATAATTTTACAGGATGCTTTGCTTTAGACTGTCATTTACCAACGTCCTAGCAAGGTATTTCGTAAAAACTTCGTAGTTTTATTTTCGATGTTTGCAAATGTTGTATATTCCCTTTAAAGAGTGCGAGTTTTCTCTCCGCCAAACAAGTATTTGTAAAAGTAATAACCCCTTGATTGAAAAGATCAAGCCTGAAAAAAAAAAGGCCAAAAGAACACAGACCGTATACTGCAACTGTACCTTGACCCTAACTCTCTAGGGTGATTTACTAGGAACCTTCCCAACTCGGGCAAGTTCCAACACCATATGGTAAACTCTACAAAAAAAACTGTTGGACTCTGATTATTGGTGGTATGCCTAACCCCATGTAAAGCATAATCAGTTTACTAGTGTAGCACTCATCCTAACAGATTCAAGACAAACCCTAGTGTTGGAGTTTAACGTGATGGGGATTGTTAGGGTTAAAATGCTGCAAAACATATACATGTACATGTACATTGTTAATATGGTAACATACTAACCTGCTGTTTGCCAAGTAGCTTCTTAGCCTCATTGTCGCATATCCTGACTAACCCCTCCCGTAGCTTCTCAGGAATTGTCTTGCTCTTGATCTCAATCACAATAGGTGTGTCTGGGTAACCATCATAGAACTGGAGGCACGCATCCAACTGCTTGAACTTGGTTCTCCTACAGAAAAATAATCCCCCCAAAAATTGGCCTTAAGTACAGCTCTCTCATAACAATCAGGTTAAATCTATAAAAAAAAAAAAACTTCAGTGATCAAGCCAGAAAGAAGACATGTATTTTTGGTTCACTTATATTTACGTTAAGACAAAAAAGGGAAAAATAATACTTCATTTTTATTGTGCAAATTCCATAGCAAATATATTCAAATAGAAACAAGACCATACTGATCCACAGAGGACAGGTAAATATGAAGTTTGAAAGTTAAGTTACTAGAAAAAGTTTTGAAACTGTCTGTGAAGACAAATATAAGGCAATAGAGCATCGAAAGAGAGGTCCTTAGTTCTCTTTTCTTGTGAGAAGTAAAAAGCAAAGGTTCTTAATGTCTTATTATGACTGACAGCACTAACAGCCTCGCTTTGGCAACCAATCTCTGAGTTGTAGTGTAATCCTCATAGTCTTCAAAAGTCAAAGTCAATCACATCAAATCAAGTCGCAAATGAGCGGTGTCAAAGGTGTAGGTGGTCGCTGAAAGTCAAGGATTTTTTTACAATGTACATTGGCTTATCTAGCTCCCAGACCTATGTTCTTGAAACTCAATGGTACTTGAGTCTGGAGTGCTGAATGGTATCACAAAGCAGCCGATGAAAACTGGTGTGCAAATGAATCTGATGTTTTCATCGGATGAAACTCTGCCCCGATATATTCCGTTATCGTTATGCATTGCCGGTCCTTTGTGATCTGGCTTGTGAGTGACTCGTGATTGCCACATTTTGCAGTATCTGACCGTCTTATTGAATTCTTACGTGATTTTGACTCTGACAGATATGGGATGGCAGGCGATGATCTCAGACCCCTCGATCTCATCCAGACATCTCTTCTTGACTCCGGCCAGCTCTTCCGCAATGAACGATGATGCCATTATAGATGGATCTTTCGGCAGAAAATATATACCATGAATAGTAATACATGTATATGAATCAAAATCGTCTTACCCCACCTCATTAAGAATGTATGTTATTTCCAAGCATAATGGCTGTTGAATTGTATTTGTGGGTGTGATCTGTGGATCTGCGCGATCAGGTGATTGTGCTGTGCAAGTGACTGATGACTGTGCGATCAAGTGATGTTTGGATGAATTTTGATGAATCAAAATTGTGAATGCATGGCAAAGTTAAAATAATATTTGACTGAATCTGTACAATCATCAAGACAAGCAGGACAAGAGGATCAATTCACAATAGCAATGAAACCCAATCTTTATTAAGAAGATACAGGATTAGCCACATGTTAGCTGAGGGCGTCTTCATTTTCTTTTGTCGCCGCGCTGTCATCGCATTCTAGTTTTCTACCTCCAAATTTCCCTCAAAAAAATCAAAACCCTGCCTTCTATCTGTGACATACCTGTTTCTTGAGAACGTCGCCAACTTGGTCGGTCTAATAATTTTAAAGTAGATTTCGTTCCCCTATCCTAAGAGGAACCGGGCCCTACACTACACGATCGCTATGTCATGCATGTGTTGTGCCCATTCTTGAAAATCACGCATTCTCGAGAATGGGCATGCACATTCTTGAGAATGTGCAACTGGATCCTTGCTCAATCTTGGCAAAAAATAACTCTTCCAGATTGAGCGCACATTCTCGAGAATGCGCGACAAGATAACGGTCTTGTCGATGCCGAGCACCGGCTGCGCTTGGCAAGTCTAGCTGAATCCTCGTTCACTGATTCTCAATAATTATACTGTTGCAACGCAAGGCGCTGAAAAGTAGAGTGGATATGATAAGTAAAGGCGTATTAATATGGGGGGGGGGGGGGGGCCGGGAAAATATAAGAGACATAATAATACTAGTGCAAAGAATTCTGATTTTTGGGATAATAAAAGCGGGGGGGGGGGGGGGGGGGGGACGTAAGAATGAAGAATGTGAAGAATGAGAATGAATACTGCGACATCCCATAGTGCTAATGCTATTTCCCATTTAAATTGCCACCAATTTATTGTTCACATCCCACCATAACGTCGCAGAGCTGGATTCTATCTAGTCAAAAGAGCAATTTTGGCAGCTTCTGGACATCGTTTTTTTTTCGTGGCACGCATATGATACATGCAGGGACTTGTCTTGTAACTTGTCTAGCCTAAACAAAGCACTTCCCAGACTAGTTCCCAGTCCTCCGTTATTACAAAACTTCCCATAGTGGGCAGAAAAAAAGCAATAATAACAGGTTTAATTTGATTCAAATTATCGTAGTTATACGAGTACAGAAGCATAGCACATTTTCTTTCCTCTTTATATGAATTGTTTCCCTTTTAACCGCTATACAATTCATTTAACATAATTATGTCGTGCAATGTTTGTTAAGATTGGGCAAAATTCATAAATTGTGCACGTGATATTCCCACCCAATCTTAAGAATGAGCACTCATTCTTAAGAACGCGTGCTCGTTCTTAAGAATGGGCGCTCATTCTTTAGAATGCGCGCCCATTCTCGAGAATGTGCATGCCCATTCTCGAGAATGCGTGATTTTCAAGAATGGGCACAACACATGCATCGTCGTTTGTCATTTGTAAACAAATAAATAAACCTCCCAAATGCCACCCATGGACCCAATCTATAAGACGGACTAACACTTGTTAAACTATTACTAGTTTTACTTCATTTAATATTTTAACTACAGTATTAATTATTTCCAAATTTATTCATGTATTTCTTACTTCCAAGTCACCTGGAGGAAGGAAAACAACCAAAGCTAGCACTAGCACTAGCAGAACTTAGAAGTTTCCGATTTTTGTGCAATAGCTAGGTACCCTCCGCTAACTTAATAATCACGACTATTTCGATACGCCTGGGTGTAAGACCCTTGCAAAACGAGCACATTCAGGAATTCAACAGCGCCCTCTCGTGATTTCTACCGATTACTTCCAGCTGGATGCCGAGCACAAAAACAGCAGATTGTCGAAGATTTAGTCCACTGAATGTTTCAGAGTTGCTAATGCAGTTAGATATTTGCACACGAATCTAAAGGGGCTGGTGAGTACTGCCATAGATTTCCTGCTACAGATAGTGTTGTTGAGGGGTCCGTTTTGTTGCAGACACTTTGGCAGGAAACTGGACTGTGAAACTTCATTGCAATTTGCAGCTGGTTTCTTTGTTTACATTGTATGGATGTGCGGGTTGGAACGTTGGGGATGTCGAGCGCAAAGTGAGTCCCCCGCGCAAGTTTAAACTTGCGAACACGCAAGTTTAAACTTGCGCGCGCATTCATTTCCTTGCTACAAATTGCACACGCAAGTTTAAACTTGCGCACTGCATAGATTTTCCCGGCCACAAAAACAATTCTTCATCAATGAAAATCCCGCCCGCAAAAGAAGGTTGCGATCACCTTTGCGCAAGTTTAAACTTGCGCATGCAAATTAAAATGGCGCGGTGTAATTTGCGTGCTTCAGGAGTCCCTCGCGCAAGTTTAAACTTGCGTGGGGGACTCAAATTGCGCTCGACAGGGATATGGGATGGGGCCCTTGTGGCCGGGGGGGGGGGGGGGGGGGTATGCAGTGTGTCTTAACTCCTCTTTCTTCATCACGTAACCTTCATCAGCTCCAATAATGGCCAATCATTGCAGAAATATAACAAAAAAATTTCACAATAAAAAAAAAAATAATGGTTTTGGAACTGGAAGTGTATATTTAATGGGCTAAATTTAGCCAGCTTTCTTTCAGTAAGCGATATAAAGTCAGCTAGATCGTACAGCGCCCTCTTTGACGTGTTGTGAGTAGGCCCATTGACGTGATTGACCTGTCATGCCTGTTTGTGAAAGCCCAGTCGCCAAGTGGAGGGGCGCATGCCGTGTATGAAGGGCGTCAATCGCTTCTCAAAGGGGGGGGGGGGGGGGGGGGGGGACATACCTTGATGAGCACTAATGCAAGCGCAAAGCCCTAACGGTGTGTGGGGTCCGGGGCCCGCTTAAGAGTCCCGGAAAATTGCTGGATTCTAGACGCTGTGTGCTGCGATCTGAGGCCATTTCTGACCACTTTCCCCTGATTATTTTGAGCAGAAGTTGGTTTCACAAACCAATTTTTGTGAGCAAAAGATCATTTTTTAAAGATAGTGGATATTTTGCCGGAGGTAATGACTGTAAACTAACGATTACTAAAGGTTTGCCGGCGGCAATCCATATCAACAGAGGGCGCTGTACTCTTTAAAATAGGGCTGAATTATAAGATGTATTAAATTCCCACCAAAACTTGTGTAGCACGTTTGGTGTAATGGTTAAGCAAAGGCTCTGGTAAGCGGGATGACTCGCGTTCGATTCCGACCGCACCACATTTTTAAGTTTTTTTTTCTCATCCCCAAATAAATAAGAATATTCTTCTTTTATTATTTTAACATGTCTCAAACATTTTATTGCAGAGTATTACATTTTCTTTTTCAGATTTGTGGCTCTGGAGGATTTTTTTAAAAGGGAAATAAAGTCCGAAATTATAAAATGGTCTGAATCCCATCTTGTGAATACGAGGTAACAACGATAATTTTGGCATGGAGCCAGACTAAAACTTGTCACCGGAAAATGTTATAAGTACAAAAAAACAGTAACTGCGCATGTTCAGTGCATATCCGGCAAACTAACGTTTACTAAAGGTTTGCCGTCTCCGGCAAAATATACACTGCCTTTTTTAAACATTATATTCGAGTTTTGTGTCATTGAATCAGCTATTATGAGCTGTAGAATTATTACATTGGCTACAATTTTTATTCAGGGACGAAAAAAGTGGGGGGGGGGGACAAACAGTATAATATCCCCCACTTTACAAAGTGGGGGGGGGGGGGGGACCCCCCTTCCATGATGCAGGGGGGGGGGGAACCCATCCCCCACCTATTGACTCCCATGTAGGAAACACTTAGAACATTTTCTTGACTCTCCATAGACTTTGTACACAACTGCTGAAGTGGCGTCAAGTTGCTCAACTTGAGCAACACTCTTAAATTTGCATTGTTTGTTTCATAAATCTGTTTTATGTATGTATTCTTATGTACTGTGTTTTAGTGTTGCAACTGAGGTCTTTGACAACTGATGGGGCTAGTTTGATAAAAATAAATAAATAAATAAATAAAAACATACTCCTGCAATGAAAAGCATAAACCAGAAGTCAATTGTAGAATAATAGTTAAGATAACAGTACAATTGATAAATTGTAATTTATGACTTGTCCTGGAACCAGCATCTATTCCACTGGTTCACTCCATGTATCTGCTGGTACTCCTACCATACTGCTTGCAGTTGCACCGGCACTGTACCATAGAGCTTGGAAAAAGTTCTCTATAGATGCATCTAACCTTAATTCAGTCTGGTGAAAAGCCAGCGTGAAGAGTTTTGGTGACAGTTAAATTGCTTTGTGAAGACAGGCAGTCAACCTTGACAAATTTTGTGGATTTCTAACCTTTAAAAATCAGTCTAGCAAACAGGTTTAAATTGAAAAGTTACACTTGAAGAGTTTGGTTGTGCCAACAATGGTCAACTAGGAATATGTAGTATGTAGCACTAAACTCTGTAAGTTTGTGGTCAGTAAGAGCCCATGTTTCATTAATCAAGCAAGCTTGTTTTGTTCTCATTAATAACAAGCAATTCATTTAAAATGCCATTAATAATGTGGATGTTTATCATTTATATCCACATTACTTCCTCCTAGATTTCCTTATTAATTTATTTCTAGAATTAATTGGCAGCTAAGGTCTTAGATTTGGAGCCATTGGAACCCCCCCCCAAAAAAAAAAACCCCAAGAAATACACAAAAATACATATTTTGTGTTATAACTTTTATCTCATTGCTTCCAAGATCCATCAAAGTCCCATGAGTTATTTGTTGTTCAGGATTTTGCAGGATTAAAGCACATTTTACTTGCTCGAAGCCCCTTGAAAATAAATATATAAAGAGTGTGCCAATGTTAGTTTCCTGCACAGCAAGGCTTAGCCAGAGTGGTGTCTGAATGTCTGTTGGATACCTGGTACACAATTCTTGACACCCCAGTTTGCCCAATTTTTAAATGCTGACTTCAATTTTTAAATGCTGATTAGTATTTAACTGCCGACTTTTAAGCTCGGGACACTGCAGCGTGGTAGGTTTTGGAAGATTCATGAGTGTTCCAAGCAAAATTGTCTGGAGAGTTCCCAATGAAAAAATATTCTCTTTAAAATATTATTTTGTGGAACAGAACATTTGGTGTAAAGAAGACCCCTTTTAAGACCCACGTTCAGAGAGGCCAACCTGAGCAGAGATGCCTCTGGAAGACAAAGACAAGGACACCCCAAAATCGACGGGAGACGATTGTGGGGATTCCCCTGGAGCCAGCAATGCCTCGGATCAGGAGCCTGCCCTGGATTCCTCAGGGGAAGGGGAGATCTTCAGGAAGAGACAGCGAGTCAACAGTCCACGGAAGAATGAGCCAATGGGTAAGAAGAGTATCTAAAAACAAAAAAGACCCTACAAAAAACAAATAGCTTGATTCAGGCAAATACTGAAATCTCTGCTTACCAATATATTTAACCGTTAGTCACATCTGTGGCAATATTTAAACGGCTATTAAAAAAAAAATTCATCTCTGTTAAAACTATTTATGTCCCCCATCTTTTGCAACCTGAAGTATGGGCTGTAGGATTGTCCCCCAAGAATTTTATCTTCAGTGTACACACACAAAATGATCATGATCTCTTTCTTTATAAATCAAGATGGATTTGAAAGCGTAGGAATTGTAATCAAAACGAAAAGGGTGAAATCAGAGGAAGAACAGTACTCAAACCACTTCTTTAATTTCAAAATGTAATGTTTAGTCGAAAGTGCTGTAGCTTAACCCTTACTCCCTACTTAGTTTTACTAAGTAAAAGACCATGTCCCTCAAAATCCATCACTCACTCAGCTTAACGTACGTGTCATGCTTCAGGACCGAATCTGTTGAAATGCAACACTGGCGCTGGTGGATTTTGATGGACTTGGTGCATATGACTTATCTGCCCAAATTTCCCAAAATGGGGAATGGATTTGGATGGAGTTGGTAACGTTATGGTTAAAGTAAAAATCAAACATTTACTTTGTGAACATCCACATTTCTTTCAAAAACATAGCTAAAGCTATAAAAGCACATATTAAAATTTTAGAGAACAGATCAAATGAAATTGATGTCTTTATGATGATGCCTGCAGTATAGGAACAGATAGCTTGGTAGTTGGAGCTCAGTATATCTGGAGGTCAAAAGTTGGGATCCTATCTTGCTACATTGCATGAGTTTTAAAGGGTTTTTAATTTTTTTTGTAAAATGTTTAACAATTGTCTGGAGCTGGTCTTGAACCTGTTACTTCCAGAACACTGTAACAGCAATCTACCAATGAGGCTATCCAGTCCTGTATTGACAGTCTCCTATATTGTACAGTTTCTCTGTCCATGAAATGTTTGGAATGTTTATTTAATTTGTACTAGCCTCTCCCCACAAGCACGCTACATTTGAAGAGTTGCTTAAAACTGCTGGGCTGGTATCTAACATGGCGCTGGCTCATGAAATTGTGGTGGACGGAAACTTTAGGCTCAAGCCTCAGGATCTACCAGACAACTCGTAAGTTCAGTCTTACAGTTTCAATTTTCATTTGGAGTAAAAAAAACCCATTTTTTGCTGTGTATACTCTTGCCGAATTTATTATTGCACAACCATTTCTTCAGAACACCCCCCCCCCCACGCCAAGAAAAACCCAACTTATATTGTTTCATCGTTGTGTGTTGTTATTTTGCAGTATTGAAAAACAGGTCCGTGACATCATGCACAAAGCATTCTGGGATAGCTTGAAGGAGCAGCTTGAGGGTGACCCACCGTCCTACGACCATGCCATTATATTGTTGGGGGAGGTCAAAGAGGTATGAACTGTTCCATTTCGCAGGAGAAAGGGTTTTTGTAGTATACGTGTACCCAGTGGCACATTTTGTCACAGACTTTCAAGGAGATTTGAGTCCCATGCAAAGTGAAATTTACTAGGTTGTACTTCCGCAATCCCGAAAAATTCTCCGAGGATCCAGAAGTGTGAACACTAACCCTCCTCAATCCTCTTAAAATCCTCCATGAGGATTTTGGAGGATTGAGGAGGAATGGTGTTGAAGCACATGAGGATTTTGGAGGATTGAGGATGAATGGTGTTCTTTGGGAGGATTGAGGATGAATGCATTTTTAGAGGCAGGACTGTTGGATAATTTTGAATGTTTGAGACGCTGGGTATCCTTCATTTGAACATAAGTGCAAAATTTGGGAGTTTTTTGGAGGATTGAGGATGGTTCCTCGCAAAAAGGGCCTAGTGAGTTAGGGTTGGGTATCTGAATATGAGCCCAAGAGATTTCTCTCCAATTTCTTGTCTTGTTACTGCTGCCTCAGCAGTGGCACATCTCGTCGTACCTGAAATTTCCAGGAACATTAAAGTAGCCTTAAACTTTCCTCAATCCTGCAGAATCCTCCAAAGCATCCCGGTGGATTTTTAAAAGGATCTGAGGGAATAAAGGATTAACAAGTCAGAATCTGATGTGATTTTTTTCTCTTGCCAGTTCCTGGGCTCCTTGCTCCTGCCTCAGCAGGAACGTCTCCGCACCCAGATAGACGAGGTCATCGACCTGCCCCTGATCCAGCAGCAGGCCGAGCACGACGCCTTAGATGTCTATCACTATGGCAACTTCATCATCAGTACCATGGCGATGCTGTGTGCTCCAGTCCGGGACGAGGAGATTGCCAAGCTGAAGGATCTGGTAGATGTTGTGCAGCTCTTTAGGTAAACTTTGTCTATTCTCACACATGCTTTCAACCATAATTATTGAATGTTTTATCTCGTGGTGTAGTAAATGATTTAAAATCATTACAAATTTATTTTAAAATAAATCAAATGACAAGGATCTATATGTCAGTTTTATAAAACAAATATTGAGTGGCTTTAAATTATGAAATGGGAGGAGTATTATCGCTCGGTAAAATCTAGACTTTTCCAGTTCACTCGGCTTCGCCTCGTGAAATGGAAAAGTCCAGATTTTACCTTGCGATGATATTCCTCCCATTCCACTCTGAGCCACTAAATATTTGTATACCAGGAACTTTCCTGAATTCTCTATTATTCCACCACTGTGCAAGAACCTAGTGGCATGTTCTTTCAACTTCTTTATTCTCAAAGCACTTGAAGCCCATTCAAGTCCCATGTAATTTTTAACCAGGCTTACCCTGCTAAATCTTCCCAAACCTTCTTGAGGAGTTTCAAGGATCTGGCAGGTTTACAAACTATTTTTGAGTTAACTGAGCTCACAACGGCATGTAATATCAGCATCTGTATTTCGTTTTTAATTTCCAGAGAGATCTTTCGCATCCTGGAGTTGATGAAACTGGACATGGCTAACTACACACTGCAGAGCCTACGACCCCACCTCAAGCAGCAGTCAGTGGACTATGAGAGGGGCAAGTTCCAGGAATTTCTCAAGACACAACAAGGTACGTCTTGGAAGGATGAAGCAGTACAAATCCGCATTAACCCTTACTCTCTGAGGGTAGTTTACTGCATGTCAGTTGGTTATGCCAATGCCCTCCAGCTGCAGTTTATTGGCAGATAGTTTGTCTTAACAGTGAAGGCTCCAATTGGCAGGAGTTGGAGGCCCTGGAGGGTGCCTGATACTGACCAGCTGGGGGCACTCACTTTGTTATCAGAGGACTCTCATTGTTCTCTGTGGCATGTATTGGAGTGCCTGTCCAGTTACCCTTGAAATGACATGGCAGATATTGGAGGGCCATGCAAAAAACATAGGAGATTTTCTTGAGGCACATATTGGCATGCGTTGGAGGGTCTAGTAGGGTAAGGGTTAATAAGCATCAACATAAAATTTCTCATTTTCAACACAGGAGAGGGGTAATTACACAGACTGAGGGAGTCTCATAGAAGTTTTGAAGAATTTGACTATATCTCATTATGGCTCAATGAATTAACTGTGGAGCTGACAGGGATTTCTCCAGAATCTTCAGGATACAGTTAGCAGAAGTTTATTTGCCATTTTTTTCCCCAACATATTCTCTGTTTCTAATTGAGATAATTCGCCTGACAGCAGCATTTATTGCAACATTTTTGCAGTTTCTGGTTACCATGAATCCATTAATATGGACTGACTGTTTCCTATTATTGGTGCACTTAACAAACAAAATGCAATACAACATACATTTCTGCAAAACTCTTACACAAAACCTTGTAATGATGTAGTAGCCTTTTAATAAAACAGCAAAGATTCGTTTTTACAAGATTTTAGGGATAAGGCTTTTATTTGGCCATATCTGATAAACACAACATAACAATTCTTTACAGACTTGTGAATCCCTGACCATTACGTCATATGGAGTACATGTTACGTATGAGTGATGCACCTTGGGTTGATTTCATCAAGCGTTTTGACTTTTGACTCAACCTCAGATGGATTGGAGCTGACAAGAAAGTGGTTGGAAGAGGCGGCGGATGACCTGAGGTCACGTGAGCCCCAGCAGCCAATGGAGGGCGCTACATCCTCCACCTCCTCATCCCCATCACTCACACCAGTCATCATACTGAACCATGGCTACATGAGGCTTCTAGACTGGCAAGATGCACGCTTATTTCCAGAGGTAACTTTTTGTAGTCGTAGTTCATTTAAACGACATTCTTGCCCACGCTTCTGAAATTTTTGGCTGTTTCAGCCCCATACTTGAATTGAAGACTTGAAGTGTCGCACAGTTTCCCAATATTTACAAAAACTAGGTATGAAGGTGGGGGAGGGGGGGGGGGCTGCTGGTTGTTTTTTTTTCTAGGGCTGCTAGAGTCATTAACAGGTATCGGCTGGTGATCCAGAGTCGCACCAAACTAAATCATTCTGAAGATTTGAAGGAAGTACAGTGGAAGTCGCTATACCGAACACCGCTATACCGAACATACGTCTATTCCGAACATCATCCTTGGCTCCTGATTTTTGTGTAGAAAAACCAATCGAACATTGTTGTTGAAAAATATCATCAGAAGAGCGACAAGTGACTATTATTTAATAGAAGGGGAATGCCACCAATTGATGTAGGTAGTAAGCCCAAAACTGTTTAATTATATAATTGAATAGCCGGCACGCGCTCGCAGTCATCTTTCAGTAACTTCCAGAAAGCGCAGGGTTAAGTTATGGAGGGTGCTATTTATCGAAAAGTGAGTACAGGAGCACCGGCAGCTTAAAATCGCTATACCGAACGATTGCTATTACAAACATTTTCTGTGGATCTCGTGATGTTCGTTTTTGCGGCGTTCCACTGTACATAGAAAGTTCAACGTTTGAAACAATCAGGAGAGACAACATCAACGATCGACTGTTGCAGTCGTTAGGAGTGACTCCACGGTCTCGTCAATGAAAAATTAATCAATTAGCCTGTCTGAATCCAAAGTCTATTTTGGCCAACCCGAGGCACTTCCAATGCTATGTGCCTTGGCACAACTACTAGAATGTCAGTTTGAAACAAGTGTGAATTACCTATTTCTTTCACGGAGAGCCCCCTTATATGGTCAATCATGCAGGGCCAGATTATCCAATAGGAACAGTAGTCATCCTGAGTAGGGCCTACGAAAAATTTGGGGCCTACACAAAAATTGAGGGCCTACGAAAATACAAGTGTGTCATAAACCACACACACCCACTTTAAAATCCACGCAGACACAAGAAAAGTTTTAGCGTCTCTCTCCGAGTTTTCGATTTTTGGAAAGCTTCAAACAAGCTGGTATATAGCTGACTCCGAACCTCAATACATGTACGTGTGATACATTGTAATAGCTGTAGTAAACCCAATACATGTATACATTGTACAGGCTTTTAGAGCTACCAGTGAATAGCCTGGCTTGCTTAGTACAGCATAGCATAGCTTAGCTTCAACATGAATTGCGAGGCTTGAGCTCTTACCAGAGCTGTGAAATTGGTGCCGATAACTAGGGCCGAGTAGGTCCTACGGAACACTGGTGCCTAGGGCCTTAGTATGGAACACTTAATCCGGGGCTGCAGTCATGACATCTTTGTGTTTTGGCCTCCTTTGATCAGACAATCGTCATGGACCAGGCCAGACTGCAAGAGATGGCAGACAGGTTGCGGAAGTCGGTGCTGATCGCCACCGTCCTACTGGTGACTTACACCAACGTGGGACCAATCATCACTAGCATACAGGGCTTCCCGAGTAACTTGAAGCACCACATCGATACCATCCTAGAGGGAGTCAAGTAAGTAGAGAGGTGGGACTGGTGCCTGGAACCAGAGTTTTGATTGAGTCAATCACAACTCAGTCACAAGCTGATCACAAGTCAAATCACTAGGCAGTCACAAGTAAGTTCACAAGTAACAGGGGATAAACAAACACAGGTAGAATTTTTTTGGGGTCAAAGTTCATTTTTTCGTTGTCACTTGATTTGATTCTTGTGGTTGACTTTTTCTTGACTTGAATACATCTCTTGTTCATAACTTGACCATTATGCGATTACAGGAATTCGTATTAAGCTTCCTTTGGTTTGATTGGTCACAAACAGTCGAAAATTCAATACTGTTCCCCTGCCATTCCTTTTACACAGGCTAGTCACCAACAGTCAGATCATATTTCTTATAGGCACTGTGACAGACAAATTTCGTCAACGGACAAAAGTAGGTATTTGGTAGGCACAGCTGGCTTATCAATCCCCTACAGTCAAAGCATAGCTATATCAGGTTTCATAACAGTCACAGCCAGTCAATCCTGCTTTATGAAGCCAGGGAGCACCCAAATGTTAAAAACAGTCACTTGATTTATTTTGACTGCTGGGCTGGCCTTTGTTGAAATGGCCAGACAGAGAGGGAGGGTTTTAATGTTGTATTGAGAACCTTGTAACGTAATCAACTTTGTCTTAATTTCTTGGCTTGCTGTTTCAGTGATCACAGCGCCATAATGCCGAACGTTGCTGATCAGGTGTGCACCGATGTCGACAAGTGCCTGAAAGAACGCGGCATAGCTGAGATGGACGCCATGAAGACAGACGCCTTGAAAAGTCAGGTCATCGCAGCCGGCGACAGGGAGCACAGCGTCCACAAATTACTAGGTGAGGCAAAACATCTGGTACACTGAACGTGTATCAATCCATTAGTCCCTGTACTGCTTGTCTCATACCGCTCTGCCTGTAACTCCTTGTACCGCCCAAAACTGTCCAAGAACTGATGTATGGATTCATAGGGATTAAATACAATGTAATACAATGTAGTGCATGTGCCAAAATAGGTTAAATGAAAAGCCAATCATTGAATCTGAGTCTGAACTCCTTAGATCCCTTAAAATCCACCAGGAGATTTTAGATGATTGTTCGGGTTGGGGAAGGTAGAGCACAGCCACTATGACTTTACATGCTGTTTGATGCTCATTGAAATTTAATATAGACAAGAATTGGGGTCAAGCACAGTGGCGGATTGGGGAATTTACCAAACCGTTTGTAAATTTCTGTCAAAATCATCACCATCTTAAGTTTCAGAAAGCGTGATTGGATAGGCTTGCCTGCCACATGTCTCAGTTTCCCAGTCTAGACAGTATAGACAATGTAGGGAATACCAACTGATTCAGTATTTTTCCTGCAGGTGCTAAATTTGATATAAAAAAAGATTCTTGATTGTCTACATCATTCATAATCGACTGACACAGATCATATATGTGTATTTTTGTATGAATAGATTCCAGAGCCCGGTCCTTCATCAAAATGCTCATGAGTGGCCCAATCAACTTTGACCCGTCAACTCGCATCCCCCCGGGACTCACCACCATCCAGCCCCAGCTCCTAGAGGTCGCGGGTCAGTTTGTCAGGGTCATAGGTCACAACCGGACCGTCTACGGACCCTTCTACTCCGAAATTCTGGGCAAGATGCTGAACATCAGATGACAGTGATTCTAATGCTGAATGGACTTGACCAGTATTTGAAGAGTTTACTTCTAAAATGCGATATACGCCATTGTCTTCCCTTTTAGAATCCTGCTTTCCCCTGGCTGCCCAAAAGCAATTTTGAAGGTTTTATATAGTTCAACACAATGTTAAGAATTCAGTAAAGCCACACATGAAGTTTTGAAACAACCTTTTATATTGTTTAAAGTTTTAAAAATATACAAATTTTCCCCTTTTTTTCAAATGGATATGTCGCATTTTGGAAATAAATTCTTCGTTTTTATTAGGCAAAATATTTATTGTTTTTATTAGGAGTTGCCTACAAGATTTAAGGATGCACTTAATTTTTTTGTTAAATTTCAGCATTTACAAGGGAATAGGAATATGTTTACTGTTTTTCATTCAGGATTTTTTTTGGGGGGTACACCCAATAACTGTGGGTCAAATCATTTAAAAAGTATTTCTTACTGGAGAATGTTGGGAGCCGTGCTTTTGCGATATTAAAGATGTAGATAGAAATCAAAGCCTTGAATTGGACGGTTTCAAATGGAAATTTCATATGATGTTAATTTTTAAAGAGGATGCAATTAAAAATACCGATTGAATTGGCTGAAGGGTGGTTTCCCAAAGGAATATCACAAGTCATCACCAGAAGGAAGAGAATGTAGTAATTCATATCCAATTGTACTTGATGAAATCTTGGATTTTACGGATTTCGCAAACCTGGAAATGGCACAGTATTATTCTTGTAGGAGTATAAAACACTATGCAGTATTGAATTACTTTGCTGTGAGGTGTTTTTTTGGTATTGTCACTTACATATTTTGTTTTATAACATAGACTTCAAAAACAGAAGTTGACATTCTTCATTCATAGGAGCTAAACCATACAACAAATGTGTGATAATTGAACTTGAACTTTGTCTATTTGTTGGATGTTAACTCAAAATACATGTTATGATTATTGAGATTGTTGCCGAGGGAATGCCTTTCTTACAATTAATAAAAAATAATTGATTGCCATTTAATTAGTTTATATGTAAAAAAAATTCAGGGTTTGGTTTCCGTTTACAATTTATGTTTGCTGTGCGTCTTTACAAGAATCTGAAAGTATAGAAGGCAACTCTGTATGATAAATTGAGTAGAAGCTCCTGAATGTCATTGAGCTACTAAGGGGCCAATCAAAATTTTCAATGTTTGTAAATTTCGAATTAAAACGTGGAATTTTTTAAAGGTAATATATACAACATTTGCAAACATTTTTAAAAGTAATATACAACATTTGCAGACATAAAAAAACTACCAAATTATCATGAAATACCTTACTTGACTGTAAGTGAATAATAGTCTCAAGCATCCTGTGAGATCATGGCACCTGGTGTGCTGTCATTTTCAAGAAAAGTAGAATTGTTTGTATCAATTTCCAACAATGGTCGGCCGACCATCGTTTTGAAGAAAAAAACTGACTTTTTAAAATACTGCCCCCAATTTACGAAATTCAGTCTACATTTTGTTTGCAATCGGTTCACATCCATAAATGGTACTGCGTGCAAGCCAGCTAGTCTGATTCCCTGACCTGACAATTCCTTGATGTCCAAAAATTGCTCTGTTTCATCTGAAGTATGGTAAGGGAACCAGACTACAAGAACATCATTTTTTTCTTGGTAGTTTTCCATGCATCTAGTATGAGCACAAAACTTTAAACAGGTCAGTGTAACAATATTGACTGTAAAATACTAACCCGAAATCCGCCTTTTCTGAAAAAGCAAATGTTGTTTATTAAATGTTTGCTTTAATAGCAAAAAGAGGTTTCAAAGCAAAATACCGCAGCTGGTGATTTTGCTTGAGGCTAGTTACCAGCCGAGTTTTGCTAAATCACATGAATTTGCAGAACAATATTTCTTGTTAGGCAGCTCAATGATATAAGGCTGAACTCAAGTGCTTGTGTGTTTTGTTTCAAGTAGATTTTTTGAGTGGCTTTCTGATTATATAAATATTACCATGTACTTTTTGTCATGTAGCTACATATATATGGATAATGTTTTAATCACCTTGAGGAAAACAAATATGTAGATTATTTTAGCAATAATACATTGAGATGGGTGTTTTTGATCTATGATAAATGAGGCATGGTCGTTTTAGGTTAAATGTAGATGTGGCATTTTCCATTGAATTTTACTGTAATGCCACACTAATAATTTGGGAGAGTACGTGCCACTGCTGTTATAGTCAGAATTATTTGGGTTTTTGTCTTCATTTGTGGAATATTTTAGAACACAATAGACTAGAAATTACCTCAGTCGTTGTAAAGATAGATTGGTCTTTTTGTACATAAGAGTTTAAAATCACAAATGTTTAGAAATAAAAAGATAAGTTGCTCATAACATCTCACTTTTTGGAAGTATATTTTTATAAAGTTGCTGAACATCCTAAACTGTCCAGCATGCAGCAGGCCGGGAATTTTGGTGGTTTTACAAGAACACTATTTTTCGTATTTTAGATGTGTAAACGTGAAAGTGATGGCTATATGACTTTAAAAAGGAAAATTAAAAGTGGCAGTCAAAACAATGCAGTATAAAGATTTTTAAATCATATACATGCATCCATTCCCCCCGCCCCTAAAAAGGGTAACTTTATTTTCTATTAAAAAAATGTAAATACATGTGTTTATCTCCCGAAAAGTACTGGCCATTGAACCGAGAACACGCATATTCTTGCTGCTTGAAGCATCGAGCCCAACACCAAACCCCACCCTCAAATCCCCCCCCCCAAGAAAAACATTCTTCATGCCTCCCCCGCCCCTTATTTTTCGGCTCATAATGCGAGGTGAATCAGCCCGAGTACCCAAGCGTCCACGTTGGCGTTCCTTTCCAGGATTATTACAATACAACATGTTTACACTAAAGCTTCGTCACCCATTGTTATCGGATTATTGTTGGTGAATCATTTCTGGGTCGACCGGTCATACGTCATAATCTATTAAAAGCCAGGGGGTACGACAACGTTGAGTGGTACAGCCTCGATCTCATACATGTGGTATGTGGTGTCTACGGGACGTAGTTCAGTTCTGGGAAGGAGGATTATTTAACGCATTCTGATTGGTCAGATTCGATCTTATCGCGTAACCGCTACACAGGCGCGCCATTTTTCAGAATGAGTAATTTGTAAATGTTTTACACACACAGTCATGACGATTGTGTTTGATTTGTTTTAAAAGTCGTGTTTCGTTATTTGATTCGACATCTGTTTGTAGTAAATGCCTCACCATGTCTGTGGTCACCCCAGCAAAGTCACTTTTTGGACATCAGTTCGTAGCATCGCCCGTACAAAGGCTGAAATTTCGGGACTGTGATGGCAGCGACAGCCCAGACGAGGAAGCCGAGGATTCCTCGATCGACTCGTCAGCCAGTACGGTGGAGTCGGATTCGATCTCCATGTCAAACTCTAAAGATGACCTAATGGACTCGATGGACTCTTCAATGGAGGGCTGGGATCCAAGCCTAGGTACACCCAAACACAGTCCTGCAAGCAAAACCAAGAGGAGATCCCTAGATAGGTCTCCTCTCAGCCGATTTTCAAGTCCGGAGACGTCACCGATGATGTTTAAAAACCAAGCGCAACCGCGGCTCGCGTTTCGCCCACAGCAGGAGGAGAGCAGCCCGTCCTCAACACCGCCCCACAAACGGCTCCGGAACTTGCGTCTGTTTGACACGCCACACACTCCAAAGTCCCTGATCGAACGATCCAGACCGGTCACGGTGGTTTCAACAGCAGCCACGGGTTCGCAGCGGAGGAGGGGCGGCCCCGGCGGCCTGGGCAGCCGCTTGTTTCACGGCAAGTCGAGGAATGACTTGGAAAACAGGCAGACCAAATCTGCCCCGCGGATGGGGGCACCAAACACGAGGCAGGAGGCCAAGCTGGCTAATGTTAATCCCTTCACACCTTCGGCAATGGTTCTTAATGCATCCAGGAAGAAACGACAAAGGAGAGAGTGAGTGCTTCTTCCACTTCCAGTCGCAAACTTGCTTCAGAAGATAGGCCTATACTGACATGACTGAAGGATTTAAGAAATTCTCTAAAAGTCTAATTTGTTTTAGGCTAGTATTCAGACCAATTGATCAACCAACACAAAGCTGATGTTTTTAAGTTTACAATAAAATAGCAGCCTTGTCATTTGGTTAAACCATGGTTAAACCCCTTATTTATTGTAAAAACATAAGTTGTTTTTTTGTATTTTTGATCATGTTGATTGTAAATTGTAATTCCTCATTTGCATATTTATGCATATTATCTGCTCAAAAATGTTATCAGTAATTTTTTTAGGCCTGTGTTTTTTTCTCAAGTAGGCCTAGGCCTAATTTGTAGTATTCAAACACTTAATTGACCAGAAAGTTTGCAGTGGGGCTAGCAGAGCTTGGGAGTCATGCACATTTTTTGTAGCAATATCTAAATCTTTCATTGCTACAAATATTGTGTTCAACATATTTTTCAATGACTAGCCACCAGGTGTAAAGTGACATACATTGTATACAAATTTTTCATTTGTCACTAAAAAATAATCAATTGTCAGTTTGGAAAGGGTGTGGATGCCAAGTTTGAGGTCTCACTTCAATTTTCGAAGGAGAGTTTTCTTCACTTGAGAGTGATGCAGAGTTATTTTGATTTAAAAGCCTGTGAATAGACTCGGGCTTTACATATCTTACCTTTTGAAAAAAAATTGACCCTTCAGCAGTCTGGTGGCATTACTATGGAGAAATGTGTTCTTTATGTTGGACTGGTTGTTCCATTTTCTTTTATTGCATGTTTTCACTATCTTAAGTTTTGGGACTCTCATACACTAGTATTGAGAGTGAGAGTCCCAAATCTTTGGACTAGGAACCACTGTTATTATTGAGCATTCATATAGGCATCAGAGATTTTAGAGTAAAAACTGTACAGTTCACAGTAACAAGAATTTTAAAATGTTGCTTTACAGAGGAATGAGTGCATTGTGGGATATGGACATGGATGACCTGGACAACAGCGACGTTGACGTACTTCCAAACCCATGCAAGGTGAAAATAATTTAGTGCATTTTTATCTATCACTTGAACAGAAGCACGTTTGTTTACATCTGGAATAATCAATTGAACCCTCCTCCTATATCAACAGTCACAGACAGTCAAAAAATCATTCCTCTTAATTCCACTGCCCTGCCCTGCCTTTTACACAGGCTAGTCAACAACAGTCACATCATATTTTAAACAAGTACTGTGACTAGTCAAATTCAGTCAACAGACAAGAGCAGGCAAGTGGTACTAGGCACAGGCAGCTGGCTTATCAGTCACCTACAGTCAAAGCACAGCTATCAAGTTACATAAACAGCCACAGCCAGTCAATCCTGCTGTATGTAATCAATTTAACTTACATGTAACTATTAAAACAGTCGATTGATATTGACTGCAAGGACAACTTCGCACAGAATGATGTTGCCTTTCTAAAATGAAAACATACATTATTGAAACAATTAATTTACTTTAACCGCAATTTCTAGGTTTCAGAAAATTTCAAATCATACCAGCAGTTGCAATTCCCACATAAGTTGAGTTTGTACGGAACATGTGACATTCCAAATTGTTACTTTCAGAGGATTGCCCTGCGCGAGACCAACATTTCCCGCTACAACGAGGAATTCGTTGAAGTTTGTAAGATAGGATCCGGTGAGTTTGGAGCCGTGTATAAATGCATCAACAGGCTGGATGGCTGCTTCTATGCCGTCAAGAAATCTAAGAATCCCATCGCTGGCTCAGCGTTTGAGTAAGTTAACTGCTGATTTTTTTTGGTCAGATTCCATAATCATATTATTTCACGTATTTGTCCTTAACCCCTAACTCCTGATGGAGTTGGGCATTTTGGTGAACATTCCTACATCCTCCAAGACACAACATGCAGGAAACCAATGGGACAGTCCGTACACATAACTGCAAAATGAGTAAAATATTCTCAACTTTACCTTCCTTGAAAATTCCTAAAGGGAGTTTAACAATTAGATCATACGGTTTTCTCATAAGGCCAAAAAAAAATAATAGTTCTGTTTCCCTACCTACCCTATTCTGACCGCTCCTACCCTAACCATAAATTTCTATCTTATAACCTTGACTACACGCAGACACCTCCGTATGATCATACACAAAAAAAATTGCAAAAAAAAAATTTACCTACCTACCTACCTACCCTATTTCAAATGCCATGTAATCGGAAGCAGAACTTTTTTTTTTTTTGGCCTAAGACTTCCAAGTTTTTCAAATATGTTCTTCCAGAAGTTTCCAACTTTTGGCAGAATTTGGGAAAAAAAGTTACAAATATTAAATGCACCAAAAACTGTATAATTTAAACTACAGTGAAATCTCGATAAGTCAAATTTCAAGGGAACAGGTTCAAAATTTGACTTAAGCAGAGTTTTAAGTTAAGCAGGGTTGTATACAGGCTTCTAGCCAGGCATACAATAGGATATCGGGCCGATACGCTTCGAAAAAAAATCCGATACGCTTTGATCCTTTTACTGTACTTTACTGCCCTTTTAAAAAAAATGGACAGTTAGTGCCTCATTTTTGTGTGCTGTTTGGAGCCTCATATTGAAATATTGGTATTTTTTTTCTGGCAGGCAAATGGCATTGAATGAAGTGTACGCACACGCAGTTCTTGGGACGCACGTGCATGTGGTACGGTACTATTCTGCCTGGGCGGAGAACAACCACATGATCATACAGAATGAATACTGCAATGGTGGGTGTTTAGTCAAACTGTTTATTATTTCAACCTAAACAACATCTAGCTTAATAACCGGTTTTCCAAAGGCATTCAGTTGGTTTGGTTTGTATGTCTTTTTTTGTGCCAAGAATAAATATCAGAAATGTGTAATACCTAAACAACCGCTACATCAGATTTGAATCAGCCAACCGATCATGCACGCTCAGTGGTCGAGTGGTAAGACGTCTGCACTAGAAAGCAGGAGGTCGTTGGTTTGAGTCCCACCAGAGTGATTTTTTCTCACTTTCACTTGGGGGGGGGGGGGGGGGATGTTAACACAGTCTTTATCAGACATGTAACTTTTCTCTGATTTCCTCATTTTTTAATTCTCATGAATGCCATTACAAATTGAAAAATGCTGTATAAAGTCTTGTGTGGTTTGGAATTTCCTTGTTTTTTCTAAAGTCCCAGTAGCATGCCTGGTTTATACGTCGGTGAAGGGCAAAACCTAATATTGAATTTGCATGTAATATCTACGTTGTTTTCTAGTTTTGTCAAGTAACACCATATTGTGAGGGGTAGCTATAACATACACTGCTTATGAAAACTTAGGAAAAGAATAACACACATCTCAGAATGTTTGGAAAATTTGTAAAAAATCTTGTATTCTTCAATAAGCATTGCACCTCCTCCTTTTTTGAATCAAAAGATAACCATTAGTTGGTATCCTGGAACATTTTCAGTCAAGAAGTAACTTGTATTACATTATACATGTATTACACTGCATATTGACTCGTTGATGAATTCATTAAACTTTAGAGTGGTGTGGGTGGTTTCGGACTGTATAAGGAGTAGCACACAGGGTGCTTTGGGGCGGTATAGGGACTAATCTGTGAAATCAGCAATACCTGGGCCCTTTGCCACTGAAGAACCGACATTTTGATAAGGGAATAAATGTGTGCTTCGGAGGTTTTTATCACTCTGTTTAAGACCACTTAAGAGTCTGGGTGCTGATAATTACCCGAGCCCGAGGCGAGGGTAATTATCAGCACCCAGACTCTAAGTGGTCTTAAACAGAGTGATAAATACCGACGGAGCACATATTTATTCCCATTCATAAATACCTTTTCGGTAAGAAAAAAATCATATAATTCGTTCAAAACATCCCGATTTTGTTCAACAAATTCACTTTATGCTTTTTGAAACATCCCTCTTGCAAAATAATGGAGTGTTCAGCTGGCGAGTAAGATGTAAACAACCCTTTTATGGAGATTGACGCGCGCGTATCATGTTCTGCGCGATGTTGCGCAGAACGCACCTGGCGCGTTGCGTTTTGAATTTAGAACTATAAAATTCTGACTCCCTGGTAGTGTTTAAGACCAGCTAGCCATGTCTTTATCATCCGTTTAAGACCGGCCACGTGACGGGCTCTCGACCAATAGGAATGCGTAAACTGTCTTAGGTATTTATGAATATGAAATTATGAATACACTAAAAAAGTTGAAGGCCTTAATACACATCTTACAATTAATAATGTATTATTTTTTTTATCTCTTCCCATTTTCAGGAGGAAGCCTGGCAGATGTCCTCTTCCAGAACCAACAACGAGGGCAGCATTTCTCGGAGCCAGAGCTGAAGCAGCTGCTGTACCAGGTAGCACAAGGGTTGCGATATATCCACTCACAGGGACTGGTGCATCTAGACATCAAGCCAGGTAAGCAAACTTGGTTGTTTTGTAAGTGAACATGGTTGTTTGGTAAGCTACTGCGGCAGTTAAAGAGGTTGTGGAATGCTCGAAGACATTTCTGTCATTTTTCGGGTATATGTAGCCTAAGGTGTGATGAAATAAAAACGACTATTGTTTCTGTCATAAAATGAGTACAAAAGGTACTTTTGAGAGCTGTTTTTCAAGTCCTGTTATGCCTGTTTCGACCCGAACGTGCAATTTGTGTAAAAGTCGTCGTTGCGGGCAGCAAACAAAACACAGTAAATCGTGACGTAATAAACAGGACTCCCGATGCAGAGTAGCATATACGAGTCCTGTTTATTACGTCACGATTTACTGTGTTTTGTTTGCTGCCCGCAACGACGACTTTTACACAAATTGCACGTTCGGGTCGAAACAGGACCTGAAAAACAGCTCTCAAAAGTACCTTTTGTACTCATTTCATGACAGAAACAATAGTCGTTTTTATTTCATCACACCTTAGGCTACATATACCCAAAAAATGACGGAAATGTCTTTGAGCATTCCACAACCTCTTTAAATAAGTGGATATAGTATGTGGCGAGTCGGCGCGGTTGGTTGGCAATGTCAGCGTGGTTGGCAGTGTTGTTGGTCAGTTTTTGGTGGTCTCAGTCTCGATACCCAGCGGTCTCAGTCTCAGTCTCGGATATTTAAGGTCTCGATATTTTTCCCGGTGGCAGGTCGAGACCTCGAAAATATCAATACAAAACGAAAACAAATTGATACTACGCACAGGTCGTATCAGTGTAACAAAAGTGGGAGCGAGTGTGAACGTCATTACACGTACTAATTGTGAAGTGGATGCAACGACTCAACGATGCACAATTAACATATTTCTTCACGTTTGTTGTCGTTCACGTTTTCATCTGCTTGTACTTTTTATTGAGATCTTTAGTGTACGTATTTGAGTCTTTTCAGATGTCATGCAATTCTGCTGTCGTCAGATTTGGTTTTAGAGACCACAAAGAGTATTTTGATGCGAAAGCAGGAAACAAGAAGCATACTGCAGTATGCATTTTCTGTCCCCCTGCTGTGATACGGATTATGGACAGATCTTTTTATTATGTAATTTGAACACAAGGTCTCGAGGTCTCGGACCATCGGGTTTCGGTCTTTGTCTGGAACCTTAAGGTCTCGGTCTCAGACCTCCTGGTCTTGTTCTCGGACTTCCAGGTCTTGACTACAACATTGGTGGTTCGTAAGCAAGGTTGGGTGATTAGCAATGTTTAGTAGATTTTTTGGTTTCCCTTTGAAACTTTCAGTTTTCGAATTTCTTACCGTCTTCCCTTTCATTTTCAGGAAATATTTTCATATCAAAGAAAGAAATTGTCAACGGGGATCCTTCTTCACCCAGAGATGGTTACCATGACAACAGCCCCGATGAAGACATAGAGAATCCGTTACTGACTGGGCAAAACCCAACCGTCTACAAAATCGGTAAGGATTGATTGGTTTAATTTCAGTATGATTTAGGGGTAAAAAAGCATGTATTTTACCTTAGAAACAGATAAATTTATGGTTTAAAATAACAGTGTAGTCGACAATAAAGTGGAGTGTGAAGATTTTACAAAAGCCTTGTTCCTTAAATTAATGAAGTCCGTGTATGCATTACACCAGGTGACCTTGGTCATGTGACCTCTCTGGCCAATCCAAAGGTAGAAGAGGGTGACGTCAGGTATCTGCCAAATGAGATTCTTCAGGAGGTAAGCACATTGCTTAATGTAGTTTGTAATACATGTATATTGAATGTTCTACATGTTCCAGATTTTGTTTTTTTGCTTTGATTATTTCTGATTTGCAGTACCCAAACGTTAACTTTACAAATTACTTAGAAACTTCTCAGACAATGAAAAAGAAAGGTTTTTGAATGTCATTTGTGGTGAATTTTGAAAAATAACAACCAGGCCACATGGGAAAACATCATATTGCAAGTAAATTTATGATCCCTTCGAAAGTTGCAGTTTTCAATATTAAGCTATAAAGTTCACTGTACACACTTGCATCTTGCTGTATTGACACACCAATGTGGTAGCGTTATCATGCGGACCTTTATGAACAATCTGAATAGTAAGTTCTGAGATTCAAATTTTGAGGTTGGATTTTTTTTAACGTATACCCGGGTACCTGGTTCATTTTTCAATCGGGTACCTGGTTCCCGTGGTACCCGTAAATGCACACCTCTAAATATTGTAATCTTTGCTGGTAAAACCGAATCCCTTTTCTGTGATTTATTTCCAGTTCTACTTTTAGACTTAGCTACCTCTTATTTCATTCAGATTCAGAATTGTCAAACTAATGCCGATATTCCCAATTTCTTATACTCAGGAGTACTCCAACCTGACCAAGGCAGACATCTTCGCCCTGGCTCTAACCATCTTCGTTGCAGCCTGCGGGGAACCGCTGCCCAAGAACGGTGACCTGTGGCACAAGATCCGGAAAGGGTGGCTACCACGCCTGACGCATTGCTCCGAAGTTTTCAACCAACTGCTTGTAGTAAGATTTAGTGACAGTGTTTGTTTGTTTTATGTTCAGGGGTTTGGGTATACAGTAAACTCCAGCCAAGTCGACATCGTATAACTCGTCATTTTGCTCAAATCGGCCATCTGACGAAAGTCCCAATTGTATCTAATTCAGTTCCATTGAAATTTTCATTTCTAAGTCGGCCTTTGTAAGTCGCCATTTCCACCTAAGTCGGCGTGTTACTTTCGGTCCCATTTCCTCAAAACCACAAAAATTCCTTCTTATAAGTCGGCATCCAAAAAAATACACCACCGCCACGTGCGCGATCGAAAAGGGCTTTCCCCGATACCAACGCCACGTGCGCGATCGAAAAGAGATTTCCCCGATACTGCGAGCACATCAATACTATTACTCCCTCTAGTCCTGCACGCATGCGCTCTGCACATTTTGGGGGTCCCCTTTATTGAATTAACTTACGAATATCGGTATACCACGCACGCATTAATTAGTAACTGTACACGTACACATATGTGCAAGCTTTCTGCACCACACTGTTAATGCTGGCCGAACGTCCTTGCTTCGTACGGGCATGACTTTTTGTGATCAATTAAGTTTCGTTCAAAAGACGTCTCTTAATGAAACACAGGCATGCCACTTTTTCTCGGATCTGTTGATTTCCTCGTTTTTCACTTCACGTGAATGCCATTGCAAATTGAAAAATAAAGTCTTGTGTGGTTTGGAGTTTCCTTGTTTTTTTCTAAATTTCCAGTTGCATGCCCGAAAACAATGTTTTTGTTCATATTTAGAACTCTGAATGCATGTCTTCTCTCTAACAGAGTTGCTTCTGTAATAACTTCTGGTCCAAGCAAGATGATCTTTTTTTCCTGTCTTACTTTAGTATTTTCACCCACGGACTTTGAATGATATTGATTTTGTTTTTGTTTTTTTCTTCAGACAATGATAAATCCCAATCCTACTGAAAGGCCCTCAGCATCGGCACTGGCACATCATCCCGTGCTCTGCCCAAACAAATCCTACACACAGCTCAAAAAGGAACTCAATGCGGCCAAGTTCCAGAATGCTGTCCTATCAAGGTGAGTATCGTCAGTGTGATAACAATAACATAAAAACTTTTGTCAGTGGCATACTAGCCAAGAGTTTGAGCTATGGAAGAGAGGTATTAAACACCCTCATGTAAAACTATACAACTGCACCCAATTTCACGAAACTCATCGTAACTTACGAAGCATCGCAGCGCTACGATGCATCGTATCCCTACGATGCGTCGCAGCGAAGCGTCCTGCGATTCATTTCACAAAACGCGTCACTCTTACGACACGTCCTAGTGTATTTACAGCACAGTACGATGACTGTTGCGTGTATTTATTCAGCTTACAGTAAAGAGTCGTCTGATAGTCAACAAAGAGTCGTTGGATCTCCGCTCCAAAACTGTATAAAATGAAAACAAAATGGCGAACGTGTGATGAGTTTTAACGGAAAACAAGCTCGCGGTGGACTGATAGCTACTTTGGAATTTAAACTGCTCTATTTCAGGCTAATTAATAATTACTTCAATGCATTTTCCTTCTGCAACTTTACAAACACTGTCTCGGTATTATAGTCTCGTTTATGTAATTTTTATGGCATAAAACTGGGTAAGAAAAGGACGCTTCTTATTTCGCGATGACCATCAGTCACGCCGTAACTTGCAGCGTGTTTAAAGCTGTTGTCAAGGAACTTACGATGCGTTCAACATATCGCAGGTTTGGTGAAATGGATCGTACAACGCGTTGCGAGTTGCTTCATGTTACACGTCGTAACTCGGGTCGCGACGCGTTGTAGTGTTTTTAGTGAAATTGGGTCCTGACCTCATAAATAAAGACAGCTAATACTTCAAGTAGTTTTAAATTCTATTGGTTGCTATCAATCCTATTAGAATGATGGGGCGAATTCGATCAAGGACCATAGTTTGACTAACTCTGATTGAACGCACGCTTGTCGATGGTTGGACTAGTCTAGTAGACTACTGAGGACCAGCCGACCACGGTTGATCGTGCCACGATTTACAGCTGGTTATCAAAAGCAATTTTTCATAGCATAGAACAGAGGGGACCAACTCTCGACAAAAATGGCGGAAAAACAAAAACAGTTGATTGCTACATTTCATTTTCATTGCAAAGTTTTCCCATAATTAGTTTATGATTATGTCACTTTCGCACCACTGTACAATTATAATGGCGACGGTAAGGTGTCATGGTAAGATAAGAGGACGGTAAGATGCACTTGGGTGGACCTTACATTTGTCAAGAAAAGTTGTGGCAAAGAGGCTTGCTAATGAACAGTAAGATTAAAAGATTGTTGCCTTTAAATGATGTTAACCCTCATTCCGATGTGACCGTCACAGATATGAGATTTATGCATAAGCAAATCAATCATAACACTCAAATAGGTTAATATAAAATACAATTGAGGGTTTGAAAATTATGTCTTATCCTTTCATCAACCCAGGGAACTCCAACAAGCTAGGGATGCAACGGAACAAGACGTCCTGAAGCCAATGTCCAAGACCAACTCGAGACTCATCGGCAAGAAGATCAACAGGAGTATGAGCCTGACCATCTACTGACACAACTGCAAATCCAGAGAATCCTGAGGCTGCAGCCAGTGATAAGATTTGTTGCATCGGTTTGGTCATGAGTTGCATCGTAATATGCTTCTGTAATCACATGAATCCCATGAAATGAAAATTGGTTTTGCCATCATTTCTCAAAAAGGTCATTGTGACACGGGAGACTTAAAGGTTTGCATGGTGGACATGATCAAGGAATGCAAGGGTTGGGGTAACACCAAATAATATTTCTTTAGAGATTTCTAGTGCTGAGAAGAACCAGTTGTTTAAACTTGACGTTTTGAACAGCGTGCTCGACGTTTCAAACAGCGAGCTTCAGTCTCCTGCTGATGAACAGAGCACACTGTTTGAAACGTCAAGTTGAAAACAACTGGTTCTTCTCAGAACTGCACAACTCTTAAGAGATATTAATCACATGGTGTTACCGCAAACCTTCCATTCTTTATTGTCACCGTTGGAAAAAAATAGTCTGTGAAGTTTTAATGGTGACAGAATGAGTAGACAGAGCAGTCCGACCAGTAGTGTCGATATAAAAAACAAAAATTGGGAGGTTGTCCTAGAAGATACAACCCAAACGATTGCAACTTTGGCCAGGTTCGGGCAAGGACCATTAGTCGACTAGTGGTTGATTTGTGACGTACCTTACGCCTGCGCACTGATAGCAACGTGCGAACGTCTCTAGTCAAACGCTGGTCAAAATGTCATCGCAAAACTTCTGGATCCTGGCTCTCTGCTAGCGATATGAATGCGCGCGGCTATTGGTTACCAGCGATGCAACCAACCCAAGTAGGCTGGTTCCAAATAGTCGACTAGCGTAGTCAACCACCGTCGACTAGACAGAGTTCGGGAAAACGTTAGTTAACCATTGGTCAACTATAGTCCTTGCGCGAACTTGGCCCATGCTGCAGGCCAAGGTTTTCAAGTAGGATAATATGCCACCGGTGTGTCAAATAAGGTGAAGTTTAACAGAAAAAAAGGTAATCGTGCTTTCCACAATACACGTACTTACATACAAATAAGGAATGACATGATGTAAAATGCAAAAATCTGCCTTTGTCATGAAGAACTTGTTTATTTTGCCGAAGAGAATTCAGCACCTTCAGAATTTCAGACATCTAGGTTAGAATTTACCTCTGTTGGTACTTTTCACTACTGGTTTTAACTAAAAGGGTTTGTAGAGCAGTGTGATTTTAGAAATGAAAGTAGAGTTAAAACAAACAATTGGTGTGTTGTTGCTCAAAATAGTTTCAAACAGAATTTCTTCATTGAGTGGCTTATATTCAAACTAAAACCATCTACATGTAGTGTTAGCGAGAAGTGGTTGTGGGTTACTGACTTCTACACTTATTTTTGCAAAAGTAAGTTGAATTTAAGGACAAGGAAAGTTTGTGGTGCGTGGTCAAATACACACACTGGTCATGTTCAAGTTTAGAATGCAGTACATCATTTAAACGAACTTTCATGCCCGATCATTAAAATTGATTTACAGTTGATAATAACACATTTTAACAGCTTACATTTGTAGAAATACAATGTATTAACAATGTCCTACAGTTGAGCTTGACATTTCATCTAATATATTTTCTCATTTTTGTTGCATTTCTTTTATTCAAGTATTTGTTTACAGTGATCATCTCCCCCAAATTTTTTTTGTGGCAGATACTTCAAATAAAAACCACACACGAAAGGGTTTCTGTAATTGTAAAATTCTGCAGTGATCCTTTTTGGTAATGCCTAAAGGCCAGTACTGATACTTTTTGTTTTAGTTTTTAGATAGTAGTTTGTTAGATTTAGTTGAGATTATCAAATAGTATGAGAGATTTTATTACTTTTTAGAGTATATAATCTGAGGCTGTATATAAGAAAAACATCATCGTGCATCAATTTTTTTTGTTATAAACCATGGTGTTAATTCATGTAAATAGCAGTGACGCTTCTAGAAACTTAAATGATTCTGTCACCTATGCAAATGCTGTATTAAAACTTAACCACTATGCAAATATTTGTTATCTACATGTATTAAAAAAAGGACCTCCTAATTCTTGCGATTCACAATGCAGTGCGCCACCAAGAGTTTGCCACGAAGAGTCCATTTTTTCTTGTGCACTGTGGGAGATTGTCGACAATTTGCAGCGCGGGACATTTGAAATTGTTAGTTTTTCTGGTCAGTATAGTTTCGTAAGCGTATGATTCGAGTGTATGTTTGCCCTTTTCCTTTCTTTTTATCAATATGGTGTGTTTTGTAAGGTGGCAGAACGCTATGCCCCAATCTATAACGAATTAGCTGAAGTTGTTTACTGACACTCATTCAAATGGGCTGTGTTTTGTCGACCGTAAAGTAAAAAAAAAAGACTCTATGGCAAACTCTTGGTGGCGCACTGCATTGTGAATCGCCCCAATTGTCTCCTTTAATGTGCAACCCCTAGTGCAGTCTCAGAATGATAAAACAGAGCGAGTCAAAAAAAGAAGAAGCAAAAAGCGGAACCCAAAAAACAAAGAAATGTATTTCATAAAAAACAAAAACTAAGTAGCACCAAAATTACTTATGACTTGGAAGCCCATTTTAAGTGAGAAAATTGTTTCAATTGCTCTACATTGTACATGTTAACATTTCAACACTATGTATACAAAGTAGCCTGAAATCAGTTTCGTCCAAAAAAAGCAATTTATTTTGTGTTCCAACTATTTGGAACACCAAAGAAAATGACACTTGTCTCAACAAGTGTAGTACACAATATCTTTATAAACAACCCTTCTTTTGCTTTTAATGGGATTAAAAAAAAAAACACCATTTTTTTTTTAAAGAATGGGCCTTCAAAAGAGGACTGTTGAATATTTGTAACTTTTAAACTGAGGTTTTATCGCTGGTGCTGTTTGAAGACAATTGTAAGGACAATTCTTGAAATCGCATTTTTGGATGAATCAGATTTAAGGGTCATTTTGTTTGAATGTTGATAAAATTTGGATTTTTTTTTTCATATAAAAATAGTTTATTAAATTGGCTTACCAGTCAAAATTTATTTTTCGTGCTACATATTTTTTTTTAAATATGATATAATTTTCTTTGGTTTTTTTTTTTGAATCACAATGTATTTAGTAAACTACACAAAGTGGAGTATATACAAATCCCGATACCCGCACGAGGGTAGTACAAACTGAAAATAATATCTGGGGGAAAAAAACTAGTTGGGTAGTTATTAGGAAACACCCATAAAATACATTGAATGTAAATTGTCGACTTGTTTTATTCCTTAATTCGTTTTCTTTACACCTTTGATACAGTTTCAGTGAATTTTTTTACCATTTTTTAATGTTTTTTTGTCTCCAAATTACAGATAAATTTAAATAAAGATTCGTATATGATTTATATTAAAACAAGGTCTATTGTGTACATGTTCTATGCTCAAAGTTGTTGAAAAATGGCTGCTGGTAAAAAAAATCACGGGTTGAATTTTGCTCTTTGCAATAAAACCATGTCCAATTTATATGGCTATTTCCTCCATTAAAAACTCTCCTCGAAGTAATGCCACTTTTAAACTGTTGGATAACAGTTTAAAAGTAGGATATGTTTTTTTTTTGATATGAAGGCGTTTGCTTTGCATTGTTTAGTAAGTGGTACATGTAGAAGGAAAGACGATTTGTATGGCCATGGCAAATAATGTCATTACAATGTATCAGAACTTCATACTCCTGTCTAGCTCTTCAACAAATTCAATTTTAGTCTCCAAACGAAGCGCTACCAATTACTATGTTTTTTTTACGAAAAAAAAACGGGTTCCCATCCCTCCCTCTGTGGGCACGAATGGATCCGCCCATCAATTTGTAACTTAATCAGGGGCGGATCTTCCGGAAACACCAGTGGAGTTGATAAGGGGGGGGGGGTGAGTCTAATGTTGGGGGATCCCCCCACCCCCCGGAACATTTTTAAAAGTACATGTATGATAAGAATTGGACTGCTAAAATTCCTAAATTATTCTTGAATTACCTTAGTATGCTCTGTGCAGTAGAGCTATTATTTTGGCCCTATTTTACTAATCATCTAACACAAGTCAGCAGCTGAACGGGAGTAGTATCATATACTGTGGACCGATTTTTTGGTGGATGGCTTATTCAAAAGTGATTAACTTTTGTATTGCTAGATTCAAATTAAAAAAAAAAAAGTTTGTTAATTGTCGCCGAGAAAAATCACGGAGTGATACATGTACATGTACTTGCGGCAAAGACAGTGTAGGCCTAATTAAAATCTCGTCTTCGTGCCGGAACTGAGCTTGTGCTCCAGGATCATTGAAAGTCCAAGCAATATTTATATTCTAAACTTATCGACCCATACTAAACCGTAATCCTCAAGTCAATACCCTGGTCAGTACGTACCGCTACCGCGTAAATACTTGTAAACCTAAGCCGGATCACTATGCCAAGTGTTTATAGTCAAGATCCCGAATTTGTTCGCGAACGTAACGTAGAGTTCACCCCATGTACTATGTGCACCCGGACACGTACCCCCGGTCCCACGGAATCGCCGCACCCGGTACCCCTGACAACGAACTCTATTTGCCTCACCCAAGCTCCATGAGAGGTATTTTTTGTTGCATATTCATATTATTTCTCTCCTTCCACCAATCAGCGTCCTCGACGCGTTGCGGGTGGAAAGGTCATTTGTGTTTGGTTGCTAGGTGACACTGGTTGCTACTGTAGTCGTGCGTGTATACGTGTGTACATTTACGTGCATGCTGCTAGTTCGCGCAATATCCTGATAAGATTTGGTAAACTTGCTACGGTGAAAAAGGACGTGTCTGACTTTATTCCGCTATAACGGTAAGAAGTTGTGAAACATTTTTAGCAAATGGCGATTTTGATAATGCATGCTGAGGTTATGTAAACTGTGCAAAACAAGTGTATGAATGATTAGCTGTGTAATGAAGAAAATCTGTAAATATTTGGGTATCATTCGCTGTCGAGTTAAAAAATTGTGTGGTTGATGGTGCCGAGTCGCCATGACACGTCTGTACTCGGTCACACAAACAGTCCCAAGCGGCCAAGCAAATCCTGTTATGTTAATCTGCGGTCGGGAGTTGGCATCAAGCGGGCCGGCAGCACAAGCAGAGATCACATTAATTAGGTCGAGAGAGAAACCACAAAAACAGTTATCTTGTATTTGTAGGCCCTGTTTCTTTGTTTCTCCTTTTTTTTTCATTTTAAATATTTTCATGTAGTTTGAGGATTTTGTTCTCGTTTGTTATTTTTTAGTTATTGTATTTTTGTCTTCAAATGGAAAATCACAGAAAATGGAGAGCAATATAACACATGTCTTACAGATCAACTTGGATCAAAGAGGCTTGTGGTTAGACAGTAAAGGAGGGGAATGTAAATTTAAACTTCATCATATTGACACAAAATTTAATTTATTTTTGTTTATTTTTGATGATTTCAGTTTCCCCCGAAAAAACAACAAAAAAAGAGAAAAATATGGCAGCCGGATGGGAACCAACCACACCCAGGCAGCCCATTGCGGCCATGTACAATGGCCCTGGCCCGGGCCAGTACCTTCTCCCTGGTGGAACCGGTACCCAGAGAAGTGATCCCCGCAAGAAGATGTTCCCGGCTTACAGCTTTGGCATCAAGCACACAAAGTTCACGGACGACTGCAGCCCAGGCCCGCGCTACCTGACGAACCCACGCATCAACAGGCACGGCTATGCTGGGGAACCTCATTACTCACTCTATAGTCGGCCTAAGGAGCCCCGTATGTTCAGCACTCCGGGCCCCGGGCGCTACTCACCAGAGAAGTCTGGACAGATGGCCTACAAGAAGGCTGCATCCTACTCCTTTGGTGCCAGAACAAAAGGCAGCAAGCATGACAAGTCACCAGGTAATTAAAGAAAGTGTATTCCGTGGACAGTATGCAAAATTAACCAGGAGCCTAAGGAACAGAACTTTTGTTTTTACTGAGCTAGTTGTTTCAAAGTGATTTACAACCATACATTAATCTTACGGTTGTTTTAGTGAAAGTTTAAGAGAGTGAAGTCGCACACAATATTTTCTGAAATAGCAGCTATTTCATGTATTGTATTTACTATTAGATGGTAACTTTAAAAGTATATGATGATCAAACAATGCATCTTAATCCATTATTTTATTTTACAAACTTTCAAAATTAAAAAAAGTACATTATGTGGTCAAATACATAAAACAATAGCAATTGTCTTAAACCAAATTACATGTGAAAGGCTCTGTACAACTGCAGTCGGGTCCATAAATATATAAGGAGAACAAACTGAAAGAATATTAAGACATATACCTATATATTTTAGCAATTTGAGGAAAGTCAGTCCCAGAATCATGGTATTTAATTTGATGTCCATTCCTCTGTCTTGTCTTGCCAGCCCCCAACAATTACTCACTGCCTAGCATTCTCGGGGGTAAATCCATCGCTGTGACCTCGGCCCCAAATTACTCCATGACTGGTCGCAGTAAGATCGGATCCTGTGACGAGGACCTGTCCAAGACGCCGGGACCGGGCACGTACAAGGTGGTGGAGCCCTCCGTCTACAAGAAGAGAGATCCACTGTACTCAATGACTGGCAGGAACCAGTTGCCCAGCGACTCAACGCAGAAACCAGGCCCAGGAGCCCACAGTCCTGAAAAGGTACAAGTTCCGAGTTGTTAACAAAAAATTTCCTGAAATCATTCGATCTTTTCCGACTGACTGCCTAGTCTGTTGCAAAATTGCCTTAGAATCTGTCATTGTGTAGAGAGAGTACAGTTTTCCAAAATGATATACAATGTCAGTTTCAAAGCGCATCATATTTTGCATGTATATATTGTAACGATTTTTGTAAAGCACTCCAAATTGCCAAGCTTATTAAAAACTCATTTGGAAATTGGAAACTTTGAGTGTCTGAGCAAAGTTGTTTTAAAATGTTTTGGGAAAGTAGACTTTGAAATGAAAGACATTTTTTGATTTGTTGGCAAAGCTGATAAGCACGTGTTTCATTCTTGAAGACTTACTTAATTCAGTTCTGTTTTAATCGTTGATTCAACTCTTCTTTTTACAGGTTGTCATCAACAAAGAAATGGCCCCCAAATTCTCCTTTGGAATCAAGCACTCAGAATACACGACACCTTTAATAAGCGATGCCTCTGATTAATTATATAGTCTTCTAACCAATGGGTAAGTATTGTAGGGATGTGTCAGACGAAGGGCAATACAAATTGAAGAACACAAAAGTACTTGTTATTTTTTTTACCTACATCCAACCTAAATACTACTCTTCCAAATAGGTGTCTTTTTGACACTCTCAGGCCATTTTAATTAGACATCCCATTTTGTTTTGCAAATTTGGCGACCCAATTCTCAAATGGTGACTGAAGCCCTGCCTCCAAATCCAGTTTGGGAGTGGAGAATTGTCATAAAGTTTTAGATATCTCCAGATTTTATCATTCCAAAATTTAATCGGACTTACTGTGCTCAGGTGGGCCTGTCAAGCAGCCAACAGCAACTTCATACAAATATACTTCTGAAGATCCATACATTATGCTTGCGATATTAAATTCTGGACCATGAAATTTTGAATTTTGATACCAAGCACGAACACTGCAAATCTGCTTGCACGAATCCTTATATGTGGTGCAGAAATGTCTTTACATTTGAAGGGTGTTATTGCCGGTTGAATAATTTCACTGTTCGTATAGTAATTTTGTCTTTTTCCTTTTTTTTTTTTTTACTCCATTCACAGGTGGTTCTATGGGAATGGTTCAACACGGTACAACTGGCTTATTTATTCAGCGGTAACTTAGTAGTGTCAGTAGTATCCCTCAGATTGCTGTACAAGGATAGGTAAATGCATTTTAAGAAAATGGGGGAGAAAATACATTTTCAGCCGTGCATTTCAGCCATAACATAGTTTTCATTTAGCCAGGTATAAGTGGGAATGCACAAAGTTAACTAGTGTTTGCCGTTTTTTTAACGCAGTTTTAGGATAAGGCCAGCCCCAGTCCTGGTGCAGTTAATGAGGGATGCTACTGACTTGTGCGTCAATTTACAGGATAACTGTTTCATCAGTTTGATTCAAATGAATTGGGATAATTGTGCCATTTGTGAAATTGAGAGCTTGTTGCCAACAATGTCTTGCAACCCGATGTTTTGACATGGAAGAAAAAAAAAAATCATGCCGCAATAAATTTACTTGATAAACAATGATCACGTACGTGCAGGTATAAATTTTGTAATTATAAAGACGTGGCAGATTAATGACCCATTTTGATGTTTGGTGTGCTGCCATTTGCACTGAAGTAATGGGATAATCTCGACACCAAAAATGAAAAAACCAAAATGTATTAAGATAATCAACTACCTTGATGTGTATAGTGTAAATAAATATGTTGCGGTCTTGTCCTTCTGTTGTTTTATATAATTACTGTGATATTTGTTTGCCGATCATGTCCAACAAATTGTAGAAATTAGAAAACATTAAGAAAATTGTCAAAATGGTGCAGTACGGAAAATGATCAAATGATTTTAGTCATTTTAAATTAACTTTTTAAACCAATTTGATATATGTCTGCTTTTTTCCTACATCTTAAAATCAACATGTCTGCAAAAATGAAATGTATTATGCTTGATTTATTAAATCGAGAAAACAATTTGAATGCAAGTAATTCTTCCAATCAATCTTTTTAACAGAGTGTACATGTAGGGACAGCCATTGAACCACCGACATAAGTTTTTTTGCAGTGTGATACATGTTTTTCCGTTTTTATTTTGTAAATACTAAAGCACTAGGGGATTACATTCCGTCCAAAACATTGCAAAAACTGCATTCTTGAATTAGGTTATATTTTTCCAGGGGCACTTTGTCAATCAGCTTGAAAACTTCCAAATTTCTTTTATTTTTGACAAGTAGCTAGTAGTCAATCATGGAATATATCGACCATTTTACCTTTTGTACTGCAAACATTAACACTTTGTTTCTGACATGAAGGATCAATAAATACTTCAGTGTACGCATTATAAGCTTGTTTCGTGGCAACATTTGTTGGTTTGTTTCTTACATGTTAAAGATATCTCGCTCATATTGAATTGCAGTAATGCAAATGAATAAAAATACATTATATAATGGAGCTGTGAACAATTGATAAATTCAGAACAGAAAGCTTCGTTTAATAATTAGCATTTCAGAAATCATGGATTTGGTACATGTTCTTGTACTTTAATTTAAACTATATGCTAAAGTTGAAATAAAATGAAACGGGTAACATGTTAACTTATACTAAAACAAACTCCAGGCTTGAACTTCAAAATGAAGAATTCTTCACTAACTGATACAATATAAAATCACATAAGAGCACCTGTTAGAATAGTATTTTATACAACAAAGCTTTGAACATTAACAATATAAACCAAAACTACTTAATGTTTTTGTACATGTCACTGATGATGTGCATACACATACACCGCTTGGACCTGTTAAGCTTTTGGTAGAAAGACAATTTTTAAGTTTCTTAAATCACTGCCTTTTAGCAATTGACCACAAAATAGGGGTGCCTTCTTTTGTTTGGAATGAAATGATAATATCCAAAGCTCTTAATCTGTAGGAAAGCTGCATGGCTTGTATTAATTTATACTGCACATCTAAAACGGGAACATTTGAAGTTGTTTTGAATTAAATCAAAGATGTAAGCATTCAGTTCATAAATAGGGATGTACATAAATTATTTTGTAATATTGTGTGCATTTAAAACTACTGCGATACACCACTTGAAATTGTTTACATAAGTCTGATTCACTGGCTTCTTGAAAAAAAACATTATGAGCCAACTTAAGATAATGGGTTGCTTTTGCCTGTCACTTTATAACTAGAGTCAAACTTCATGCATCAGCTATGGAATACAATTTCAGCAACCGACGGCTTTCTTTCCTGGTCAAATTTCACTACAGATGAAAACAGACGTGACAACAACATTGAAGAGTGCCCTCATAGATGGTCATGTTTGACAGGGTCGGTCAATTGTGCATGGCGCTCATAGTGAATCAGGAAACTTTTTAAAACACTTTTGGGGCTTTTCAGATGTTATTCATAGAAGAACTTACAGTACTATTCTTAGTTCACAAAATCTGTCATAACATGTCTCTAAAAAATTGAAAACCGACTCAAATGAATACAACACCTGAACTTATTTACAGAATCCAGTTTTTATAATAAATAAGTACTTGGTACAAGTGCAAAAAATAACTTAAGCTATGAAGGAAACTGCGTATAGATTGGTCACATTTTAAGATCTTCTGGGCTTTTTATATTAACAGGAATTTCTACAATTACGATGAAACACTGTTGCCTGCTTATATGTGGGCAACAAAACTGAAATAAATTTATTCAAAGAAGCCATACACTGCATCCATCTCAAGCCACGACAAGTCGTTCTCCTTTACTTTGCCAGCCTTCGCTTTGGTTTTCTTGCGACCCTTCAACGAGTCTTGGAGTCCTTTTACCTTGAAGATGCGATTGGAAGTCTTGCGGGTGTTAGCTGACGATGGCGGAGTTTTCTTTGCCTGATAAATCAATGATATTTGCAACACCAAGAAGTTGTATTATCTGTAGGCCTACGTGATCTAGGGAGCTTGGGGTTAGTACCAACTCTGAAAGCACACAACACTCACAGTGAAACAGAAGAAAAGGAAGAAAAAGATCTTCAGAACTGTTCATGTGATCTGGCAAGAAATACAAGGAAGGATCGTCAGTTTTTTTGAAAGGCTGGAGGAGGTTACCCTAAATAGTTTTGCGCAGAGTCTATGCTATTTTTGTTTTTCCATTTGCACACTGCTTTTACCTTAGCTTTGCTAGTAGGGTACATTTCCGCTTCCTCTTCTGGGTACAGCTCCTTAAAGCGAATCATCTCAGCCTGCGTCATCTCAGATGGCACCTCTACCTGGGCTTTCATCTGAAAATAATGTAGTTTTTAGTGATTTGAAAAAGTAAATCTTTGCACCAATCATGTCACGACTTATCCAACATATTACAATTTCAACATTAATACAGTTCACAGATTCACCATATAATGAGCCTAGCATTATGAAAATCACTGAGTACGTGTTTTTTTTTTTTTTTTTTTCCAAATCTTGCAGTTTTCATGATTTTTGTTAAAGCTTATTCTTTAAATGACCTTTTTTGGTTTGAAGTGAGGTCTGCCTTTTGGTGGAGTGTGTCTTCCTCCTGATGCAGACTTCTGTGAAGTCATCCTAGATGACATTTTTGGAGTGTGATGGTCACTAGATGGGGTTTTCCTAGAAGATTTAACGTTGAGAGGCTGGACTGTCTGGCTGAGTCTCATCTGGGTAGGTGTGGTGCTCAAACGTCGGTCTACCTCACTTTGCTGACGAAACAATGTTAACATCAAGAAAAGTATATTTAAATTTCTTAGATACTTAGGCAGTTATGAAACTTTAAAAGATCTTTTTTTTGTAATAGTGCCCTTTCAATTATATTTACTATATAAAACAAAAGGGAAGTTTCATTCTGTAAAAAGTGTCAGAAAGGAAGAATTTGGTTAACAATTAAAGCATTTAGCCCAACTATACCATGCCAATCAATCGCCATTAGGGCTACACATTTTCTCATGTCACGTTTTGCTCTTGCTGTTACTTACTATTCTTAAGACTCAGAAATATTTAAACTTTAGGAACTGCCAATACAATTCATGCTTCTTATGTTCATGTTCCAAGTTTGGTGTCTGCTGCCCTCAGACTCCTCACATTATTGCCCCTAAAACTATTCATGTGTATTTTCCACACAACCCAAACCTTTTAACAACTATATTTCTTGACAGCCGATATTGTGCTTACCAAGCCTCCATCTATTTCATAGAGACTGTAAGCAGTAAGCAAAAGCACGCTTAACCTCAGAGGAACAAATTGCATAAATCAGTGATGTAACAATAGAAATCTCCATGAACATGCAACTGTTAGCACGTCAACGCCGTGAAATAGTCCGTAAGCAGCAGCATGATTTTCTGCTACAGTAAGCTAAACTTTTCTGCTAACTGTTTAGTCTATGTAACATGGCCTATGATATGTTAACAGATTCGCTGATTAATTAGGCAAGACCCCGCCTCTTGACTTCCTAGATTTTGACCAATCAGCGGGCGCTTTCTATATCGGGTCTCCGGTGAGCGTCATAGACAATGTATAAAAAAGCCCTGCATCACGCGCTCTGTAATCATGTTACGCGATAACGCGCCGGGCTGTTGTTGCATTACAAAACACTGCATTCGAATTGACCAATCAAACGTTTAGTCCTGATTTGGGAATGAAATGACGTCACGATTTAGTAAAGTCCACTCCGATTGGCTGAGGCGCGAGATCGCATAAATCTGCATGCTTTGACATATCAGACGTTAGACAGGAGTCTGGGCTCCGTGTATAACGGATGATACTCAGACTACTAACTGTTAAGCAGCGCTATGAAATTGGGCCCTGAAATGACCACAGCAAAATCCAAACTTTACCTCAATCTCCATTAGCTGGGAGCTGGACGAATCAGACATGGACCCATTTAAGCTATCCTCGTCATCAGACACAAATGCAACATGCCTCTTCCTCGGCACACTTACTGCCTGCCTCAAAATGCTGTGCCTGGGAGTCCTGCTTTTACAAGGGGTCACAGGTAAGGGTTTCTCTGCCAAGCAAAACAAGTTATTAGATTTAATTGATCTGATGTGATATATTTCCGTACATCACAATCTATTGCTGGCAGTGGGAAGTCGGTTTACCAGCAAGTAAATTTCTATGTCTCTAGTTCTCTCTTGTTTCGAGTATTCAGATAAATGTCACTTTCTCAAAACTCGCAACACCCATTGTTAAGTTAAACTGTAAATCAAGAAAAGTAAGAACAACATATAGTACAAGCACTATTGACTGAATTTACAAGGTAATTGTGGCTAGTTCTTTACTCTCTAAGCCTTGAAGAGGGTAATTATTTCACAAATGAATGTAAAGACAATTTTCAGGTGTTATAGTCAGTTTGTAATTACACATACGACTGGCTTATAGATGCCATATAGTCAGGCTTTTTTTGGGGGGGGGGGGGTAAGTTTAACCGTCAGTATACATTTTTTGTGTGATTGTTTTGTTCAGTTGATTTTGTTTTTATGTTTTGTTGTTCCCTGGAATAAACTTACCAGCCATATGAGATTGGGGAGTGTGTGGCACAACTTGCTTGGATGTAGGTTTAGGAGTCGAGTGCTTAGGCAGCGATGTGTTCTGTTTAGGAGCAATGGGACTGATGCCCACCACTGGATCTCCCATGGATACAGCGGCACTCAGGAGCTGTTTCAACTCATCCTCCTGCCACGACGCATCAAGAATTAGTGGTTTTGAAAAAAAATCTCACACAACAATCCCAGCAAAACCCAATTCCGTTACTGATGAGGTGTCATACTGCCCTCTTGGGATGAAGTACATTACAGTCCTTTGCTGCAAAAATTTCATGCTGGTTAACAAACCATTAAATTTAATCATGTAAAATGTAAAATTGTTCGACCACATCTTCAGAAAGAATTGTCAAAAATGTTGTGGGAAATGTGGGTTTTATTTTTAAAAATGCACTGAATTGATTCGGAATATTGTCATATAATATATATTTTCTTTTTCATTGTCTTTTTTTTTCTTTTAATGACTATCTGCGTTGTTCAAACACTTCCCTTCCTGAATTACACCGTTAGATTGGGGTGATTCTTAGGGTCCCAGAAATAAGACTTCGCAAGTTTTTAAACCAAATGAAAGCATATTGAACTTAGATAGGAGGGGCATATCTTGTTAATTCAGACATTTTGATTAAATTTAACTAAACTAGTCTTTAATACTTGTGATTATAGATTACATTAGAAAAGAATCAATTTTGTTCCATCCGAATACTTCAGATTAGATTACCATAAGATGGTTTAAAAGATTAACCCAGCGTGTATTAAAACAATAGGTTAAAAAGAATTTTGCGTGAAATCCAGCAAAATGAGAAAAGGTAATAAAAGCTGGAGGCATCTGAGCTGTCAACAACACACCTTAAATTTGAATTTCTCTTTCAAGCTGTTCAGGTTCTCCTCCTGATCGCTGACCTGCTTCTTTGCTTCATCTCTTTCAGCCTGAACCTCAGCCACCTCTTGTCTCAGTCCCTGTAAATCTTTCTTCAACTGACTGATTTGATCCTCCTTTCAACAGTGAACCGTAAGAAAGCTGGTATACTATCCATAGTTATCACAGTTAATGGTACATGGCACAAATCAATTTGCCGACACGTTTGAGTGATGAGCCTCAAGTTATTTCACGGGTCAAGTCCCTTAGCTGACCGGTTCATAAACTTTAAGAATTAGTAACAGCTTCTATCAACAGACCCTGCAAATTTATTCAGTATTCCGAGAATCTTGGTTGAAGGAATCGATGAAAGGACTTTCTGGAATGTGTTCTTATTTTCCTCATTAGCCATAACAGTCAAACTGGAAAACCTCATTAGAGCAAAGCAACAGGTTCTTGTCATACAAAACACTTAGAAATTGTCAAGATGTTTTAAAGCTAGAGTCCATCATTTGCAGCCATCCGAAAAGTAACTGGCGTAATTATTGTTGAAAAACAAACTTGGTTGAAAGATAGTAAGGGAACTAAACTCCCTGTGAAATTATTCTTTCTGGGAAGCTGTCATTTTGAAGTAATCAACGAAAGAAGGCATTTCCAACGGTGATTCTTAAGAAGCACTGTAGGAAAATTTAAATTAGTAGTTCGTTTTGTTATTCAGCGCAGCGCGCACAAGTATTGGAACGACGCACACGCGCGCGCGCGGTTGTTATAATTTGTCGGATCAGTGCGCGACGTCGCGTATAGCTGCAATTCAAAACAATTCAAAACATGATTCAGTAACTTTTGATTTGAAATTGAGATCTTAGAATGCTGTTTTTCTCGGAATGTACAGCTGAAGCTTAGCTGAAACTTCATCAGGTTAGTTGCTCAGAATCCTTCATTAGATTTTGAACTCTTTTGTTGCTTCAAATGAACAAAATGCACAAATTACAAATGATGGACTGTAGCTTTAAACATTTTTTAGGCAATTTATTTCTATTAGCAAGGCTGCAAAGCATGCAAGCATTTTTTAAAAGGTAAACTTTAACCTCCAATTTCTTGTTGTGTTTTTGTTGTTCCATTTCCTTCTTCAGTTGGTCAATCTCTTTTTCCTTTTGGGCAACCATCCTTTCATTCTCTGCCTGCATAAAAGGAAAGAAAAAAACTTCCTCAATTATTAACTTGTCTAAAACCAGAGTTAGAAATGAGAGAAAGCGAAAATACAAAGCCAGTGCACTTAATTTAACCAAAAAAAATAAAAAAATAAAATGTTGATGCCAATTGTAGCCGTTGTGCTGCTGAGAATAAATTACAGACACTATCTCATTATCAGAATATATCAGCCATGATTTTCAAGATATGATAGTAAAAAATACTAGTATAAAATATATATTGTTGTTGAGATATTCTACAATATTCAGGTGTTAAACAGCAGTGGTTGACTAAAGGGTAAAAACTTTTTTTCCCAGTGCCACCTTGTCAGAAAAATTGGTTCAGACCATATTGCGGAGGGGGTAGGATGGGTTGTACAAATGGGGAAATACTTAATTTTTAATACAGGCAAAAAAAATGGAAACACATGATTTTAAATTTGGTGAGACTTCTTCGGTGGACTTTATCTAATTACCTTGTATTTGTCCAGTGTGGCACTGACTTCTGCCATCTGGAGCTCACAGGCCTGCTTGGCATCTTTGTGCTCCTTCACAGCCGAGTCCGTCTTCTGTCGCAAACTCACTGCTTCTGCCTCAAGATTCTTGACCACATTAGTCTTGTCTTCTGCTTCCTGCTCTTTCTCATGTAGCTAATTAGTGCATATTAAAATAAATTGCTACTAAACTGTTTTTTAATTAAAAAGTACATTTTGGAGGTGTGTAATGGATGACACAAACAAGGACTTGCACATCTACAGCAAAATCCTTGTTTATACAACTGAATAAATCAACTTACCGATTATAAAGGTTATACCAGTTTCAAGTTCAGGTCTAGGCATTACACTGATGAATGGTGAGGTCCTTATAAGACTAATATCTGGCTTTTAGATTTTCAAAAGGACAATACTGCTGTAGGGAGACTTATTGTTCTTACCTTCGATTTAAGTTCTTCAAGTGCTGCTTTCTCATGCTCTAGGTCTTCTGTCACTGAACACAACTGGAATTACGAAATTGATACTACATATTAAGCATTTATGGGTACCGTGATTAAAGTTTAATAATTAATGCCAATAACGACAGAGGCCAACTGAATAGAGTAGTGTCTTGTCTGAACTTTTTGCTGCTGGTAGGAAATGAAATAGTGAAGAAGTAAGAAAATAATTGCAAACCTTGGTCTTCGTCTCTTCAAGTGCACTCTTATTCTCCTCAAGTTCATTGGACACAGAGCTGACCTGAAATAAATAAAGTGCCACAAAGTGCAAATATATAAGTTGTTAGATTTATTCAAAAGATACACTCCTTCATAATTAATTGATTGAGTAAAATGGTTTAGCTAATTAAAAAACACCTGTTCTTCTGCAGCAGTTGTAAGCTTGGTCTGTGTTGTCAACTTTCCCTTCAGTGTCTTCAGCTCTTGGTGCAGATCTTTCACTTGTTTGGTCTTGGAAGCAACTTGGCCATGAAGAGACTTGTTCTTGCTCTCAAGGGAAGACGATTTGTTGCTGAAGGCTTCCAGGTCCTCGTTTAGGCCGTCATTCTGATTTAATATAAATGGAAGGAGGTTGACTTTTCCACTAATTTACAATGCCATTTTCCATTTATTCATGTTATAAAAGTAAGAATTCTTCACCACTTTGAGTGGAGAGAAGAGTGGAAAAAAGAAATCAAAAGACTGAAAATCAAATCCATGAAGTGATCAGGTTAATTTCAGCTTTCCACATACTTTAGTTTTTTCCTCTTGGAGTTCTTGAGCCTTGCTCTGTTCTTGCTCCGTGTGTGTTTCTTTCAGATTCTGAATCTTTTCCTCAAGTTCTTTGGTCTTCTGCACAGAAGCCTCAAGTTTTGCCTTTCCATCCTCAGCTGTCTCATGCAATGCCTGGAAACAACAACAGCAACTTCGCAAAAACACAAATTTTCATCCACACAGACTCCTGGTCCTATCAAAACTGGGTAAGCCTCACAAATGCCACTTCTTTAGAACAATAACAACATATTTTCCTACAATCCCCTTTAATTTTGAATTTTAAACGTTGCCAAAATATATGTATCAAGCTCATTAGACATACATTCATTGTTTGTCCCTCACCCTCCTTTTTTTATAATTTTATATATCACAGCTCAGATCTCTGATTTACAGCTGTTACTTGAAAGAATCAAGACATACCTCAAGTTTTGTCCTAATCTCCTGCATCTGCTCTTCCTTGGTCAGCAGGTTATCCTCCAGAGATTTCTTCTCATCTTCTGCAGTCTCAAGGAGCTCTGACAGTTTCACATTTTCTTCCCTTCACAAAAAAAAAAAGTTAGACCTTTCGTAAATAGAAACAAACATGATTTATTACATAGCACAACTATTATGGTTGGCATTGCTCAAATAAACCTGCATGGTCAGTTCTGTGCAAATCAAAATTTAAAATTTGAATTTCCAGAGTTATAAAATTGAGGTTTACCGCTCAGCCTGATTTTCCCTCTTGATAGAGTCCACCTTATCGTAGGATGCTTGCTCCCTTTCCAGTACAACTTTGAGCTCATCTTTCAAGCCATCAATTTCTCCCTTGGAAAATAATATAAATATTATCAGAGAGACAAATGTAGTTGGAAATCAGTATAGCTATATTCAAAAGAAAAAAAAATGATGGAAATTTGCATGAAAATGCTTTTCCTACAATTTGATAATTTCAACTTTACCTTGTAATCAATTTTTATTGATCAGTGACATATGATATATCTATGAGTAAGATTTGAGGCTTTGCATGGTGGAGATACTAAATAATGAAAGGTTTACCGCAAAACTTTCATTATTTGATATTTCTATGGTTTATCACCTCTATCATTCTGTACTTGGTAGGAAGGGCAAGGATACATTTTGAATTGTAACCATGCCACAGTTTAACTTTTGGGGGTGAATACTTATGATAAGCTAATATAAACCAGTGACTAAAGCTAGATCGAAGGTAGGCGGACATACACCTATGTATGAGTGCTCTAACCTTAAAAGAAGTCAAGTCCACCACAAGTCCATCACAGGTCTTTTCATTAGTAAATCACAAGTCCATTTACAAGTCCAGTCACAAGTAAACGAGGTCAATAAACAACAAAAGGAATGCCTTTGTTTCAAAGGTATAATGGGACTTGTGAAGACTTGTGAGAACTTGTGATGGACTCAACTGCAACGCTGGCGAAAGAGTTACCAATTTTGCAGCCAAGTTTTCCTTGAGCGTTTGTATCTCTGAGGAGATTATGTCCTTGTCACTGGTGAGTTTCTCAATGCTTTCTGTCAAACTTTGGATGTTCTGCTTGAGTTCCTCAATGTGTTTGCTGTGGCTTTGAAGATCCTGCTGGAGCTGGGCCTGGAGAGAGGTTAATGAGGAGAGAGGATGGAGATCTGAGGCTGACAGATTGGAAACACTCTTAATTATGCTAGTTATTTCTTGAGCGTTTGTTTAACGTACAAACTATGACTCACTCAAGGGCGGATCCAGAACACAATTTTGTTGGGGGGGGGGGGCCAAAACAAATTTTGGTCCCCCAAAAAGTGGGTCAAAAAAAATACGGCATGGGGTTCGGGGCCCACTTAAGTGCCCCGAAATTTTTTGGGATTCTAGATGCTCTGTGGAGCAATCTAAGGCAATTTCTGACCACTTTAACCAATGTTTTTTAGGAAAAGATGGTGTTGTACTCATTGCTTGCCTTTATTGCAAAATTCGGTTCGTTTTTTTTTGGGGGGGGGGGCCATGGTCTCCTTTGCCCCCCCCCCCCCCCCCCCGGATCCGTCCTTGGACTCACTTCAAAATGTAAAATAGACACAACAACTGTTTTTTATTTTAAAGTATTACGGGAGCAGAAGTGCTATATTCTTACCTTTTCATTGCTTAATTTTTCTTGCTCATGTTTAAGATCCAGAATCTCTTTATCTGATTGCTCCAATATTTCAGCTTGGGTTTGGACTTTATCAACTGCCTCAGCCAAAGTCTTCTGAAGGGATACTAATTTCAAAGAAAACGATGTTTAACTTTTTTGGGTACGAAATTGATTGCCTTAATGAGAAATTGATATTGCCTTAAGACAATGCACTGTGACATTATGGCTAATATATCTGCTATGTGTCTTTAGTGGGCATCATTTTTAGCCAACATATTGGCTAGCCATACGTAGAGGCTGAATTATGTTATGATAATAGTAAAATGGGGCAAACAAATAATCTCAAATTGCCTTAGAAAGCAGGAAAAAGCATCACAGATTTCAAAATCTTCCAGGGTGGGGTGGGGGGGGGGGGGGATTGCCCCGGACCCCCCTAGTAGGGCGTACCGGCAGCATGCTTTTACTCCAGCTTTGGTGATTGCTATATTAGGTAATATTGGAATTTTAGCCTTAAACATACACATTTCTGAAACATGAGAACTAACCAAAGTCATATTTCAAGATGAAATGAATGCAATGATTATTATCAAATATTCTCTTTGTTTTACGAAGAGACCCAAACTTACAGTTTTCCCTTTTCAATTCAGCTAACTGTTGGGTAACTTCCTGCTTTTTGGCGAGCAGTTGCTGAATGCTGTTTTCTTTCTCACCAAGTTGTCTTTCAAGATCTTTCAGCTGTGTGTAAATATGATTCAGGAGGAAACAAATGTCAAGTTGCAATACACATCGATATGGCCGGAAAGAGTGAAGGAAATGATTATTCCGATTTGATAAATTATCTAGATATCCTATCTGTGTTGGTGTTGTGTTAAAGCTAAATCAGAAATCCTCACTTGCTTCCTTAATAAAGAATAAGACATAAATTAATTTGACACACTGCCCCAGGTGAATGAAGCATGAATACACTATTAGGTTAGCTTATAAATGAAGGATGATTGATGGGAGACAGATGATGCCATTTTTTTCTCAACAGGCTTAACAACTCACGGACACATGCTCGTCAACATTTATCAAACAGCATATATGTAAGACCATATTTACAACAGATGCTCAATTCAGTAAATCAATTTCAGTGTATATTTGCCCTGACCTTTTGCTGTACTTCCTTCAACTGGCTGATAATTTGCTCATTATTCTTCAAATTAGAGTCCTTCTCATTGTCCACTGCATCAAAGAAATAAATAAAAACTTAAAAAAAAAACCCACTTTCTGAATACATCATCATGTCAAACACAATGGTACACAAAGTAAGAAAATAAAAAAATCAACTTCAGTTTATCTTACATTTAATTTTGATAAGACTTTATAGTTTGAAAATCTGAATGTCAGAAGTTGGTTTCTGTATGGGTACTTTGCAGAAACCTATTCAGTCATTAACGCAATGGTTTGAATGAAGGGAAATAATTTGGTTTTGAACTCCTGACTAATTATACCCACATTGGTTTGTTGCTGGTTGTTGTGTTTTGTTGTTGCTATTGTTGTTGTTGTTGCTATTGTTGTTGTTGTTGACATGTTTTTGTTGTTATTGTTTAAAACCGTATACAATACTTACATGCCAAAATCAGGTCATTCACCTTGTTCTCGTGAAGCAAGCTTAGGTCTTTGAACATTACTCCCAATTCCTGTGGGAACATATTAACCACATGATTTATAATTTTATCCATACTTCAAACTATCTGTGATATTTGATATGATGGAAATAATATGGCAGCCACGCAGATGTAATCCCTCAGGATGTGGACTATGACTTAGTCTAGGAAATGGTGGACGTCTACAATTATGACCAGATGTAAAGAACGTTGATCTGATTCAAAGAAACTTGTTGTACTGTGGTCAAAAACTTAACTTATAGTACAGATTGTATTGTCATTTGTTTCTGAACAGTATACTTAACAATGTCATTTTGGCCCATTTTTTTACTTTTAACTAGAGGGAATTCTTGGCTTGTGCAAATGTGGTGAAGAGAAGAGATTACATCTTTTAAAAAAAATTTAAAATATGAAACAAGTTACATTCAACAGTTATCAACTAACTTCTCTACCCTTTTAGTTTGTAGCTTCAACAAAAACCTTTCATGTTTTTAAATCAAACATGTGTTTTTACATTTGGTAAAAGGAAAACTTTCTGTCTCATTGCACTTCCGAAACCAAACTGACTAAGTCACGAAACCAACCAGCCATTTTGTCAATAAGGCTATTGTCAAGGTTAAAACAGTGGACAAGTTTCTTTTATCAGCTATTCTGCATTCAGGAAACTTCTGCAGACTGGCGATTTTATGATTAAAATTTACTGACAAATACTAAGATGTGAATAACTAATGCTATACTAAAAAAATGATGTCACAAATAAATGATGCACAAATGGTAGTGTTCACATAACTAAATAAAAACAAAAGCATGTAGACAAAGTACAGCTGCACTTTGTATAATACCTGTGGGTAGCTAGCTATCAGAGGAAGTGATCAATTTGACCACACTTCCCACTCATAGTGGTCAAGGTTACATATGTAATCACAATCATGGAACAGATATATCTAGGGGTGAACAATTGTAAGCTTACGCTGTTCATGCATTATTAATTGTATGACAAGTCCGAAGTGGTTTAATGGGGGATGTAGAAGGAAGCTGGGGGAGAATGAGGATGAGGTTGGAAAGGGATATATAATTATTAATATATGTCGATGGAAGGATCTGTTTAACTAATTAATTTCCATGGCAACAAATAAGTTAGGGTGAGTGTGTCAGAAAATCTCAGAAAGTAATTCAGTTAAATTTTTCTAAACAACATGAATTCTCATTTAATTATAACTGTATCCTACAACATGAATAATTTTTAAAAAGTACTTCAAGCTAGAAGGAGTTTTTTGTGTGTTTGAACTGTGGTTGGTTTGTGAGCTTCTTTTGGCTTTATTTCATTTCGGGAAAACATAATTTGAAATGTGTTTAACAAACAGCTTTCATAATGAACTGAATAAAAAATACATGATGTGATTATGTTTTTTTCCAAGTTACCTCCAATTCCTCCATGTTCTGTTTTTCCACTGTTCTGAGCTCATCTCTGTCACTCTCACACATCACCGCTCTGTCTCGCAATTTGGTTGTGTAGTCCTTCAGGAGGTTGCACATGTCTCTAGTTGACTCGATCCTATACAGTGAGACATATCGATGTACGGCACGCAATAAATACAATGCACTTTTTACAACTAGAATTGAGGGGCAAATGGTGCATAAACATTCAGGATCGCAATGAGCCCATCAGAGATTCATTTCCTAATATTCCAAAGACAAATTGTGTTCTAATTTACCAACTGTGATTAGTCACTGCCTTGTCCGAACCTTTCCATATTCACTGCCTCATGTCTAAGACCAAGACACTGCACTCATGCAGTCCTTCATCCCTTTGACATTAAAAATAGCAAATCAGACTGACTTTGTTCCATTGACATGAATTCATGAAGTGGTTTCCTAAAAAAATGATACACTACTAATACTCTTGAAGCATGAAAGGCACTTGAAAATCGTTTATAATAACTTTCCACAACCATGACTTTTAGTTTAGGCTTGGTTAATACATTCCAAAATGTGGCCCGAGCGATTTGGTTGTGGTTTACCAATTTTACCGACCAGTGCATGGAAAATGGAAAAGAGGTTATCACAAAATATTTTTTTAAAAAGTGACAAGCAAAAGCAAGTCAAAGGTACAAACTTACTTTTCAGAAATATCTGATCGGTTGTCCATTTCTTCTGTCAACTTTCTGCTGAGATTCTCATTTTGAAGCTAAAAAAAAGAAAGAAAAACACTGATAGCTTCAATACAATGCATAGAGAGTTTGGCTTCCTTTTTTTTTTAATGTAGCTTAATTATGGTGCAGTTTTTTTTAAAGGGGTCTTATATCGGGTTGCTGATTTCCAATTTTGTTTTTACTAATTAGTTAGAACTCGAATAGTTACAAAATGGTGAAATAACACAGGAGTACATCATTCACCTGTAACTCAAGAATTGACTTTTTCTGAGACTCAATTGTACACTGTGAATCCTGGAGCTTTCTCTCCCTCTGCTTTAGATCCATCTCAGTTTTGACTTTCCAACTCCTGATTTTGTCAGCCTCGTTATGAAGGCGTGTGTGCAGCAAGCTGAGGCGGTCGGAGCTATCAGACAAGTCTGACGTCTCTGGCTGCTGCTGCTGCTGCTGCACTTGCTGCTGCTGGTACTGACGCTCTGGCATGTTTGATGCAGTTGTGGCTGAAGGGCACAAGCTTGGTGTGATCAGCAAGGATGATCTGGCCGTACTTGTTTGCTGTGATTGAGAGTTTGAATCCTGCAAGTTGAAAACAAAAGAACCTATTCATAAACAGGGGTAGAGACAGCAGCCTTACAGCAACTCTATAATTGAGGAGCCAACTCTAGCACTTAAAATGGGCTTGCAGTAAACTTCTTGAGATTTTTTAGTGGGATGTAGTGATTCAAATGGCACTTTTACAAAACATGTCTTTAAACATTTTAAAACATCTTGCATCCCAGGACTGAAACATCTCATAGATCGCTACATTGTGATGTTTTCTTACCATTTGTAGTCAATTCAAAAGGAAGTTTTAAAGTATCTTTGAAAGTCATTTATGAGTTTAAATGTGCTCTGAAGACCCACCATTTCATTAATCATCCAGTTTGATTGCATTCTCATGTATACTGTTTCATATTCATGTATTTACATTTGTGTGTACTTTTATTCCCTACTGTTTTGCTGTTCATGTTTATTTGTTTGTTTTTCTGCGCCTTGAGCATCTAATCGAGATGGATTTGGCGCATTATAAATGCTCTTTATTATTATTATTAAACATCACCAAAATGAGACTTACAAAAATTACAAGAAAGTTCACATATTTAAACAAAAAATGAGTCAGGAATCACCTGGAATATTGAGGCTGCAGTACTCCTTGATGGCTCTCTCTCACCAAACATAAAGAAACTGTGCGATGTACTCTGGCTCTGAGAGGAAGGTTTAAAGAATGGCTGGTTCTCAGTCTCATCTTGTCTCTGGGATGACAACATTTTGCTCAGAGATTGTAAACTGGTATAAAGAAAATAAAAATGAATATTTAAATAAAAATTTGATAATTTTAAACAATGGTTCAACTGCAAAATGAAATCCAACTTCAGCACTAAGATCAAATTTCACATTATAAATTGGCTGAATTTGTACTAATGCCATGAGCAAAAGTCAGTCACTTTGTATTGTTGAAGGCCTTGACATCTTAGGCATATTGGCCTTCATTTTCAAATGAAACTTTTCTTGTAAGTTGTAGGGATAGTTCATTCTCCGGGGATTTTGTCTTTACTCTTCCGGGTAGAGTAGGGATCGAAAGCCTGCCTTTAGTGTGATTCAGTATCCGTAACAGGATACAACTCCTTGATTATTACATTTTAAAAGAATAGAATCACCTTTGAAGTCCCACCACAATTTTGAACCAAAAATCCTTTTGCTGCATTTCCCAAATGATATATGCTTGGCCTAATAACTGATATGATGGTAGTCCCTATGCTCAGCCACAAGTTAAAAGCAAAGCATGTTTAGCACTAATTACATGTTAGTGCTAAACATGCTTTCTGGCGACTCAACTCAAGTCCCAACGGGCAACTGACTCAACTCGATGCGAGTCACTGTGAGCAAATGACTCAGTATGACACGAGTCCCTCATCAGAAGACTCGTCCAAGCTGTGGCAGCTATCCGGTACAAATAAATATCGAGGACTCCAACTTCATGGTTTTATAATGTAGGCCTAGTTCACAAACTACTATCCCGGGGCGATTTCTTAAGCCCTTGATGGAACTCCAGCTAACTTTATGTCTTGATGTAAAAAAATACACAGATATATTTCTAAATACATAATCAGAAACAGTTTTGTGTGAACATTGCAATTTGGATTTGACGTTGTCAGCATAAAACTTATTCCAGATCCGAAGCCAAACCAGAGATAAAACTGAAGTTTCACTTCTTTTTAACTGAAGTAACGCCCAGCAGAAGCTGTCTATTGGGTACAATGCAACATATTTGAAGTCTTTGGGTCTTCATAATAAACTGTTGTCTTGTCTTGTGTTCCTTATTCTGTAATTTATTAGGCTAGATGGTATTCAAATATCTGTGACTCAAATTGACTCAAGCATTTGACTCGACTCGACCACACACTGTGACTCGATTCGACTCGACCTTCTTGACCTAATGACTCGACTCAACTTGAGTCAGTTCCTTAAAATAACTCAAATTGACTTGAGTCACATGCAGTGGCTCGTTACAACTCTGGCAGCCAGTAGGCCTACTCAAATTGAGTCAGGGAGTTTAGTCCAGTGACTGGCCAAAAACTAACTAGGCCTAGTAACTAGTCTGACGTGAGACTTGGCCAGCTAGTTTAGCACAATGTTTCCCTGCAATTTGGGAGCACCATAGTTCTTTGGCTTTTGCCTTGCCCTTCATGCCCTTGTCATGCTTGTTGGCCTGTGCTGTGTGTTTACCTAGGCCTACAAAAAGTACAATTAGGGCCGACAAATGAATGACATGCTTACCTTTTTTGTTGGCACTTCTTGCAAAGAAAGTTCAATGTGAATTAGGCTTAGGACTAGGGCCTACTTTGACTTTGTTCCTGCTTTTCCTATTTTACACATATTTCTGCACGAAATGGAGACATGGCAGCTAGTGTAGTAAAAGGGTTTGTCTCAGGTTTCAGCAAAAGCAAGAAAGCCTAAATTCAAGACATTGGCATTGCGTACAAAAATAATACAGTCATGACAGTCTAGTTGTCAGGCACAAAAACAGCACCGACAGCTAGCAGACGATCTTTGCCGAATTATCACAAAATGGCCGAGCCGCGCCGGCGCGGCCAGCCCATCCTAAAAGTTTCAGCCAATCATAAAATTCGTAACGTATTAACACGTTTGTACTCGAATATGATTGGTCAAAAATTCAGGACCGCGTGTACAAGCAAAGCAACGGCTGTTTTATGACTATTGTATTCCAGTTAAACTAATTAAAATGATTGTGACGCTGAAGCAGCGTACCCGCGTGGGCATGAAGGAACAAAGTAAACTGGGTCACCGCCAACTTGCGTAAACCATGCGTAAACCATGGAGGAATGATAATTATTCCTCCATATAAAACGGAATTTCTTCGGTTGATTTAGCAACCTACATATTTATTTTGATACATGTGTTGCAGTACAGTGTATACAGTGCGTAATCCACTTCCGCTTCCCAAATGCCTAATACAATTCAATAATAGGGGTGTAATATTAATAATATCTACATAACAATACATTGTGGAGGGACAGAATCGCATTTTTGTGGAGATTAATTAATACAGTACTCACACAAGTGTCTAATTTGGAGAAAAATTTAATTTTATTTGAAACCATTTTTTCTTAAACCTTCAGCATGCATTGAATTAAACCTGTTTAGTTAATGGTACCTCCCACCAGGCCAACTGCTATAAAAGCACGAGTGGCCGCCGTCTAGCTGATCAATCACGCGTAAAAAATTGAGCGGAGGTGGCACACTAGCACGTTCGTAACGTTTGGTGATTTAAAAACGAACTGTACGGACGATATATATCGAAGAAACTAATTGGAAAAACAAGCTTGAACTTGTGCTTCTAAACTGCTGGAGAACTATTTATTTCGTTTGTGAATCGCATCACCTCACTTTTGGCAATTAAGTTTGAGTAGGACTTCACCTGAAATTGGGATCGCTGTACGCAAGTTGTGAAGTTCAGCACACGTACACCGCCGCACTGTCATGGCTGGCGAAGATAACGCACGCCTGCACTTTTGTACAGTGCTAATCCTGTGCTCTGTTGTATGTCAAGGTAAGCAAGTGAGATAAGAATGTGTAGTGTACAAACTACGTTGTGGAGTGGACCTCCCATAAACCTCCCAGCATGTCCAGGGAGAAATTTGCTTTGCTTTGATAAACCTCCAAGAGCAGACCGGAAATGCCAGAATATTGTAACATAACAATTATTTTGTACAAACTTAATTCAAATTTCCAATAAAAAATTCCAGGATAACTGGACCATTGAATGACCATGGGCATGGGGGTAGCCTCCATGATTAGACAAGTATGGTCAGACCCCCTAAAGCTACGTGGTCCTCTTTCTATGCACTCACCTTTATTCAGTTTGTGTACACGTGACAACGCGCGCGTTGCAAGCGTTACCTGCACAGATTATGGAGGGTCGAGTATAATAAAAGGTCGTAGTACAGCCAGGTTTGCTGCTTCTAAACCAGGTAATGCTATAGCTCTACTGAGTGGAGCGCTGGAAATGTGGTACCCTCCGTACCGCAGTTCGAGCGCTCCACTCAGTATAGCCCCACTTGTGTGGCCTCGGTATTGCTGCGCTGTACGTTCGGTCACACGTCTGGTTTTCCAACCTACTGAGGAGTTTAGTCCAAACACTGGCGCACATTTTACTGGCGCACTGGAGCTTACTGCAGCCTCCCTTTCAATCAGCCTTTGAATTTTTTAAAACTCTGAAAATCCTGATTGGCTCCCCTCAGTCCTGAATCCTGAAAACTAGACGCACCTTACTCCTAGAACTATGAGGCTCCACGTAGTGGAGCCTCATAGAGTCAGAAGCCCGCAAAATTGTTGTCAACACAAAACACTAATTAAGTACAAAAACGTCCATTCCAAATAAGCTATTTCCCACAGAACTGCTGCACAGTTTGCCCCTAAACTCCGTACAATACCTCATGACATACTCACGTTATGTGCACCCAACAAACATCGGTGGATTCTGTCTGTTTTTAGGCCAAAATGATGAAAAATATGCCCTTTCCGCACTGAGCCAACCTAACACTTGAAGCGAGCACGCGCGCTGATATATCGCAGTCATTTTCGGGTTCGATCGCTCGGAGCGCGCCGCGGGGGGTATGGTGTAGGAGCGGATTGATAGTATGCGCATGCGTACAAGTGCAAGTACGTACCCCCCGCGGCGCGCTCCGAGCGATCGAACCCGAAAATGACTGCGATATCAGCGCGCGTGCTCGCTTCAAGTGTTAGGTTGGCTCAGTGCGGAAAGGGCATATTTTTCATCATTTTGGCCTAAAAACAGACAGAATCCACCGATGTTTGTTAGGTGCACATAACGTGAGTATGTCATGAGGTATTGTACGGAGTTTAGGGGCAAACTGTGCAGCGGTTCTGTGGGAAATAGCTTATTTGGAATGGACGTTTTTGTACTTAATTAGTGTTTTGTGTTGACAACAATTTTGCGGGCTTCTGACTCTATGAGGCTCCACTACGTGGAGCCTCATAGTTCTAGGAGTAGACGCACCTCACCTTGCAAATTGGGTGTAAGTTAAGCCACTGGTGGTAGTGGTACTGATATCACAATCTTTCTTAATTCACGCCTATGCAAGATGACGGGAATTTCAGTCTGAGTTGTTTTGGTGTATAGGCCAGTTAATACTTCATGCGAAGCGAATTGGATGTCATCATCAAACATTTACTGTGAAATTCACCAGAGGTGAAATGTGTTCAACTGCTGCGAATTCACTGCATGAAAATTTGACTTGACATTCCCTCCCACTTTGGCCCAGAGTGTGAAACGGCCCTAAAACATCGCATTTCACAATTCTAACTTGCCACTAGATTAAAAAATATATTTACCCTTATAATAAAAATATTCAGCGATATTTACCATTATAATAAAAATATTCATCGTTACGGACTTCCAACTCAGTAAAGTTCTGCACTAACGGGGACAGCTGCCCTTCATATTTTGCATAAAAATAAAAAATGTTGTTTACAGATGAATGATTGATTATTTTTATTAATTTCACGAAAAGACTAGCATGTCAATATTTCCATGATCATTTGGCATCAGTGCATTTTTAATTTTGGAAAAAAAATACGTGTAATTATAAAAATACTGATTGGCAAGCTAGAAATATTTATGTTGCGGCTTGCAACAAGAAGGGAATTACAAGTTGTGTTCATGTTTAAAAGTACACAGACAGCTAAAAAAATGTTTTGCTTTGGCTATACGTCAGACCGTCCTAGATCTTTACAGACTTTAAAGCACAACAAAAACTAGGCCTACATCCCACATCTTGAAATAAGAGCCAGCGGATAAAAATGTAATTCATTTAAGCGCAGTTGAAATAATCCCAAAATTGCATCACGAGGAAGTGTCATGTCAGTAGCAGTTCCATTGGTAATAATTCAAAGGGCCATTTTATGTGTAGCATTCCTTCAACCCAGGAAAACCAATAGTGGTAAACTCTGCCTGCAGTGGCTTGACCTTTTAGTAATCAAATCATATCTGTCTAAGTAGGGGGTGCACGCACTATGGAATGATTGTCCCAGGTATGTGTATTGCTGAACCTGTAAAGGTTTTCCTTTCGCTGCAAGAGACTGTTTTTGTTTTAAATTTTCCTCTATGACCTAGTTCTCACAGTTGGTTGCGATTGCTCACACAACAACAAAATTCCTGAATCCGGACCCAGATCCGGATCGCTTTCAAAATCTAATTGATTTGTACTTGTACCAAGGACCCCCCCCCTAAAAAATTGGTCATGCAAATCCGTCCATAACTTTTTGATTTATCTTGTTAACAGACAAACCAACCCACAAACAAACAAACAAACAAACTAACCAAGGCCAATGAAAACATAACCTCCTTGGTGGAGGTTAATAGCGTAGTGCTTCAAAATGAGTATGGTAAATTTCACAGAGTCTAAAAAATAATAATAATAAACTTTTAGTTGAAACAAGAGTAACTGTAGTGACATCAAAACAAAATTGAACATTTTCGTCTGAAACTAAAAAGTGTATTGTTTTAATTGAAATGTGTTAAGTATACATCTGAATTTTCCTGTTTCTGTTGGAAAAGGCCTTAGAAGTTTTAGCAATCGAAACTGCACACTGAGAATTTCACTGATTGAAATTAAATATGGAACTCTTTGACTTAAAACATATTGAAACATTGGTGTTTTTGTTGGCAAAGTTGCCTATTTTCAACCAGTCTTTAGTAGAGGGCAAGCTGTTCTGTAAAGGCTATTAAGTATTACAAGTGTTGGACGAGTGCAGCGCTGGCTAACCACTACCGGTAGTTGGTGGCTCAGACCCCAGCAGCTTATAATGGTTTGTGGCGTGTGGGTTGTGGTCTTTTTAACTCTGCATGGGGTAATATGTCTAGCTGCGCCCACAGTCATTTACCCTAGCAGTCCCATGGTGTATATTTTTGATACTTCAAAAATGGTATGGGTGAGTCTAAAGGTGATGCTACTGATCTACAGATTAATGTTTCACATTAAATTCTTTACAGAAACCAGTAACACTCACACACAGTTTATTGTAATGAGGATTCAGGACTGTTAGGGTTAAATGAGGATTCAGGACTGTTAGGGGTAACCCTAACAGTCTAGTCCTGAATCCTCCAATTTTAATAAGATTTGGCACAACCCCTAGGGAGTTAGGGTTTTAATACTTCCAAGAAAGAAAGTGTTATAAGTACAGTACATCATGGAGGAAACCCTCCATGTGTACATGTATCGCTTTTTGCGAATTATTTTATATATTATTTAGCAAACACTAAAATTGTATTATTTTTTCTTCATGTACTAATTGTTACAATGATTCATGAATGAAATACAGATTATATTTTATAATTTTGCATTGAAATTTTAAAAGGGAAAAAATAGCTTCCATGTCTTTTATACAACATTTTTTTCTTTGAAAGTATTGTCAGATTTTCTTTTTACAGAAAAGCTAATTCAGTATTGGTTTTTGAAAGATTTTGTAAAAAAAAAAACCAAACAAACAAGAATTCTTGTAGTGGTCATCTTATCCTTGGTCTGTTATTTAAGAACCCCAAGCAGTGGCTATGTAACCTGAGGGTTTATGACTGGCCTTGGCCAAAACCCACATTTTCCAGGTAAACTTTCAGGATCTTGTCCTACTTTCTGTCTGTTGCCACAGGATCCAATACTGGGCTCTTGAGTCAGTGCAATAAAAGGTTTCCTAGAAATTAGAATGCATATTTTGCCATTTTATTTTAGCTGGGAAATCGAAGTTTTGGAGAAATCCCAATAACAGGTTTTATGTGCTACTGTTGACCCTTTGGTAAAAAATGTACCAAATTCCACTTTTGAAATGTACATGTAAGATGAATAGGCCTACAACAACACAAAATGTTGGTGATTACATTTTGTATACCAAGCAGAAATTGAGTCAGTGAATACATTTGGACTAGTTTTATTCTTACATTGTAAGTAATTAAAGGGAACTGAATGTTCTTTTACATGTAAAATCATTCCAAAATTTCGAACAATTTAGAATTTGTTAAAATTCTCATAAAATTAAAATCTGAATGTTTAATTGTAATTGAAAATTAGAAGCAATGGTGTTAACTTTTAAATATCTTTAGTTATTTTTGCACTGGTTTTCCTTCAAGAAGCGCAAGTGTGCAGAATTCAAGGTATTGAGGTAGATTTACCAATAAATCAAATAGGACGTTCAAACTTTTTTATTCAAACTCCGAAAAGAATTGTCATACGTGACCATGGGACAAGGATAAGATTTGTGGTGCCCACGTACGTAGGCACATGCCCAATGTCTATGACGCACAACAATACTGTTATTGATTTTTCCATCTTTTGTGTCTATTTTACGAAAGAATTTTTTTCTGGAATAACAAACCAACCCCAATTGTGGCCCTCTCCAGCTCGCTGTCGTACCCTTGGGATGGCTTACTGTTGACCTCAACAATAATTCCACGGATCAATTGTTATGACTGTAGGCATCCAGAAAGTGATTGTCAGGCAATTTGTTATGCCTATAATCTGTGTTGATTGGTCTTGCGTGCGATCATCGTCACTGGGTGAATCACAGTTTTGTGTGACCGTCACAGAGTCGTCCACGAATGTACATAATTACATGTAGTAAGGAAGACTTCGTGCGCAGCGTACGGCATAGTACCAGGTACAACATGTACATGTGCACCTGAAGTTTACATACGTACAAGTACATGAATTTGGAACAGACAGAAATATGTATGGCAATTACATGGAGGACTGAAAAATCAGTCTGTGTGTATATATGTGTAATGGAATCGAAGATTTTTGAGCCAGAATTTTTTTTTCTTTTTTCACATATGTACATTTATTTGACTTTTTGATAGAATTGGAGAAAAAAACACAAACAATTTGAGATGAATTGAATGTGTAAAAGTCATATACAGTCGAGTCTGGTTAATACAAACTCGTTTGGACCTAGCCAAATTCCTTGTTATATCAGAATTTTGTATTAAGAGGAACATCAGTCCCACTCATTGTGCACATAAATGCACAGTTGGGACCAATGCCTTATGTTTGTTATAACCAGAATTTTGTATTAACAGAGTTTGTACTAACGAGAGTCGACTGTAATGGCTCTACCTGTGTTTCAGTTGCATTGAACTGTCCTTTATATTACACCGGTACATTTGTACATGAAAGTCATTGGGTCATAACCAAAACCAAACCACTAATACATACTCAAAACAAGAATCAGTTTAAATTGCAATGTTTTTCCAACTTTAAGTCTTGGCTATGAAGAATGAGGTGGCTCAGTCCTTGTGGATTTATTCCCACTTTTGCAATCTTTAGTTTGACTTTGAGCAGTGGAACTTTAGCAAATCCACTTAATTCCAAAGAAAGCTTTAAAAAGGCACATGCATACTGCACATGTACTGCACGCGCATACATAGTATGTACATGCACAATGTAAACGCCATGCCTTGAAGTCTAACAGAATCAATACCGGAGAAATTTAGGCAGTGAGAAATGCTTTCGTAAGTGAAAGTTTACCTCTCTGAGTTCAATAGATCAGTATTTATTTAATCGGCTTGTTATGTGGGAGTCAAAGGGATTATCATAACAAGAGGTTGTTTTGTCAGCGAGTTGACTGTGTAGCTTGAGGGTCACCCATTCCATTCTTTACTGTCAGGTCAAATAAACATTCTAAAAAATTAAGGTAGAAAATATACCTATTGCCTTTTAAGTTACCGACTAGATTTAACTAGCTTTAAAAACATCCTGAATCCATCAAAATCCATAACCCCCCCACTCCCCTCCCCCCCCCCACCCGTTTTGGAGTATTTCGGCAGATTCAGGATACCTCCATATTGAGCAGTTGGGGGACTTTGATGGATTCAGGATCTTGATTTGGTGTATACGAGGTATATGTACAACACTGACAAAATTGATGGATTTTGGTGGATTCAGGATATTTTCTAGTAAAAAATACCCAAGGGGGCCGGGTTAAACTAAGTGTTAACTTCAGTTAAACTTGTTAGTTACTTATTTTGTTCCCTTGATTAGTACAAAAGTACTCTGGAGATTTCGTTGTGGAAAAGATCCTTGGTTCAAAACGTACATTCTTTCAAAAGATTTTTTTGGAGTCCTCCCCAATTGTCAGCAACATGCCAACAACTTAATGAAGCGTGCTCGAATCAACCTTTCAATAATCCATTCTTTGCTACCATTGACCCTTGAGTGATGATGGACCTTGTGTGCCCTGAATATAAAAAAAGCCTCCCATAAAAGATGCACTTAACATTTTTCCTGTCCCCTCTTCTCTCCCTCTTGATCAGTTCTTGGGTATGGAGTGGATCCAGCCTTGGAGGTGAATCTTCTGGAGGCAATTGCAATCAAGTCAAGCACAGCTACGGGTATCAGCCAAGTGCCAGGCTATCACAACCAAGGCCCCGCCTACAGCTTTGAAGGTACAAAGTGCAGATACATGGAAGGGGGGGGGGGGGAGGGAGGATCCCATTTTTCCCAAGTGACTCACCCAATGTGACAACTCCATAAACTCTGATTTAATGGCCTCTTGGAAATCCAAGGGGAATTCCTTAAGTCAGAAACGTGACTGAAATGTTGGAATTATCACTGACCTGTTCCAAGTATTTCATATTAAGAAGAGGAGGTCCCTAATCTAACGATATCCAACATCCACTAATTGTGAAGCAGCTGATTCTAAAAGAATCCAACGATTGCTTTAGAACAAAAGCAAGCTTTCAAGCATTACCTACTTTTTCCTACTTTTTTACCTCGCTCCTACTTTTTTTTCTGTAAATTCCTACTTTTCATCCTTTTTGTCCTACAACTCCGAAAAATGAAATCTCATTGAATTTGTTTCATAACAGTGTTACACACTGTCATAATTAATCACACAATGACGGGCTTGGGCACAGTACTGCAACTGTACTTCCTAGAGCTTAGTTGAGGATGGAGCACAAGTGGTGTGAGTACAGAACACGCCAAATTAGGCTTATGATGCTGAGGACATGGGTGAGTATCAACGAAAACTGCTCCTGGAAGCCTGCAAAAGTTATACTAGTCTTAGGCCCAAAAAAAAAATTAGTCGGTCTCTGGTCAGCGCGCGCGTCGATTTTAATCATGCGCGTCGATCTTTTTTTTTCCAAAATGTTCCGCTGTAGCTCCAACAGAACCCTCTATTTCCGCACCTCCTCAATTTTTTTTACCAAAGAGCACCAAGGAATGGGAAATTGCACCAAGGCAAATTATGGAGGACACCAATGTACATGAGGACACCAAAAAAGCAAAATAGTACCCCACCTTGTCTGTACAATCAAAGCTTGAAAAAAAAAAAAAAACCAAAAAAAAAAAAAACAGCCGCGTGGCCGCGTCAATTCCGGAACTTTGGTCTGACCAGAGACCGAATATATATTTTTTTGGCCTTATCCTGATTTTGTCCTCCGAAGTTCTACTTTTGTCCTGGTTTTTTTTTTTTTTTTTTTTTTTTTAAAGATTTTATCCTACTGTTCTCTTGCTTTGTCACCTGGGTCTGCTTGAAAGCCTGCAAAAAGATAATTTGTTTACTACCTGTAATATAAGCATTACAATTTAACCATATACACAAAATTTTTGCAATTGGATGTTGGATCTTGGAGTCAGCTAAGGTTGAAAATACTCTTGTTTGTCTCGGTCCCAGTGGCACCTTCAACGAAGAGTGTGGCAGTCACGCAACATTCATGAATAACTGATTTCACATTCAGATGGGTACCGAGTACCGACAGGTGCATTTTTAATTGATGGAAAATACGAACAGTGTATCCTTGCGTCCTGTTTAAAGATTCCAAAGTAATGATGAAACCTGTGAAGATCCTTCGGGCTCGTCAGGCAAAGGAGTGTCCAATAGGTGTGATCAAAAATTCACCCTGCACTGTTAAATGATGCATGAGCTTACTATTAAAGCTTTCTGTGGACGGTTTTTGATCTTGATATCAAGTGTAATAAGATTTAAGTAATTTTTCAGGTAAATCACAAAGGGAAACTGACTAGGTGCATTAAAATAATTGCTTTAAAGTTGAACAAAAAAATTGACTGGAGCGGGGTTTGAACCTGCGCCCTCCAGATTGCCGTTCCAGTGCTTTACCAACTGAGCTATCCAGCCCTATGTCGGTGGTCAATATTTGTGTTATTCTTTTTTCAATGCTTATTATTAGAGGGTGAATCATGCTGCACACATTTTCTCTTGGAAAGAGACTGTTTTAATCACAAGAAACTATTCTATTCCAATTCGGGTGTTTCTCAATGCAGTGCGCCACCAAGAGTTTGCCAAGGAGAGTTCATTTTTCCCAGTGCATTGTGGGAGACGGTCAGTAATTTCGTAAGCGTATGATTCGAGTATCTGTCTGTCCTTTTCTTTTCTTTGTATCAATATGGTGTTTTTTGTCAGGCGGAAGAACGCTGTGCCCCAATCCTGAACAAATTAGCTCAAATTGTCTACTGATTCTCATTCAAATGGGCCGTGTTTTGTAGACCTTAAACTTGAAAAATGGACTCTCCATGGCAAACTCTTGGTGGCGCACTGTATTGTGAAACGCCCGAATTACGCGTTATTACAATGTAGAATTCAAATTGCATTATAAACTACATATTTGGGAAATTTGTGTAATTATCCTGATATGATGAATTGTAATCTAAACCTCAAATCTTGCTTAAATATATAAGAAATTGACAGTGTTCGAAAATGCAAATTTGAAATAGATTTAACCTGGTCCAACTCATCAACCTAATTTAATTAATTCAATGACGACTGGTTTTTTTTCCCAAGGAGGGGACAGAAGTCTTCAGGTGCCAGAAGAGTTCTTCGACAAAACCAAGAAACTGCTGGCAGCCACAAACGACTTCACAATTGTGGCAACAGTAAAACAGCTCAGGAAAAATACGGCCAGTCTGGTGTCAATAGTACACGGTCGAGCAAGGTACATGTACATCCTCTCTGTGTTCTTATAGTTTCGGTAGTGTCTGTCATTGTTGGCACCGGAGATGATCAATCAGATACTTGTACTCTAGTTGTCACGCCGTGTGCACTTTTAATAGCCCCTAATGGGTGAAAAGTGCAGTTGAACTGGTCTGCATTATTTACAGTGCATGAAGTGGAAGTTGGTAGTAAGGCTTCCTGCTTCAATCCACGTAAGAAAGGTGTTGCAGATGGCACTTGTGTGGCTAACTAGTGAGAACCAGTGTGTTATTAGCAAACTGTGTGCGCATTTGTATTCAGTGACGTACAGCTTAAAGAGCATGAGACAAAATTGTGACCTGAAGAGCGATATGACAGATATTCTGAATGTTCATAAACATTCAGAATATTAGAATATCAGACAGATCAGAATTTTTATATGATGGGGGGGGGGGGGCTCGGAGTTTGAGAAATGGTCTGACACTGATGGCTTAAGCCATGTCTGCAATCAGCGCGCCACGCACAAGCGGCCGTGTGCAGAGAGCACATTCAGCGCTTTGATCAGATGTGAGACTACCTGTCCCTCATCCCCCCCTCCCCCTCCCTGCCCCCCCCCCTCCCTGCCCCCTTGTTTTGGTCAGGGGTCGGGGTTACACCCCTCCTCTACCCGACTTTTTCAGAACATGAAAAAGGAATACTTAATTTAGTGAATACTTTAAATACAAGTCATTGAAGTTTCTTGTCTTTGTAACATTTATGCCAGGGTGAACACTGTGTTTGACACAGTATCCATCCTCAACAATTCCAGGTAAAAAAAGAACATTCTGAGAAAGTATAACATAACTTCAAACCCTTTCATTCACACTTCTACATAAATATCATTGCCAAATTTCAGCTTTCATTATGTACAGACCACTGATAAGTAATAAGTTCCTTGCATACATTCTTCATGAATATGATCTAGAATTGCATAAATGCATAACTTAAAACCCTCCTTTTGTGTCACAGACAGTCAAATGTTCAATCCTGTTCCCCTGCCATGCCTTTTACACAGGCTAGTCACCAACAGTCAGGTCATATTTCAAAAGGCACCATGACTAGTCAAATTCTGTCAACAGTCAAAAGGAGGTACATAGGCACAGCTGGCTTATCAATCTCCTACAGTCAAAGCACGTGTACCGATACATCAGGTTTCCATAAAAATCACAGCCAGTCAATCCTGCTTTATGAAGGAAGGGAACACTCAACTGTTAAAAACAGTCACTTGATTTATTTTGACTGCTGGGCTGGCCTTGTTGAAATTGCTAAATGCTTTCATTACCAAATGCCATCACTTCACAATTCTTGTGCATGCAACATCGCTTGTTGTTGGAGGTAGATTTGGAAATTTCATGGTTCTCATAAGGTTTTCTACTTAATTTGACAAGTAGCTTGTCAAAGTTTCCAGCTGGAAAATTACGTCATCTGGTGTCAAGGATTTATCTTGTTGGATGAATTTCCTTTTGATTGAGTGTCAAAGTAAACTCTTGTTAAGTCAAATCTCAAGGGAATCGGATAAAAAATTCAAGGTATCCGGAGTTCGAGTTAAGCAAGGTTGCCGATTTTACTAGTCAAGTCATCTACACACGTGTACTTAAATGTACATGAATGGCTTCAACCCTAAGTCGCTGTGCCCGGCTATGAAATGGACACATTATTTGGCACGCTTTCCTTCTTTTTATTGATTCTAAAGGTGTATTTTTGTTAGTCACAAATCATCAGTTTACAGAGATTTTATATTGTTCTTACCTAAAAGTGACTTCGTTATGGATAAACATACATGCAACAATGCAAACACAAAAGCCAGGATTTGTTGCGGTTAGGGGCATGCTGTGGTGACTTGTCCAATCACAATGGCAGTGTGCACGCTGCATCCCCATGTGAAAAGTCGAAGTGCGTCGGGTAGTAATGACTCATGAAAAAAAGTTCATGCTCTTTTTACTTTTCATTGTGAATGTTTTGGCTGCGTTTTTTTTTTCTTTTTTCTGAGCAAACAACAGTTCAAGCTCTGTTGAGGTACCGGTGTGGGTATTTTGAGTTGCAGGGGTATTCATGTAAATAATGTCCTTTTCACTTGACGGGAATGAAGCATTACATGTACTTGTACTTCGAGATTAGCAGAAATTTGTGTTAGGCCAAAAAAAAAAAAAATACTCTGTCTCTGGTCAGACCAAAGTTCCAGAATCGATGTGGCAATGCGGTTTTTTTTTTGCTTTTTTTTTTTTTTTCCAAGCTTGGATTGTACAGACAAGGTGGGGTACTATTTTTGCATTTTTTGGTGTCCTCGTGTACATTGGTGTCCTCCATAATTTGCCTCGGTGCCCTCGATCATTTGCCTTGGTGCAATTTCCCATTCTTTAGTGCTCCTTGGTACAAAAATTTGAGGAGGTGCGGCAATAGAGGCTTCTGTTGGAGCTATCGCGGAAAATTTTGGGGGAAAAAAAGGATTGACGCGCATGATTAAAATCGATGCGCGTGCTGACCATAGACCGACTATTTTTTTTTTTTTTGCCTTATCCGACTTTGAGTTACATGTATAGCTAGGGTACAGAATTTACAATAAACATGTTCATGCACAAATGCGTGTACATGTCTAGCATGTGAACGAGCTTAGGTTCAGCTTGATGAAGTGATTGATGAAGTTGGGCTAAGAGAACTGTTTTATCTTTGTGTTTCAAACAGATCCTTTTCATGCTGCATCAGTCATTTCATATAGTAGCCCTATACATGTACAGAAATATCCACTCATTCACATTCACTAAATTAGTTGTAAGAATCTGCGCATCCATGTAAAATGATCATCAATCATCATTGTCATTAACTGCTGTAAGAGACATTTCAGATGAAAAGATGCATGTTTAAGGAATGGAGGTTTCGCAGTATATTAGTTATCCCACAAGCGTGAGTGGAACACAGAATAATGTAGTGCATCTGCGTCCCACATGCCACGAGGCTGAAGGCCGAGTGGTATGTGGGACGCAGTATGCAGTACATTTTCCACGTTCCACGAACGCCAGTGGGATAACGAATTTATCTTCAAGCAAACTTGACGAACAGTAAAGATGGAACACAGACGCTGTACACACATTTCTTTAGCGGGTATCCGATTACACGTGAGTGCAACGGGAATGGCGCGCACATCTTGGAATAGCGTGATATGCAGAGTGCGATATGGCCCGTAGTATTAGGTATAATATCACACTGTTGTTGCCATGGATCGACCAATCAGGATCAAGGGTTCAAGTTTGCTCGAAGATAAATGGTAATATTATGTGTAAGTTGAGTAGATGCCTGTAATGTGGGGTTCAATCACTCAGGACGGAGCTGCGCTAATTCCAAATCGGCAAAGTTTGTTGAAATGTTCAACAAGCTAACAGGCACAATTCTGAAATGACAACTGTCGTGTTAATTCTTTGGTGTCTCTGGAGATGATGAACTGAATATATATGAGCTCAGTATTTTAATTCTGTCAAAAGAAGGCAATTAATGCCATAGTTGAAAGGGTTAAAAGAAAATGTCTTTGTCTATTGTCCTGATCCCTCTACCTGTTTTTAACAGATTTATGGAGCTCTTCATGAGCACGAGAAACAACGAGATCCGCTTCTACTACCAGCACAACGGCAAGGTCATGCTGGAGTCCTTTGATCTCGCGGAGATGACGTCAGAGCGATGGGTGCGCATAGCACTCAGCGTCAGCGGGCCCCACGTCCGGCTGTTCTACAACTGTGAGGAAATAGCCTCACGCTACATCCCCCAGCCTGATCTGGTGATAGATGACGGGGAGTTGACGATGTGGATCGGACAGAGGGGACCGGATAAGACTTATTTCAAGGTAAGCCATAAAGCCCTGCCCGTGCAGCTTTGGTTTGCGCATGGCTGCATCCAAATTACTTCAAGGTAGAATTGGACCATTTGTCATTTGTGCATTTTTTTTTTTTTTTTTGAGGCAACAAAAGTGCACAAATCTAAAGACGGGTACTTAACAACTAATCTGATGAAGTTTTAGCTCTGTGAATGCTGTCTATTTCAAGAAAACACAATATTCCGGATCTTGATTTCTGATTCAAAAGTTGCAAAGTCATATTTGAGTTGTGCCCTCTCATGGCACAAAACCGAAATCGGCATTCGGGACATGATTCTCATTCAGCCGATTGTAGTAACGTGATTTTACACATCAAACCGATGAATGATCTCAACCATGTGCGTGTGTGCGTCGTGTCAACGCTTGCACCCATTCACGGATTTGCCTAATTACAAACCAACTTTAGACAGAGATTTCGAAGAATGTGTCACTTGACACATCTTTGGAAATGACCTTCTTTTATTGTTTTCTTCAAAATGACAACGCCAGAAGGAATAATTTCACAGGGACTTTAGTGTCATTACTATCTTTACACCAAGTAAGCTTTAATAACAATAATTTGGTTGGTTACTTTTTGGATAGCTGCAAATGATCTACTCTACCTTTAAAGTGGGAAATAACACATGCTTCAATCAGGGCAGGCAAATCCCTAAGACACATGTGTTATTATCAGCCAAGTAGATAGGATAAGGCCAACGCAGTTCTTGTGACCGAGTTTGACCAAGCTATTGAGGCAATTTGACCAAAAGTTGTGATCTGACTGGTCAATGTACACTGTTTGATCGACAGGTAGAAAGGATCCATAACCGTGATGGTACGGAGTCTGTGGTAAAAATATCTGAAGTCTCCTTATAGTTTGGGCTAAACGTCTGAAACTCTCACACTGATTTATCAAATTTGAGACCCACCAACACATTGGCGCTTGTGTGTTCAGATTTCGGTCAAGAAACTTCAGACGGTTTTGAGTGTTCCTAGTGATTACTGCTATTTGATGGCCACCAGAGCATCATTGCTGCATTGCATCTGTGCTCGGGTGTGCACCATTCATGTAAAATTTAAGCTGATTTTTTTTTAAGCTTTAACTTGCTTGTTTATAATATCAGTGTGAATTCTTTTGACTTTTGATAGGGTTCAATGCAAGATGTCCGGATAGTAGCCATGCCCCAAGGATTCCTGACGCAGTGCCCGTCCTTGAATCGTGACTGCCCGACCTGTGGTCAGTTCCAGGAAATGGCTGACGGAATTCAGGAACTCGAGGCTCGCCTCAGAACCCTGGAACACAAGGTACATCATCATAAAAAGGCGGATGAATGTTTAGCAATTTAGCCAGGATGGGATCTGGTATATTTTTCAAAATTGTCATCAAGTTTGAGGTGCTATTTAGTATTTTTTTTTTACATGTTGTTGTTGGTATATCGAACCTGTACCTTGGTGTTTCAGTATCATTGCATTGTCAGCAAATTCAGCGATTCAAGATCAAAATGATCGAATATCAATATGCCTTTCCCCAAATTAACCCTCCCTCTCTGGCTGGCAATTTCAACAAGGCCAGGTGACTGTTTTTAACAGTTGAGTGCTCCCTGCTTTCATAAAGCAGGATTGACTGGCTGTGATTGTTATGAAACCTGATATATAGCTACTGGTATGCTTTGACTGTAGGTGATTGATAAGCCAGCTGTCATCTGCTTTTGTCTGTTGATGGAATTTGTCTGTTACAGTCCCTACAAGAAATGTGATCTGACTGTTGGTGACTAAGCTGTGTAAAAGGCGTGGCAGGGGAACAGGATTGAATTTTTGACTGTCTGTGACTGATCAAACAAAAACAGAGGGTTAATTGTTCCTCAGCTGCATTGCGAAGGTTATGGGCCAAGCTAGCCCCAAATTTGGTTACACTTTCACATTTTGTTTGCTTTGAAAGTAAGTTTTCCATCTTATTTTGGTGTCTAGAGTATGTAAAGGTTTGGGCTAATTAGTCGATTATTGACATGTTTTGCCCCAACTTTCCAACAGCTTTTTACTGCAGAGACCCGTATCGAGGAGCTTCAGCAGTGTCCTTGCGCGAGGTCATGTGAGGTCAACGGAGCTGTGTATGAGGATGGCGAGACGTGGCTAGACAGCTGCAGACAGTGTACATGCAATGTGAGCATTATAGGACACCATGCCCCCTCCACATCGAAAATGACAAAGGATACCGATATTGAAGGACACTTAGGGCTATTACTGCCGTGGCCCACACTCAGTAGACCTACATTTTGTAAATCATAGGGCAAGTTCGATCAAGGACCATAGTTAACCATAGTTCGACTAACTCTGATGGAATGCACTCTAGTCGACGATGGTTTGACTAGTCTAGTGAACTATTCAGGGCCAGCCTACTGCGGCTGGTCGTGCCAGTGGCGCCACGATTTATAGCTGGTTATCAGTGAACCATTAGTTAACCATTAGTCTTTGATCGAAGTTGCCCATAGTGTCGTCACACTTTGTTTACACCTGGGCTTTCTTATGGGAGCTTGGTGGCTCTCCTCCCCATCTGGCTCCCGTAGGAAAGCACACATGTAAACAAAGCTTGACGTCATTACGACTCGGGTCCATCGAGTTTGTCTCATGCAAAGACGCAACTGGTTTGTGCATATCACAGTTTGAAACTAGCCCCGCCGACCTCCGTGCAATACATGCAAACTATTGGGTACAGGTGATATTTCCTGTGCTGCATTTCTGAGGTAATTTATGGTACTATGTATCTTTTCTTTTGGATCACAGAGTGGAAAGACAAAGTGCGCCCCCGTCACATGTCCCAAGGTGTACTGTAAGAATCCAGAATACGAAGACGGACAGTGTTGTCCTTCTTGCGGGAGTAAGTTTGTTCTGTAGTATTTTACGTGTTGTTTTTGAACATACAGTTTTTCACTGCATGTATTTAGCAGTAGGAAATCGCCATGTTATGTGTAAGCTTTACACTTGCAGCTTGTGTGTATGTAGTATGAGGATCAGATATTCACGTGTACATAGCCACACTACGAACATCTGATATATCCCAGCATGCACATTTTATGCGACCCTGCGCGCCAACCAATCGGAGCCAACTTTAGAAATTGTGACATCAGTTCAATCAGAAATATGGACTGATCGGATGAGCTGTTGATTTGGCTGACATGTTTTTGTAACACAACAATGGGTTGTGGAACACCCGATAGAAAGCCCCCGCTGAATGGTCAGAATCTGGATATCAAGTCTTGTTTTACATAATTAAAGCCAGAGTCCATCATTTGCAGCTATCCAAAAAATAACTGGCGTATGTATTGTTGAAAAACATACTTGGTTGAAAGATAGTAAGGGGACTCAACTCCCTGTGAAATTATTCTTTCTGACAAGCTGTCATTTTGAAGAAATCATCGAAAGAAGGCCTTTCCAATGGTGCGTCTTAAGAAGCACCGTTGGAAATTTCCGTTAGTAGTTCGTTTTTGTCAATAGGCGAAGTGCGCGCAAGTGTTGGCACGACGCACATGCGCACGCGGTTGTTATAATTCGTCGGATTGGTGCGTGACATTGCGTAGCTGCAATCGGCTCAGTGAGAACTTGTCTCGGGCGCTGAATTCAGGCCCAATTCAAAACATGATTCAGCAACTTTTGATTTGAAATCGAGATCCTAGAATGTTGTTTTTCTCGAAATATACAGCTGAAGCTGAGCTGAATCTTCATCAGGTTAGTTGTTCAGCACTCTTCTTTAGAATTTGAGCACTTTTGTTGCTTCAAACGAACAAAATGCACAAATTACAAATGATGGACTGTAGCTTTAATTGCTGAATCTGCGCCAATATCAAAGCGCCAATATCAAAAATGCTTGTGTGCAAGCGGCTATTCCATAGGCTAATGTATTTGGGTCATTTTATCCAGGCACGCAACTTTTCCTCAGATCCGCTGATTCCCTTGTTTTTCACTTCTCATGAATGCCGTTACAAATTGAAAAACATCATACAAAGTCTTTTGTGCTTTGCAATTTCCTTGTTTTTTTTTCTAATATCCCAGTTGCATGCCTGTCTATAAATTTGGGTCCACTTTATTTTCTTGTCCATGTTACATCTCACATATAATTCTGATGCACTCCTAAATGAACAACTGTTAAAAGTCACTCTTAATGATACTGGAATGGCACATAACAAAATTCCAAGTTAACGGGATAGGAAAAAAATGTTGCACTTTTAACACTAAATTCATTGAATTACAAATATGCCGATATTTTGTTTTCGAGAAATGCTTGTTTCCTTCTGCATTCCACACTGTCAGCCGTGAGCGCCTAAAAACTCACCATAGATTATTTGAATCACTCAAATTTGGGTTTCTGAGATGCAATAACAACTGTCGTTATGCTTCATGTGGGCTTGTCTGCTTCTTGATTTCTTGAAGAAAACTGCACGACAACTGGTGTCATGTACGGACACATGGAACAATACCAAGAAGTGCGCAGCAGGGGATCCAGGCAATATTGCACCACGTACACCTGCATGGTGAGTATAATCATGCTGAGCCTGTAGTGACTTCTCAGTCATGTACATGTAGTGATGTGTGCCAAGAGCAGCACCCGAAATGAGGCCAATTAGTGACTTCTTTGAAGTGAAAATGTCAACCAAAATGACCCCCCCCCCTCTCTGGCTGGCAATTTTAACAAGGCCAGCCCAGCAATCAAAATAAATCAAGTGACTAAGACAAGATAAGTTTGCGGTAGCACACTGTGAATAAATCTGTGGTTTCAGAACCACACATACTCACAAAAGAGATTTATTCACATGGTGCTACCGCAAACTTATCTTGTCTTAGTATCTTTCCACCATGCAAACCTTCAAATCTCAAATCAAGTGACTGTTTTTAACAGTTGAGTGCTAGGAGATTGATAAGCCGGCTGTACCTACCAGTCACCTGATTTTGTCTGTTAATAGAATTTGACTGTGGCTACAAGATATATGATCTGACTGTTGGTGACTAGCCTGTGTAAAAGGCATAGCAGGGGAAGAGGATTGAATTTTGACTGTCTGTGACTGATCAAACAAAAGGAGTATTAACAAATCGGAAGTTTGAAAGTTGCTGTTTGTGGCTGCTATGGGGATTTCATTTTTGGCCGATTCTAAATGGATGGTCATTAACGAGTCAAACAAGCTTCCATGTAAGCAACTTTTGGAAAATTTGAGGTTCATATTTTATCCCTGGGCTTAGTAAATTACATGTATTTAAAATATTCATCTTGTTAGCAAATTGTATCTAAGACTCAGGCAAAATGAGCATATGGGCTTGAAATTATCTAATCTTTCATGTATAACTTTGCTAGTCCCACATGATTGTATATGAGGCATCCATTGGACAAAGCAGAAGATTGAACAATAAATATCTTAGCGTTTGAGAATAAGACCATAATTTCCAAAGATTATTCAAAATTTCTCTTCTTCCTACTAGGATGGTTTAGTAACCAGTGAGAGGAATTACGTCAGTGAGGTGTGTGCCACCCCTAATTGCCCAGTGTCTGAGAGGGTCAGTGTGCACGGTCATTGCTGTCAGTTCTGCCAAGGTAACTGCATACTACCTCCTTAAGACCAGTTATCATAAATGCCACAAGTGCGAACTAAAGTGTTTCACTTCACGGATTTGTGCAGCTACTGTGCAATAGGCGACCTCATTTACACTCTGGCGAAATTTTGCTGCTTGTAATTCATGATGAAATGTTTTCTTTGTGTAACCCAGGTAAAAAACTCCCATATTGCTCATTCTATAAATCTGGGGTCCTCTTTTCCCCTGTCCTTGTTACATTCTTCCTCCAGGAGTGATTATGTGAAGCTAATGACCTATCAAACAAATAAAAAATAAGTTTAAACTACTTTTAAAAGACACTTGAATGGCATATTACAACAGTCCGAGGTAACTGGAACTGGAAAAATGTCACACTTTGGACCCTAAATATGGACAATAACCCAGATTTGTCACATGTAGAACGTAGCCACTATAGGCCATTATCATGCTGCAGCCATTGGATTTTTTCCCATTCAAAGTAGCCTTGGTCAATGCTCTCGTCGTTCAAGTTCGTCCCGTACGCGGTCAATCGTCGGCAGATATCCTCACGCGCTATGCACATGCGCGCATGTAAAAATACAGCGCGAACAGCGACCTCACGCGGCCACTATGTTTATGCAAATCAGTTGGAGACGATGTCGAGCCTTGGTTCAATCGTCCATGTGAGGTTTTGGGGGTGGTGCTCATTATGTTAATAGCCTTAGCTGACCTTAAATGTCGTTTTCTTATTGGTCGATCGTTGCGTGGAAACTTGCATAGTGAAACGTGGCACCGTACATAATCCATACACGTACACATTGTGTGTCTCTGCACACGGCACCAATGCACAAAAACTGTGGTTCCTGTCACATCCGCAAAAGCCGGAATAGCTGCAAATAATTTGATGACGTCCGGATTTACCAAGGTGTGATTGGACACTCCACATATTAGCCCCGCCTACATTATCTGTATTCGCATACGAGGTCGTGCGCTGGAAATCTAGCGCAAAGTAAAGAAAAACATAAGCTTGGCCGACGATTGAACCAAGGCTCGACATCGTCTCCAACTGATTTGCATAAAAATAGTGGCCGCGTGAGGTCGCTGTTCGCGCTGTATTTTTACATGCATGTGCATAGCGCGTGAGGATATATGCCGACGATTGACCGCGTACGGGACGAATAACGACAGAAGCATTGACCAAGGCTACATTCAAAGTAATGTAACCAAAGCGAGGCTGGAAAGAAAAACAGTCTGGAACCGTTTTGCACCAAAAACATTTATCATTCAGTACTGTTATTGGATACAGGGAACATGACTGAAATGGTGGCAACGTGATAAAGGTCTATTACTCTACATCAGACTTGATGCCCCAAGTTCAAAGAATTCATGCCGTTGGATTCCCACACAGTAATAGATATTGGAAGATTGAGAAATTCTCTAACATTTCACCACACTCAATTCGTTGCTTCATGAGATAGGGGATGATGTGGCTCTAACTTGTCTCTGACCCATTTCAGATACAGACCACTGCAGTCTTGGCCACACGTGCGAGCCGCCCAAAGTCTGCGTCAATCTCCAGACCAAGTACACATGCCAGTGCCCCATGGGATTCACTGACCTCAACGGGGACTGCGTGGATATTGACGAGTGTGCTAGCGAGTCGGAGGGAGGGATCAACCACCACTGCCACGAAGGCACCGTGTGCGTCAACACGGTGGGCGGTTACCAGTGTGACTGTCTACCGGGTTACTCCAGGCTGACAGACACCACCTGTGAACGTAAATCAAATTTTCTTCTTCATTTTTATGATTTTTTTTTTCTCGCAAAGCGAGTCATATTTGTGGACTGGCAACTAGAAGTTGCCCTCAAAAACCTTACAGTGTTTTATATTTATGTTAACAAAAACAAAGCTGCTACATACTGTTTACCTACTGGAGTGACCTGAGGTGTAGTAATTCGGGCGTTTCACATTGCAGTGCGCCACCAAGAGTTTGCCATGGAATGTTAATTTTTCCCAGTGCATTGTGGGAGATGGTCGACAAATTCACAGGCGGGCTATTTGAGATTGTTAGTTTGTCCAGTCAGTACTTTCATAAGCATATGATTTGAGTATCTGTTTGTCCTTCTCTGTTCTTTTTACAAATATGGTGTTTTGCCCCAATCCGTAACAAATTAGCTCAAGTTGTGTACTGATGCTCGTTCAAATGGGCCGTGTTTTGTCGACCGTAAACTTGAAAAATGGACTCTCCGTGGCAAACTCTTGGTGGTGCACTGCATTGTGAAACGCCCGAATTGCAAAAGTTGGAAGGTCTCAAAGGACAATCCAAGCAGAATTTTTGTCAAAAGCAGATTTAATAAATAGATTGTTGTAGGTTTGAAATGTCATACCCTGTTATCACTTTGGTTATTGCCTTCATCCCATATTAATATCTTCAGCACCCTAAACAAATTCAGTGTTCAAAAATATACAGGTTATTATCTCAGGAAACGTATGGAAAATGGCCTGTTTTATTAAAGATTCTCTCTTTTTGTTTGAATATTCGCAGAAATCAACGAATGTGAAACTGGCCAACATACTTGCCACAAGAGGGCGACATGCAGAGACACTGATGGCAGCTTCCAGTGTGTCTGCCATGCAAATCATGCAGGGGATGGCAAATACTGCTCAGGTAAGAAAGGATATCCAAGTCACTATCATATGGCTGAGCAAAGAACTCAAGATCTGTGGGTTTGAATCCAGCCTGGAGGGTTGCAATTACTGTGTCCTTGGGCAAGACACTTTGTCTCAATTTTTTTGTCTTTCCACTCACGAGTTAAGTCGGTACATAGGGCAAAGGTGGGTGTAGATTTTAGACTAGCCTTCTTTTTTTTGCCAAAATGGCAGCATCGAGCTGTATACTCCCCAGTTGATTTTCTTCATAAAATACTCCAGAATAATTACTACTGGTACATGTAGCTGATTGATGTCTGAGAAGGTTGCGGTGCGGACAGATGATTTAAAAAGAGTGGTCCATCAAGTTTTGATGCCGTCTTGATTTCAGGGTGTAGACAGTAATTTGCACTGTATCGTACATGTCTATAAGGAATAGTCTATCAGATGTTTATTGAACCGTAGTCGTCTTTTTTGTCTTTTGCATGCCAGCCAGGATATTTTGTAACATTTCTGACCCTTTTTATAACACTACATAATTCTGTGTAAAATTAAATTTATACAGAAATTAAGTTTATTAATCAGCCCAAAAAATAAAGGAATGCTGAATAGTTTCTTGCTAATTTCAGTTTACTTTTTGCACATTGATTCTTAACTTACAAGCAGTTTTCTTAATAATAATAATACAGGGAATTATATAGTCCCTGTTATTATGATTAAAAAAAAAGAAATAATAGACAAAGAGATCAAATACCTGGTGGTGTACCAACTACTAATATAAAGTGAGAATTGATTCTTTAATGTGAAAATCTTGTAGTGATTGTTTGTGATGTTTGGTGTTTTTTTCTTGCAGTTGTATGTCGGAAGCCGTGTCTGAACGGAGGAATGTGTAACCAGCCTGGACAGTGCGATTGCCCACCCGGCTTCACTGGGGAACAGTGTGAAACAGGTACTGAAGCCTTGGTCATTTTGTTTTTGATGTTCAAAAATGTTGCAATACAGGGTGAGTAAAAAAAAACGAAACCCAAATGTTGGGACCATTGTTTTAGTGAAGTTCTGCATGTAGCACTTTCAAAATCTAGGATATGAAAGCCCAATTCATACGATTTCTTAGAGTGCAAGAATCATTCAAGTCACTCATGTACTTTTCAAGTTACGGAAGTTTAAACACAACCACCGTTTTAAGGTTGTGTCCATGGATCACAAAAAAGTTCAGTGTTCTCTCAGCAAAACGAAAACAAATCACATAGGGATGTGTATGAATTGTTTTTGTTTTGCTGAAAGAACGCACACCTTTTTTTGTGATCCGTGGACAGAACTTTAAAACGGTGGTTGTGTTAAAAATTCAAGTTAAAACTTGAAAAGTACAGAGTGATTTGAATGATTCTTGTACTAAAAGAAAACGTAATGACTGGGCTTTTATATCCTACATTTTGAAAGTGCTACATGCAGAACTTCACTAAAACAATAGCCCGACATTTGGGTTTCGGGTTTTTTTTACTCGCCCTGTAATACCTTTAAGTTAAGTGAAGACATTGACTGCAGTTGGAACCTACAGTCTCTTGAGCAAAGTATCAGTGCTCTACCAACTGAGCTATCCAGACATATTTGTCACTGGCTTTGCTCATTATGGATTATCTGATCATATCTTTTGATTCATTTCATTTCCCAGACATTGACGAATGTGAAGTGGGAAGCCATGACTGCCAGGCCAATTCTATCTGCATCAACCTGCCTGGGAGCTATCACTGTCAGTGTGAGGCTGGGTACCAGTATGAGGAAGGAACCGGCTGCACAGGTGGGTTTCTCATGAAAAAAATTAATGGCAATCACACACAGGGTCAAGTCAAGTTCCTACAAGTCCTAGTAAGTCTTACCACAAGTCCTCCAGTCCCAATTCAACTCAAAAGCTACTCAAGTGAGCTTTGGCAAAGGTATTCCTTTGTTCTTGTTCAATGCACTGTTACTTATGACTGGACTTGTGGCTGGACTTGTGACTGGACTTATGACTGGACCTGTGACTGGACTTGTGACTGGACTTGTGACTGGATTTGTGACTGGATTTGTGACTGGACTTGCGACTGGACTTGCGACTGTACTTGCGACTGGACTTGCGACTGGACTTGCGACTGGACTTGCGACTGGACTTGCGACTGGACTTGCGACAGGACTTGTGGCTGGACTTGTGACTGGACTTGTGACTGGACTTGTGACTGGACTTGTGACTGGACTTGTGACTGGACTTGTGACTGGACTTGTGACTGGACTTGTGACTGGATTTGTGACTGGACTTGTGACTGGACTTGCGACTGGACTTGCGACTGGACTTGCGGCTGGACTTGTGACTGGACTTGTGACTGGACTTGTGACTGGACTTGTGACTGGACTTGCGACTGGACTTGTGACTGGACTTGCGACTGGACTTGCGACAGGACTTGTGGCTGGACTTGTGACTGGACTTGTGACTGGACTTGTGACTGGACTTGTGACTGGACTTGTGACTGGACTTGTGACTGGACTTGTGACTGGACTTGTGACTGGACTTGTGACTGGACTTGTGACTGGACTTGTGACTGGACTTGTGACAGGACTTGTGACTGGACTTGCGACTGGACTTGCGACTGGACTTGTGGCTGGACTTGTGACTGGACTTGTGACTGGACTTGCGACTGGACTTGCGACTGGACTTGTGACTGGACTTGTGACTGGACTTGCGACAGGACTTGCGGCTGGACTTGTGGCTGGACTTGTGACTGGACTTGTGACTGGACTTGCGACTGGACTTGCGACTGGACTTGCGACTGGACTTGCGACAGGACTTGTGGCTGGACTTGTGACTGGACTTGTGACTGGACTTGTGACTGGACTTGTGACTGGACTTGCGACTGGACTTGCGACTGGACTTGCGACTGGACTTGCGACAGGACTTGCGACTGGACTTGTGACTGGACTTGTGACTGGACTTGTGACTGGACTTGTGACTGGACTTGCGACTGGACTTGCGACTGGACTTGCGACTGGACTTGCGACAGGACTTGTGGCTGGACTTGTGGCTGGACTTGTGACTGGACTTGTGACTGGACTTGTGACTGGACTTGTGACTGGACTTGTGACTGGACTTGTGACTGGACTTGTTACTGTACTTGTGACTGGACTTATGACTGGACTTGTGACTGGACTTGTGACTGGACTTGTGACTGGACTTGTGGCTGGACTTGTGGCTGGACTTGTGACTGGACTTGTGACTGGACTTGTGACTGGACTTGTGATTGGACTTGTGACTGGACTTATGACTGGACTTGTGGCTGGACTTGTGACTGGACTTGTGACTGGACTTGTGATTGGACTTGTGATGGAATCGACTACATCCCTGATCACACAGTCTCCAGTGTTTATCAGTCTGACCGTTTCCTGTATCGATTCTGGTGGCTGGGAGCAAGTCCTATCAAGATATCATGTGGTCAATTGGTGGTTAATGTGTGACATAAACCTGTCCCTAATCGAAGTGCGATTATTATGAAATCACACGATCCCGGTTCCCTGCTGTTCATTGCGATACACATGGAAATTAACAACTATTCATAAATATCTGAGACAGTTTACCAATTCCACTTGGTCAAGAGCCTGTCACGTAGGTGGCTTTAAACCGCTGGTACGCGCCAATTTCCGTATATGAATATTTTTAGCACTATGCACGCGAGGCACACACCATAGACATGGCCAGGGTGTTTCACAATACATGAATTAAGAATTGTTGAACAAAATTGTTGGAAATTTGTGAATTTTTAATTGTTTTGACTTTTTGACTGAACGGTATTGTTGAATGGGAATCAATATGTGCTTGGCCGGTATTAAACAAATACGTTTTAAACTGGCTAGGGGCCTGGATGAGGATAATGCCCCTCGCCTTTGGCTCGGGCCATTATCGGCGACCAGACCCCTAGCTTGTTTTAAATATTCTTGTTTAAAATCGGCTAAGCACATATTTATTCCCTCATTTATAATCATACTTGCTCTAGATCAATCTATCATTGATCTATTTATTCATGATTCCTATCTGGTCCCCAGACATCAACGAGTGTCAGGTTGCCGACACCTGTGACTCATCCCGAGTATGCAACAACCTGCCAGGCTCCTATGAGTGTCTGTGCTCCCCCTCGGGCGGGTGTTCGTCGGATTGCGTCGTGAAGAAACAACGCTACGATAACGGTGAATCCTGGGATGTGGAGGAGTGCCAGACGTGTACATGCACGGTGAGTAGACAGGCTTGAAAGACTGGTACAGGCTTCATTGACGTCACTGGATGTGTTAACCTTTGAAAACTTGCAGAATCAATATCACTGAGTGTCGGGGTTTTACATTTTGTCCAAGTAGTTTTTGTACTACAGTGTGTCTCAAAAAAAAATGTGCAGTTTGAATTCATATCTCCTCCATTATCATTGTTATTGAATAGATAATGGATATGTGGCTTGAAGATTAAGGAAAATACAACAAAATTCACAAATCTGACAAATAAAAATTTGTTTGGATTGTCAAGGAAAGTTAGGAAGGTGGCACTACTTTGTCATGACATGTTTGCTTCAATAAAGTCCCATACGAATTAACAGTTTTTGCCAGTGTTTATGCTACAATGAGTATCCCTAGCTGTAGATAATAGACCTTTATCACGCTGCCACCATTTCAGTCATGTTCCCTGTATCCAATAACAGTACTGAATGATACTGTTTTTTGTGCAAAAAGGAACCAGACTATTTTTCCATCCAGCCTCCCTTTTGATTACGTTGATTTGAATGGGAAAAAATCAAGATGGCCGCAACATGATAATGGTCTATATAAATGCAAGTTTTGGACGCAGTGTGGAATGAACCTTGTACTGTGCTTTGATTTGCAGAGTGGGGTGGTAACGTGCAGGCCCAAGGCATGCGACTGTAGCAGGAAGATGTCCGATGCTGAGGAGTACTGCTGCCCGCAGTGCCGGGCCACAAGCCAATGCCTGCACCAGGAGTCGGCCACTGTGGTTTACAACGACGGCGATACCTGGGACTACAGATGCCAAAAGTGCACTTGCCAGGTAAGGTAGAGATTGGTTACTCATGTGGCCATCTTGGTCTGGTAACCCGTGGTAGTATGGCGGAGACGGTTGTCATGCAGGTGCCACTGTTTGGGGTATCAGCCTACTTAGGAGCCAAGAGCCACTGGCCTTGTGCAGAAATGGTAGTGGTGCTGCGTTGCCTATGTACTAATGTGGCCATCTTGGTCTGGTATACGTTGGTGTCGTACCTGAGATAGCTTTGATATAGGTTGTCACTGTTTGGTGCACCAGCCTATACTTGGGGCCAGGAGGCCTTGGACCTGTGCAGAAACGGCAGTGGCCCTGCGAAGCCTACTTACAAGAGTCAGTAAAGAGACATTGGGATGGACTTGTCTTGTCATTTTCACCATGACAAGTGCCAACATCACACTGATTACGAAAGCCATGGACAGAATACCATTCCAACTATTGTATTTGTCCAAGACTTTGTTTGTGGTATATTTTTGTTGGCAATCATGTATTGTTGTAACATATTTATTGTGAAACAGATTTATCTTAAAGGGAAAATACAACATTTGCAAACATCAAAAATAAAACTACAAAATCATTTTGAAATACCTTGCTGGACTGTTAGTGAATGACAGTGTAAAGCATCCTGTAAAATCATGGCACCTGGTATATTGTCATTTTCAAGAAAAGTGGTTTTTTTGTATCAATTTTCAACGCTGATCGGCCGATCAGCGTTGGAAAAAACTGGCTTTTTTTCAAATACTGGCCCCAGTTGACCATCGCACTTGTTTGCAATCGATTACACACCTATGAACGGGTACAAGCCAGCTAGACTGGTTCCCTGACCTTACAATTCCCCAATATATGTAAACTGCTCTGTTTCTTCTTAAATGGAGTCAGGGAACCAGACTACAGGAACATGATTGTTTTTCTTAGTTTTTATAGCATTTTCGAACCCAAAACCTCAAAAAAGTCAGTGTAACTATATTTGATATAAATTTCCAACCCCCCAATTCCATCCATTTTTGAAAATTACAGCAAAAGCAAATGATGTATATTCCCTTTAAACAGTAAAATGTACACAGAATTGACATTTTCTCTATTCTCATTTCATCTTCCCCATACAGGCCGGAACCATACAGTGCACGGCACCAGACTGCCCTCCTCCCAACTGCCTACAGACCTACACGCCCGTCGGTGAATGCTGCCCTCGGTGTCAGGTTCATGATGCCTGCGACACCGTCAGCATAGCGGTCCAGGATCCCTCGGCCATGACCGGCTGTGAACACCAGGGGGCGTCCCACTCGCACAACCAGTGGTGGTTCTTAGAGGACGACCAATGCACCGAGTGCATCTGCCGGGTGAGTCTTTCAATATTTCGATTGGATCCTGTGTTTTATTAAAAAAGTTTAGGATTCGCATTACTGTGCACATCGAAGGGTTCGCCTTACAAGAGGCAACCTCACTTTAGAGGTAATATCAACTTTGCAAACATCAAAAAGCAAAACTACCAAATTATTACGAAATACCTGACTTGACTGTAAGTGAATAATAGTCTCAAGCATCCTGTGAAATCATGGCACCTGGGGTGCCGTCACTTTCAAGAAAAGTGGAATTCTTGTATTGATTCCCAACGATTGTCGGCCCATCGTTGGAACAAAACTGACTTTTTTTTCAAATACTGTCCCCAATTTACCAAATTTGGTTAGTCCACATTTTGTTTGCAATCAGGTTACCCATCCGTGAATGGGTGCAAGCCCTGACCAGACAATTCCCCCAAATATATAAATTGCGTCGTTTCATCTAAAGTAGGATCAGGGAACCAACTATCCTAGATCTGGAAAGCGCTACATGCAGAACACCTTTACAAAATAGGGGGCGCCATTTGGGTGTCCCCTTTTTTTTTTACTCACCCTATAGATCATTTGCACTGCAGCCATCTTTGAGGTGTGAGCTTTTTGTTCAACAGGGATACGCATGAGGAGACCTCTTGTGCATTTATTGTTAATGAATTAACATAACAAAGCACATTTCCAAGATGTTCCCTGAATGCAATCTATCTATAATAGTTGGATCTTTACTCTGATCTTTTATTGACAAAACACTAAATGTTTCTTTTGAATTGTGTTTCAGAATGGCAACATATGCTGCTGGTACAACATCGCTTGCAGTAGCTAGGCTGTGCCCCCTCCATCTGTCAACACAACGACCAGCCACAAGAAGTGCGGGTACAAGACACAACACCGTAGGGTTTAATTTCAACATATCAGGTTCCTAATAAAAAAAAACTTATACATTTTATTAAATCCTCACCTTCGCCGATCCTTCAAAAAAAAGAGAGGGAAAAAAGAGGTTTAGAAGGATTTTGCGGAAATAATACAGCCACAAATACCAAGCAAAAATTTAAAATTCTATTCGGTTCCTGTGAAATGGTGGATTTTGGAGGAAGATGGGTGGTGATTCAGGTAATTCAATTTCAATGCTAATGGTAAAATCCTTTTTTTTAGGCACTGTACATAAGCTTTATCATTCTGGTTTGTAGGGCTCGCTCAATGACGGCCATCTCTGTAGGAGAACTGCAACTGCGTATTTTACGCAATCAAGCACGCATTGCGCAGTGTTGAAAATGTTCCAAACATGCGCGCTTGTTGCTCGAAATGCGTTCGAAAAACGACGCAGCCGATGCGCATTATGCAAGTTGACGCTCAAAATGCCAATGCACGTGGATGGTCTGTAGGAAATGACGTCATTTGAACGAGACCTATTAGTCCCCACTACATTGCTTATTTTTATTTTAAGATTTAGTTTACTGGTTTTTGAATGTACACAGGCATAAAGCATTCGTTTCATTTGAGGTCTAAGGAGACAGTAGATTTGGGGTGAGCTGAACATGAAGACGGCAAGGAAACAGGGTATTTGATTGTATTTTCTAATACTTTGAACTGTCAAAGAGTGCTTGAATGAATTGCAAACCACGCAGCATTTTAATATGAATTGCAATTTAACCTTTTTTCGTCTTCAAAACTTGTAAACCAAGTCTAACAAAGAATAAAACTGTACATGAAGTAACATTTATGTCATTCTATAATTTTTGTATCAGGTATCAGGCTGTGCTAACCATTGGCAATTTTTTAATGTTTTTTTACGGCAAGCATATTTCAGGGGTTTAAGCATAGAATTTTGGCTCATGCGTACATCATGTATGCTTACAGGGTTAGCACGGAAATTTGCAAGTTCAAAAATCTTGGACATGTATGCAAATTAGGAACAGTATTGTGCCTGGCTATTTGTGAAGATTTGACTCTACTAGTCCAGGCATGCAACTTTTCCTCGGATCAGCTAATTTCCCTCGGATCAGCTGATTTCCTTGTTTTTCACTTCACACTTATGCCATTAAAAATTGTAAAACACTGTACAAAGTCTTGTAAAGATTGGAGTTTCCTCTTTTTTTTTTACTTCTAAGTTGCATAGCTGTACTACAGCTTTGGGCTGCCACAAAACATTAATTCTTCAGACATTTTTGCATCAAGTATCCTAGAAATAAACACTTTTTTGTATATGTATTTAATGGTGTATTTATGACACATACTTAAAAAACAAATAAAACTTGTAAATATGATAATATAGGTACTTACGCATTTGTTTTAAGGGAGAATAAAAAAAAATGAGTTTCTACCGAGTTTTAATGAAAATATAGTAATCCAACTGATCAGTTATAGCAGTGGTATTAAGGGTACAAGAAATATTTTTTTTTTTGGTTTTTTTTGCAATTTTCTCACTTGAAGCAAAACAATTCTTACAATCTGAAGAACATTGAAAATAACCCGTTGAAGTTTTAGCTCAGTTAAAACCTAGAATTTTTCAAACCATAGAAAACCTTTGCAAATTTCTTTTCCGTTGTAATTTTCCGGTGCATATTTCGAATTGCAGTCTCTCGTGAAACAATCCCAAAACCGGCATTTGGTAAGTGATTCTCACCGAGGCGTAAATATTCTGGCGATTTTTGGCATCGACGCAGAAATCATTGACAGCTGATCCATATAACTGATTGCCACTTGCCTACTTAATGGGTACACTCATTCCCATTGATAGTTTTAATGATTTTCATATATTTTTTTTCAGTTTTATATGCATTTTGATAGAATATTATGTGTTACATGTATTTCTTTTTAAAGTACATCTAAGCATGCATGGAAGTATCAGTAAAATCTCGAGATTAATGGTTTGTATATTTTTTTAGCTTGATATTTATACCTTGTATTCCTGTCCAAACAAACATTTATGCATGTTGACATGATTTATGTTAAAGGCTAAGAACAGTAATTAATCATGTAGAGTGGTGTATTAGATATCTGTGTAACAAGTGCAGCCAGAACGAAATAAAATATATTGGAACTTTCTCCGACGGATTGTTTTGGCTACTAGATAATTGGTACCAAAAAACAGAACTAATCGGGTTTTATTGTACAATTGTATTGTCAATTTTTTGTTATTTTAAACCAATGGCAAACGAATATAAGGTCCCACATCCTGTTCCATCCAACCCATGGAAGGATGAATCGAGGGCGCCCGTACAAAACCATGGCAAAGACCCTGATGGAGGACAGTGGCGCCGTGACTGCAGATGAACTTGGGACACTGATGATCGAACAGGACGTGTAACATAGGTCAAATATGTATGAATTGTGCCCAATAATGTCACAATTTGGGCCAAAATCTGACAAATTTTGCCGGTCTGAACATTTAATCATGGTCCCAAAGCATCGATATGCATTTCTGAGTAGTTTGGAGAAACTTCACGTTTTCACTCCTACATTGGACAGATATGCCATTCAAAGGAAATATTACGTCGGAAATTTGAGCTAAACTAGGACAAATATATGAATTTTACCTAATCATGTCACAATTTGGGCCAGAATCTGACAAATTTTCTGGTCTGAACATTTAATCATGGTTCCAAAGCATCGATATGCATTTCTGAGTAGTTTGGAGAAAATTTATTTTTTGGCCAAAATTGAATAAAAGGTAAGGCTAACACCTTACATTTTTTTGTAAATTTGGCTGAAAAATGAAATTTCTTGAAACTTGCTGGGAAGATGGCACAGGGTCTCTAGAACACGTTTCCACTCCTACATTGGACAGATATGCCATTCAAAGAAAATATTACGTGGGAAATTTGAGCTAAACTAGGACAAATATATGAATTTTACCTAATCATGTCACAATTTGGGCCAAAATCTGACAAATTTTGCTGGTCTGAACATTTAATCATGGTTCCAAAGCATCGATATGCATTTCTGAGTAGTTTGGAGAAAATTCATTTTTTGGCCAAAATTGAATAAAAAGTAAGGCTAACCCCTTACATTTTTTTGTACATTTGGCTGAAAAATGAAATTTCTTGAAACTTGCTGGGAAGATGGCACAGGGTCCCTAGAACACGTTTCCACTACTACATTGGACAGATATGCCATTCAAAGGAAATATTACGTGGGAAATTTGATGTAAACTAGCACAAATATATGAATGTTACCTAATAATGTCACAATTTGGGCCAAAATCTGACAAATTTTGCTGGTCTGAACATTTAATCATGGTTCCAAAGCATCGATATGCATTTCTGAGTAGTTAGGAGAAAATTCATTTTTTGTCCAAAATTGAAAAAAAAAAGGTAAGGCTAACCCCTTACATTTTTTGCATATTTGGCTGAAAAATGAAATTTCTTGAAACTTGCTGGGAAGATGCCTCCGGGTCCCTAGAACACGTTTCCACTCCTACGTTACGGTCTGAACATTTAATCATGGTTCCAAAGCATCGATATGCATTTCTGAGTAGTTTGGAGAAAATTCATTTTTTGGCCAAAATTGAATAAAAAGTAAGGCTAACCCCTTACATTTTTTTGTAAATTTGGCTGAAAAATGAAATTTCTTGAAACTTGCTGGGAAGATGGCACAGGGTCCCTAGAACACGTTTCCACTCCTACATTGGACAGATATGCCATTCAAAGGAAATATTACGTGGGAAATTTGAGGTAAACTAGCACAAATGTATGAATGTTACCTAATCATGTCACAATTTGGGCCAGAATCTGACAAATTTTCTGGTCTGAACATTTAATCATGGTTCTAAAGCATCGATATGCATTTCTGAGTAGTTTGGAGAAAATTCATTTTTTGGCCAAAATTGAATAAAAAGTAAGGCTAACACCTTACATTTTTTTGTAAATTTGGCTGAAAAATGAAATTTCTTGAAACTTGCTGGATAGATGCCTCCGGGTCCCTAGAACACGTTTCCACTCCTACGTTACGGTCTGAACATTTAATCATGGTTCCAAAGCATCGATATGCATTTCTGAGTAGTTTGGAGAAAATTCATTTTTTGGCCAAAATTGAATAAAAAGTAAGGCTAACCCCTTACATTTTTTTGTAAATTTGGCTGAAAAATGAAATTTCTTTAAACTTGCTGGGAAGATGGCACAGGGTCCCTAGAACACGTTTCCACTCCTACATTGGACAGATATGCCATTCAAAGGAAATATTACGTCGGAAATTTGAGCTAAACTAGGACAAATATATGAATTTTACCTAATAATGTCACAATTTGGGCCAAAATCTGACAAATTTTGCTGGTCTGAACATTTAATCATGGTTCCAAAGCATCGATATGCATTTCTGAGTAGTTTGAAGAACCTTCATTTTTTGGCCAAAAAAAAAGTAAGGCTATAACCCCTTACATTTTTTGCATATTTGGCTGAAAAATGAAATTTCTTGAAACTTGCTGGGAAGATGCCTCCGGGTCCCTAGAACACGTTTCCACTCCTACGTTACGGTCTGAACATTTAATCATGGTTCCAAAGCATCGATATGCATTGCTGAGTAGTTTGGAGAAAATTCATATTTTGGCCAAAATTGAAAAAAAAAGTAAGGCTAACCCCTTACATTTTTTGCATATTTGGCTGAAAAATGAAATTTCTTGAAACTTGCTGGGAAGATGCCTCCGGGTCCCTAGAACACGTTTCCACTCCTACGTTACGGTCTGAACATTTAATCATGGTTCCAAAGCATCGATATGCCCTTCTGAATAGTTTGGAGAAAATTCATTTTTTGGCCAAAATTGAATAAAAAGTAAGGCTAACCCCTTACATTTTTTTGTAAATTTGGCCGAAAAATGAAATTTCTTGAAACTTGCTGGGAAGATGGCACAGGGTCCCTAGAACACGTTTCCACTACTACATTGGACAGATATGCCATTCAAATGAAAAATTATGTCGGAAATTTGAGGTAAACTAGCACAAATATATGAATGTTACCTAATAATGTCACAATTTGGGCCAAAATCTGACAAATTTTGCTGGTCTGAACATTTAATCATGGTTCCAAAGCATCGATATGCATTTCTGAGTAGTTAGGAGAAAATTCATTTTTTGGCCAAAATTGAAAAAAAAAAGGTAAGGCTAACCCCTTACATTTTTTGCATATTTGGCTGAAAAATGAAATTTCTTGAAACTTGCTGGGAAGATGCCTCCGGGTCCCTAGAACACGTTTCCACTCCTACGTTACGGTCTGAACATTTAATCATGGTTCCAAAGCATCGATATGCATTTCTGAGTAGTTTGGAGAAAATTCATTTTTTGGCCAAAATTGAATATTTATTCAATTTTGGCCCTTACATTTTTTTGTAAATTTGGCTGAAAAATGAAATTTCTTTAAACTTGCTGGGAAGATGGCACAGGGTCCCTAGAACACGTTTCCACTCCTACATTGGACAGATATGCCATTCAAAGGAAATATTACGTCGGAAATTTGAGCTAAACTAGGACAAATATATGAATTTTACCTAATAATGTCACAATTTGGGCCAAAATCTGACAAATTTTGCTGGTCTGAACATTTAATCATGGTTCCAAAGCATCGATATGCATTTCTGAGTAGTTTGAAGAACCTTCATTTTTTGGCCAAAAAAAAAGGAAGGCTATAACCCCTTACATTTTTTGCATATTTGGCTGAAAAATGAAATTTCTTGAAACTTGCTGGGAAGATAACTCCGGGTCCCTAGAACACGTTTCCACTCCTACGTTACGGTCTGAACATTTAATCATGGTTCCAAAGCATCGATATGCATTGCTGAGTAGTTTGGAGAAAATTCATATTTTGGCCAAAATTGAAAAAAGTAAGGCTAACCCCTTACATTTTTTTGTAAATTTGGCTGAAAAATGAAATTTCTTGAAACTTGCTGGGAAGATGGCACAGGGTCCCTAGAACACGTTTCCACTCCTACATTGGACAGATATGCCATTCAAAGGAAATATTACGTGGGAAATTTGAGGTAAACTAGCACAAATATATGAAAGTTACCTAATAATGTCACAATTTGGGCCAAAATCTGACAAATTTTGCTGGTCTGAACATTTAATCATGGTTCCAAAGCATCGATATGCATTTCTGTGTAGTTTGGAGAAAATTCATTTTTTGGCCAAAATTGAAAAAAAAAGTAAGGCTATAACCCCTTACATTTTTTGCATATTTGGCTGAAAAATGACATTTCTTGAAACTTGCTGGGAAGATGCCTCCGGGTCCCTAGAACACGTTTCCACTCCTACGTTACGGTCTGAACATTTAATCATGGTTCCAAAGCATCGATATGCATTTCTGAGTAGTTTGGAGAAAATTCATTTTTTGGCCAAAATTGAATAAAAAGTAAGGCTAACCCCTTACATTTTTTGCATATTTGGCTGAAAAATGAAATTTCTTGAAACTTGCTGGGAAGATGGCACAGGGTCCCTAGAACACGTTTCCACTCCTACATTGGACAGATATGCCATTCAAAGGAAATATTACGTCGGAAATTTGAGCTAAACTAGGACAAATAATGTTACCTAATAATGTCACAATTTGGGCCAAAATCTGACAAATTTTGCTAGTCTGAACATTTAATCATGGTTCTAAAGCATCGATATGCATTTCTGAGTAGTTTGGAGAAAATTCATTTTTTGGCCAAAATTGAAAAAAAAAGTAAGGCTAACCCCTTATATTTTTTGTAAATTTGGCTGAAAAATGAAATTTCTTGAAATTTGCTGGGAAGATGGAACAGGGTCCCTAGAACACGTTTCCACTCTTACATTGGACAGATATGCCTTCAAAGAAAATATTACGTGGGAAATTTGAGGTAAACTAGCACAAATAATGTTAGATAATAATGTCCCAATTTGGGCCAAAATCTGACAAATTTTGTTGGTCTGAACATTTAATCATGGTTCCAAAGCATCGATATGCATTTCTGAGTAGTTTGGAGAAAATTCATTTTTTGGCCCAAAAAAAAGTAAGGCTATAACCCCTTACATTTTTTGCATATTTGGCTGAAAAATGAAATTTCTTGAAACTTGCTGGGAAGATGCCTCCGGGTCCCTAG